CCCACCACCGCCGCCTCCGATCCGCGACGCCCGCGGCTCAACACGCTGGATTGTTGAGCGTATTGTGAACCATAGTATCCCGAAAACGAACCGGCAGCCGGTTCGTTATCGTATTCGTTGGAGAGGGTTTCCGCCCCACCAAGATACATGGACGTCCTGCTGCAGGACGTTCCGGAAATGGTGAGGGCGTACGAAGCTCACCACGCACTGCCGACGCGAAGGTAGTGCGAGCGCTGTGGTCACCTACAGCGCCCGAGGTCCCACGATCGTCGCGTTCCTCACGTGCCAAGAACTTGGTACGGGGATCCTTGAGACTCGCAGGTACACGAATCGTCGTGTACCCGTTTAGGTCGCGGTCGCTCAAGCGCGCCGCACCCGGAAGACACAACGTGCACTGTTGGCCTTCGGGCACAGCGCATGGAATACCAGCGTCCACAGAGGATCTGTGGAGCTGCTCCAGCCGCCCGCGCGTCGAGAATGTCTCGAAGCGTTCACGGGCGTGCTTAACCCGCTGGCGGTAAGCAGTCCGCTTCTTGTTGAAGTTCTCAACAAAAGCGTTCCAACTTTGACAAAGTGCCTGCCATTCAGGCACTCTGCTGAGATAAGAAGTCTTCCTGCTGGAGAAGTATCGGAGCTCGTGGAAGAGCCCGATGTAATAATCGCGCCTTTGATTCGTTAACGGATCAAAGTGCTGCTACTCCGCAACAGCATCATCGTAAATAGTGTAAGATCGGAAATTACACAATATTTACGGTAGATTAGGTCTAGGGGGCGTTTTTGGTGCTTCCAGTCAGCTTTCATGAGAGGCTCTCAGCCGCGAGGAAATCGCTTCTAGAGGCCTGTAGGCCAAGAAAAACGGTATTTTGTGTATTCATGCATTACGGCCGGGAGCAATGTGGACTGGACCCGGCAAATTCATTAATGAGGCCGGCTCCAGGACAGGGGGGCACAATTAGAAGCAGTCCGACGCCAGCTAACTCCTTTGAGGCATACCATTGGCCAATCTATTAGCCAATAGGGGACATGTATTTAACGATGATCGTTGATTGGTTCTCTCTACAGCCAGTAGATACTCGCCTCCTGTCCGAAATTGGTGGCTGCTAGGCATTGTACGTCGCCGACACGCGGCTGAGAGCGTTCGGTCTCCTTTTTATTGGAGCTACTGATCAAGTGTCCTGCACCCCTCCGCGCACACATCTACACCCAAGACAAGACAACTGGCCGCCCCCCCTCCCAACACCGTAGCTCAATGGAAGAGCGCAGGGCCTACACCCTGAGATGCCCGTTCAATTCGGGTCGGTGTTATTGATCACGATGGGCGTTTGCGTCGTGTCGTGCTGTGCCAAGGGTCTTGCTGCTGCGTCACAGATTGTGCGTCTGCGTTGTGCTTCAAGTTGTTTTGCCCGCGCATTGTTGCGCTGTGGTCGTGCCAGGAGTAGCGCCTTCTACGTATATATCGGTGCTGCATTTGGGTGCGCGGTGCTCTAGCTCCTGTGCTCATATCTGTTCTCTGTAAGGTTTGGAGCACTAGCGACGTTTTGTATGTATACGTGTAATACATGTATTGAATTAACCGAGACCCGTATTCCAGTGAGCCTACGCGTGCGTTTGTGTCAGGCTTTCTATGATCTGCTTCCGCATCAGTTTTGCGTTGAAGCGCGTGGACCTTGGACTTGTGCATATCTTCTCGATATCGCTTAAGAGAAGCGTATTCCCGGTTTGAAATGCCTCCACCGTGCGCTTGATGAAGTATAGCACAAATACTCCGCAGTCATCGTGGTTTATCTGTGCCGGGCTTGTTCGGACTCCTCTCACGACGAACGCTGGTGCTGCGTTGTCAGGATATTTAGTTCGCAGCTCCGCGTCGAAATATCCACCGACAACTTTTTTAATCGCTTCGATGCTGGAGATTCCTTTCGAGTCTACATGCACAAGACATCTCCTCAGATTCTGCGTAGTGCCTACAGGGTTTTGCACAATGGCAAACGTCCAGTGATTGCCCATGCATATAGGTAAAATCACGTGATCGTACTTCTCGTATGGAAAGGTTGCGGTGATACCGCAACAGCGCTCGTGCGCAAGTCCAAGTTTTCGCTCCACTTGAACGAACTCGCTGTAGATGTGTCCAAATACGTTTGCATCCATGACAAACGTTCGGCCGTGTTGCGGGAGGTGCACTCGGATGTAATAGGACATAATCACATCGTTCAGCCAATTTTGGTCTTTAATTGTCCGGACATCTTCCGCTGTCACCAGTAAACGCATGCTGGTTTTGCCCGCAACAAAGCATGGGGTTTGTGTTTCACACACAATCTCGGACTGCGATATATCCCCCACATCTCCAAAATCAAATGGGACGCTGGCCTTCTCACTGTCATCATTCAACAGTGATATGACCTCGGGCGACTTGAGTTTTTCGGCCAAAGTCGACTTGGCTGGAGGCTGGTTCGGTCAAAGTCGACTTGACTGGAGGCTGGGATTTTTCTTGCAAAGTCGACTTGGCTGGAGGCTGGGATTTTTCGGCTATAGTCGATAGTTGACGCTTGTGTCCCTTGTTGGGGGGTTCATTCCCATTTGGCGCTGCTGCGCCGGTATTCTGGAGTCGTCGTGAGATGAAAGTGCTTAGATTGTGGCGGCCTATAAACCGGGTAGTCCACGAACTCTGAGCCGCGGGTTTGCGCTTCCCAAAGCCAGGTATTGTCGACGCAGCATCCGCGACAACATCATCTCTGCACACCTCCTGGCCGTTTGCCACTTTTGCCTTGATCCGCTCAACAATACCAGCCTCGTATTTAAGCGTCGGAGGGGCCATGCCTGGTGGCGCTGCCCGCTTTGCGGATGGATCGGCCTAGGACGAGAATAACTTGTGCTTGTTAGTCATCCAACCCAGCAAGGTTGTCCGAGCCACACGACGACCCCCCTCGGTAGCGTCCCATCCATTTCGCTCGCATGCGAGCAGGATCTCGATCTTCTCCGCATTCGTCCGCTGATCTGAGCTCGCCATCTTGGCAAGAATCGATGTGTCGCGTTTCGGACAAACTCGACATGTACCTTACATTTCATTAGATGAAATGTCTTAAATCCTATTGGTCAGAATGCATAATATACTAATTACGACCCATAAATGATTGGTTGAGAAACATGCTGTTTAGTCATTCTACTTTTTGACAGCTGCCGCTCATCGGTGGCTCGCGAGTGTCGCTTACTCCCATTGACAGCAGTTTCGGGTTTACTCGACTGTGGGGGATTTTGGGTATTCTCGACGGTGCGTGATTTCGGGTTTACTCGACTGTGTACGCTCGGCGGTTTAGGACTTCGGGAATTCCCGATACTATGCCGGTCATGCTTGACGAGCCAAGGCTAATATGCCCTGTGAGTCTGCAGGAGCAGGGTCTTGAATTCGGCCTGTAGCGAGGAGACGCTTGTGGGCTGCGATGCGTGTGTCCAAGACGCCGCACTTGTGCAGGGGACGCAGCGCGCGCAAAACACTGCCAGCGCCCTTCGCGTTGATGTTCCGCGACTTTAGAAGGTCCAACACGGCATCTTCAGCACGGCGGCCGACGTCCAAGACCTGATCCTTGTAGTCTTCAACCGTGGGGTCAAGCGTAAATCAGTCTTCGAGGAACAGCTTCATGAAGGCGACGACGTGGCGTGATTCGGACTTCTTTTGGAGTCCCAGACGCGAGGAACATGGGTGTACCACTCGTACCATGCAGCCGACAGGTGCGTAACTTGCTTCTTCCTCCGTTTTGGCTTGGGCTCTTGGTCTAACGATTCCTTTGCTTGGGATTCTTCAGCGGGTCTACACGGCTCCTTAGCTTTCATCTGAGCCGCCTCGAAAATCGTCAACCGCGCAGCTAGGGCCTTGCTTGAGGCGATAAGCTCATGAATGACAGCTAGAAGGTGATCGATGCTTGGACAGTGGTGTTGGCTTGCATCTTGTGTTTGGTTTTGTTCTTGAGCAGGCGGAGCGGCTTCGCTGTCCAGCGCGACTGACCACGCAAGCATGTCGCCGATCGGGATGTCTGCTCCACGCAAACTCTCTTCCACGCGCGTGACAATGGGGGCCGCGGGTGAGAGCTCCTTGAGCTGCGGGTAGTAACGGACCAAGTACGCAGTGAGGACACTGAGGACCTTGGTGCTTACATTTAGACGTTGTTGCTTGAGACCTGTACAGGAATCGAACAGGAAGCCCTGCAATCGGCCGAGGCATTTTTGACTGGCGTGATCACGCGTCGCGACGTCGATGACCGCTGGAACGTCGTCTGCCGCCCACCCACTCAAGACCCGGGCCACCTTCCTGTCCTCGCGTGCCGTGTTAGTGATGTAGGCGAAGGCCTTGTTCGTCTTGGTCGTATCCCAAGCATCGCGTTCGAAGATCCACTGGGCGGTGAGGCGGTCATCTCCGTTCGCATGCTGGGCCCCGCCACGCCGGAAGGAGTACGAGGTCAGGTCAGGGGTGGCTCCTGCCGGCTCGGCGACGCGCTTGAGCATCCTGTTCACGTACGCTTGCACGCTGTCTTCGCCGCGCTTGACCTCGCTGGTGCGTGCCTCGGTTGGGGCTGGAGTTGATGTTTCTTGTGTGTCCGGGCAGGTTTGCGGCGGTGGAACAGAGGATACGTTGCCGGCCGCGAGCAGTGAAGGCAGGGACGACTCCGTCGGGACCACAGCGCCGTCGAGCGAAGCGGGCCCGGGTTCCAGCAGCTCCAGCAGCGGCACACCTTCGTCAGGTGGCACGGCGACCTCCGCTACGAGATCGGGCAACTGGGACAGGAGTGCCGCGCATGGCGCGTCCTGCGTCGCTAGCGCTATGGTCAGAGCGTGCAAGCGTGCAAGGGACACGTCAAGAAGTCGCTCTTGTCCGGGATCAAGGTAAGACCCTGTTCTTCTGATGTCTTGACACGTAGCAGCCGCAGGTAGAAGGTGCCGTCTGCCGATACAGAGACGTGCTGGTTTTGGATGTAGCCTAGGTCCGAAGACCGGCCAAAGCAGTGCCACATCTAGCACGCTAGTGCTGGGTCTTGGTAGTCGGCGTGCACGCGTGCTGTGCTGTACACGTAACGGACTAAAGACTGTAAATCCTCCTTAGTACAAGGTGGAGCCTTATTAATCAAGCCACCTTTTTCGCGTTTCATGCAATGTTTATCTAAAGTCTTCCCTTGCTTTAGCAAAATCAACTCAGTAGGTACTCGCAAGTGTGGATACTTGTCAAATAGCCACAACTTGGCATTTCTATGATACGCTGTTGCCGTGTTGCGGGCTAACTTACCTTTCTTACCTTCGTTGGTTGCGAGGTAGAAGCCAAAGCGGTCCATCGTCGCTGCTAATCGTCTGCCGGAGGTATCCAAGAGAATGCTAGCCTCGACAAACTCAAGGCTAACCTTCTCCTCCTCCAACAACCGCTTGAATGCGGCGACGGCAGTATTCCGCGCCTTCTGCGTGTTCGTAGGAACGAAGGCAGCTAAGCTCATGCTGCTTCGTCTGCTACTGCTTGGTTCTTTTAGTTGTGTGGTCAAACGCAAAGCCTACGTACTGGTTATCCTATCCACCGACCGGTTTCCTACCTTAGGAATAAACCTAGTTGTCAGAGCCATGACAATATTTTAAAAATATGTTAACTACTTGATATTTGTATGTATTGTGCCTTGTATGCTTTCTGTCTAAACAACGACGTAATTCGTTGTTTTAGCAAATCACGGTGATTTGCCCATCATTGAGTTAGGAGGCTAACTCATCGATTTAAGATAGAATAGCTGCTAAGACAACGAGTTAACGTTGAGTTATGCTCACTTTCGTTGAATGGCTGGAATAAATCCGACAATACTACGGCCCTGACATTCTAATTCTAACTCGCTCGCTTTGTCTGATTGCTTTCTAGTCGATGATTGACATGCGTTGGTGATATATCGTACTAAACTACGTCTACAATATTGAAGAACATCCCTGTTTTTATATCGAGGAGCAGCAAGCAGCTTTAAAGTCAGCGTTTCCTGCACTACCAAACATTTCTAGTTGAAATTTTCTACTGCTACTATATGCCGTGCTCTGAAATTCGAGCTTGGTTTAACGCGCAAGGCCACGACAAAGAGAGCGAAAGAATACGTCCCCGCCGAAATCGGTGCTTACTATTATGCAAGGAGTTGGCGCCATTCTATCGGGGACCTTATCCGTTTGTTTTCTTGCAGCGACAACCGATTTATTCTTTCGGTGGCAACCGCTCCGCTCTTGCTCTGGGTTGTGTTTGGTACTGGCGGTTGATTAGCTTAACTTTAACTTAGAGTTAGGCTGCGAGATATGATCACCGGGAAGGATTTGCTCGTTGGTTTAGAGCCCTTAATCGCATGCCAAAGTTCGTGCAAAGCACAATACATATTCATATTACTGTGTGGATTCCGACAAATATTTGTCGGAAAGTGTCCGAACTGGAAACCTACCCCTATTATCTCCTATTTGCCAAAGTTACACTGTTGAAGATCCGTGATTGGTCAAAACGCGAACTGATTGGGCCCACAATTCTGCCAGTCTCTCTGTCGGAAAGACCACTATACTGTATTCATTCATACCATTTTCGTTCCTCGACAACAGAGGATGCGTGTTGCTGAGGTGTTGAGTCAGCATTGCCTTGTTACCTGGGTGAAGTCACCGGATGAACGATGGGTAAATGGGCATACGGGTTGTGAGAAAGCTGACGCCGGATGTATTTGCTGAACGCCTCGTGAGAGGTGCCCGTCGGTGCTGTCAGTCGCACCGACATCGATGCCCTTCATTCTTCGAATCGCCCGTCATACAGCAGACTACTCCCAAGTCTTGCCAAGTATGTCTTCACTGTCTTCGCTTGTGGTGATCACTTTGGCGCTCGCCGGCTCCGTCAATGGAAATCAATGCGCCACCGATGAGCTGTTGTCGATCGCAGGCAACTCGAACCTACTTCGGAGGTGGGCTTCGGCGGATTCGCTGCCATTTCTGCACTTACGGAAGAGCAGATCAAGGCAGTTTGCGACAGCAGCGCGTGCATGGCGCTTACGGACGACATGCGGGCTATGAACTTCGGGAACTGCGTCATCGAGGGCACCGAGATTAGGCTGGGCACAGACATCCTCGAAGGTCTGCGGCGGCAGTGGATCAATGGATTTATCGGCAAGTATTGTCGGCGAAATAGCTGCCGGTAGCTCAGGCTCGACAAGTGGCGCTTCAACGGCTGCCGTCGGTTGGATCTTCACTCTGATGCTGGCATCGATCGTCTTCTCCATCTAAAGCGAGCCGCATCCCGAGTTTTAATGTAATATATATTGAATGCCACACTGGTCATTTGCGTGCTTTTGATCGAGTTAATGGAAGTTTGGTGCGCTGATTTACGGTGTAATCCAGACCCCACTGAAAGCTGAAATACTTAAGTACAGGCCATTGAGTTGTATTGAATCAGAACCATCGCGCTGGAACGCCTTCCCACTCATCAGCTGAGCAGCCATGGCTATTCATCCTATGGTTTGTTTGCCCTACATGTTCTGGAGTCTTATGAAAATTATTCCATGCGAGTTGCACACCCTATCTGCCCGCTGGTGCGGATAGAGCATTCAGGCTGTGATTAGCGTGAGCACGCAACACGCCGTCACTTACCAAATCGCCAAGTACTCGACAACGGACGCGTTCAAGATGCCTGGACTCTTCGTCCTGGTGGTGATCGGCTTGACGCTTATAGGAGCTACCAATGGGAGTGACGAGTGCTCCACTTCGGAGCTAATGGGCATCGCGTCAAACAAGAACGTAGCTGGATGTTCGAAGGCCGCGGGCTTCAGCAGCATGTCAACGATCGCAGATCTCACACCCGAACAGCTCAAAGCCGTCTGCGGGAGCTCAGCTTGTGCAACGTTGATGAAAGACATGGCAGCGATGGGTCTTGGCGACTGCAGGATCCCGGAGTCCAAGATTTATCTGCAGTCCGACATCATCGACCCCTTCAACGAAAGATGCAGCGCCAGCGGATCGACGGACTCATCGGCAAGTAGCAGCGGCTCCGTCACCAGCAACAACCTGAGAGACGGCAGCTCGAGCACGACAAGCAGCGCGGCAACGGTTGCCATCCGATGTGTTTCGATGATGACGGTGGGGATGGTCATGATGCTAGCATAAGCGCCATCTACGGCAATTCATGAATACCAGTCCAATATATATAATACGGTGTCCTTCATTCTGATGTGATCAAGCTTAGTTGTTTGACTGCGTGCAGACTACAATGTAAAAGCAACATAAGCCGCGTTTGACGGAGCATCAAAGTATTTCGCCTTATGAACGAAGTTCTCAGTCAAAGAATGAGTACACAAGTGGAAAGGGAGAAGACACGAAGCAACGTCAAGTGCTCGATCAGCCCACGAACGGGGCCTGAAGGGCGAGCACCGCCTCCAGAGCAAAAGTTAACAGTCGATGCACCGATAAGTGGATGCGGGTTTTAGATTCGTCGGCGTCTCTGCGTCAGGGGTTCTTCGAGTCATCTTCGTCTTCGGCGTCAGGATCGGTCGACGTATTGAATTTTCTTTTTGCCATTTTAAAGTTGAAAGGGTGTTCGCAGTTCGAAGAACTGTCGATTGGGGAAGGTTTTTGGATGACATCGAACGACATTAACGCTACATTGGTAGGTTCCCCGCCTAGCGGATGACATCGAACGACATTCATGCCACATGAAACCGTGGATCTTCCTCAATCAATTCAGCGCTCGGATTGACACGTAGATAAACAGACAGCTGGAATTATAAGTTGAAATCGGAGCCTGCTAGCTCTGTAATAAAGTTGCGCCTGAAGTCACATCGTAGTCGCGGAGCTCGTGCAGTGTGCCGTTCCGCCAAGCTGGGGGCGAAAGACTTTCAGAAGTTCAAACGGAGTAGCCACGCACGTAGAAAGCCACGCTTGACTTGGTGACCATTATCATTCACACTTGCTCAAGAAAATTATGAAATTATGCGTAATAGATCGCCTTACTGGTATTATTTGTAAAAAAAAGCATCTCCAATTTATGCTAGGCCTCGAAGATGGTTTGAACCAGTTCTCGACCCTAAAGTTTCTAAAGTGGTCCGAATCGACGATTACTTGAATCATTCCATTTCTGGGCTTGCTCGAAGAAACGAAACTTTAATTTAAAACTGGGCCTGTTCATTGGGAACTTGCCTGATCGGCTTAGCCGTAGTTTGTTTTTGATGTAAACCAGGTTATCCAGTTTAGACGTGAACAGACGGGTTCTACAGACTACGACGAAATATCCGGCAAGATGAAGTCCGGTAGACAAAGTCGTGCAATGAACAACAAGAAATTCGCCTGCCAATATGATGTGCTGTTTTGTACTTCATAGTTTTGTGCGTATTTTATGCCGTGTCACAGTATTTTCAAAATTTACATATACGTTAGAATCGCCAGGTGTCTAACCGCGCTGAAGGGCAAGAACGTATGCAACCCGAGAAAGTGGACTCCATCAAAATACACGTTTTGTGGAGAAAGAATGCAAGAATGCAGCCCGTGCTACCTTGTTCGTCGTAGTAGCATGCATCGTATAGCTAGCTACTGACAACTATATTCTACAGCGTTGAGCTCAATGTTGGGCATACGTCCTGATGATGCTGATCGTGAGCCCAACCACAGCTTCCAATAAACTATACGCACATTATCACAGCACTACGTCGTACTTGTACACGTAATATGTTCAGAGCACTTAAAATTGTACTTCGAAGTAGTACTTTACTGACCCCATTGGCTATCGATCCGATCGTATTCTATGACCTCCTCTTTCAGACTGTGGTCACCAGTATGCAAAGGAAAGTAAAATGAATTCTGATGTTAGCTCCAACTCTAAACTAGTGCTTGTTCCTGCTCCTGGCTTTTGCCTACGAATTCGTACAGCTTCTCGAATCCGGCTTCTAGAACTCTAAGCACCAGAGCGAGCTTTGCTTCGGATCGTACAACATGCACTGCGGCAGACACGAGACCGGCCAGGGCTGGCCACACAGACACACTAGAAGATGATATTGCAAACGTACTCCACATGCATAGTTCTATGAGCCGATTGCCTACGAGGCCGATTAATTGGTCATGTAAAATTATCCTGGAAGAGGATCTCGACAGGGTGAATTCCTGCACATTCATTAGAACGAGTCTTTGTGGATTGAGCACCCAACAAGACTTCCACGAAAAATATTAAAGTTGGGCGGGCCAAGGTAGATTGCTTGCTACTTTTTCTTATTTGCCGAACCCTTTTTAGGCACAAGCAAAACTATTTTCCGATTGAGAGAATACCATGTTGTCACTGAATACGGTGTATCGGTATTTATGATGGTTCCTTCTGAAAACTCCTTATAACCAATATACAGCGGCATGTAGAGCTTTGGCATATGCATGTATCAAGTGAAAACTAATTAAACCGATTTCTTGCAGCACCGGTAAAGTTACGACCTCTTAGTCACCAGCGTTTCGTTTAGATCCTCCAGCTGCTTTGGGGTTTTTTAAGGCATCTTTTGTTTTTGAATGATAGGTTTTGAATGATTAATCCAGGCTTGATCTCGACAAGAGCTCATCGAGTTTGGTTTCATTTTGTAGCATTTTATGGGTCCAAACTACCCCACCAAACAAAAATATTTGTTCGGTCTGACCGTGAGCTTGCAACAGACCGAAAGCACCTTATCAGGTATGTACTCCCCGAATTGTGAGTTTGAAGCAGATGCAGCGTGTTCAAGCTGTAAAATTCACTACCGGCGGGGCCAGCGCTATAAATTCGTCCATTTATTGCTGTTCGTCACGATGGCAGCTAGTCACAGGTACAAAGCTAAAGAAGACTTCTAATATCTACCGCCTGCACATCACCATACCCGGCAGATGCTGCGGCTGCGAAGCTGGCGCAGGAGATGCCTGTGAATAACACAACTTTGATAATGTTAACGGGAGATTGTGCGCGCGGAGTCTGCTGCTTGTTTTACTTTCAAGTACTTACTTGGCTACGAGATATCCGACGATGTAAGCAAGCGTCGCAATTTTAATCTATGTTTATCTAGTATCCATAGGTGATTTGGTTTTATTTTTCTGTGAACACAGGCTGTCTACTGGGCGAACCTCATCTAGAACTATTCCGGCGTACATTCACCTTCATTAGCTCTAATGCTTCAAGTAGCTTCGAACTGCGAAACCCCCCGGGTTCACCACCCGGGTCACCAATATATATGTGAGTACTACATCCTCGTTTGAACTTTTGACATTTTGAAACTGGAAACTTCGGTTTTGAAGTTGAGAAGGTGTAAAACAAATCGGTTGGACGTGTTAGATCTAATAGAACTCCCGAGTTTTCTGCTGTCAATGGCTCGGACTTGTATTCTGAAATCCTGAAGATTATCTTGCCGCTTTCAACTACTGTACATGGTAATACATGTATCCGATTAGAGAGGTATCAGTACCGTTGGTATCATTCGCATTGTTAAGGACATAATAGGATAGAGCAGATGTAGGGTGGTTCTGGAAGCTTCTAGAAAGGAGCTTCCATCCACTCGAACTGCGGGGGCGGTCACTTTTGGTTTAGACCCGCCATCCCCCCAAGCCTGGCTTCCTCTTCGTTTTGAAATACTGGTAGCACTTGTTGGTCCCAGCAACCTGACAACGAGGAGCCCATGCCCACCATCGCCCAACTACGCGCCGAGATCGATCGGCTGAACCAAGCGATGGCGGACCGCACGCGAGTGCCGAGCAACCTGCGAAGTTCACCGGCAAGCGAGGGGAGTATGCCCGCGAATGGCTGTTCCAGATCGAGAACGCCTGTCGAATCAACAACATCCCGATCGAAGACGCAAGCACCCGACAACCAGGAATCGCGAGGTCGGCGATGGAGAAGCCTGCCTCCGGCTGGTTCCTGCACCGGTCGTCGACGACTCGAAGCGAGGAGCACACGTGGGGGATTTTCCGTGAGCATGTGCTCCAACACTTCGAGGCATCGAACTACCAGGCTGTCCTGAGCGAGAAGCTTCAGCGACTTAAGCAGGCAGCAGACATTGAGACGTACAACGGTGAGTACTCAGCTCTCATCTTCAGAGTGGAGGGCATGAGCGTACTCGACCCAGTGCTGTGCTACCCGAACGGTCTCAAGCCTCGCACGCGCAGCTACGTCAAGCTCGAGAACCCCCAGACCCTGAGCGACGCTATGGACTTGGCTGTCAAGTACGAGGTGACTCACTTCGTCGAAGAAGCTCGCGACCGTCAACCCAAGCGCGACAAGAAGTTCTCGTCGGCTGATCAACCTCACGCCCAAGGTAAACCCTTCAAGGGGAAGCCGTTCCGCGGGAAAGGCCGCTTCAAGCCGAAAGCTGAGCCCAAACGCGCCGATGGTCGTACCTGCTTCCACTGCAAGAAGCCTGGTCACATCAAGTCCAACTCCTTTCTCTGGAAGAAAGAGCAGGAGAAACAGGGAAACGGGCAACCACGTCAATGAAGGAGGGTCCTGTCGTGGCTGAGAGCGTAACCAGAACACTTACGATTGGGAATATCAGCCTTAACGTTCTGTGTGAAAACCCTCTGGTCTACAAGTCACGTCCGCTGTTCTCCGTGACTGGTGAGATCAGCGTGAGTGACAAGTGTCTCGCTACACGCAGCATGTTGCTGGACTGTGGAGCCACCACGATCTACGTGTCAAAGCGTTGGGTCAGGGAGCACCAGCTTCGAACGACGAAGTTCAGCGACAAGAGCATTCACGTGAAGCTTGGAGACAACCAAATCGTGGAGACGGAGCTGGAAGTTCTGCCTTTGAAGATCCACGTGTCGGGTCTGGACGAGGCATACCAGTGTGTCGCCGTCGTCTACGCGATACCCGACGAATTCGACTGCATCCTCGGGATACCCTTCTTCGAGGACAAGCAGCCCCAGATTGATTGGAGAGGTCTACGTATCGAAGGAACGAGAGAGAAGACTCTGCGCTGGGAGCAGACAGGTGACACCTGTGGACAGATCGATGAAGGTGGACCGGTGATTGCCTCCGGGCTTCGGAGATCTGTCGAGGCGAAAGGCCTTTCGGCGAAAAGACCCGATTCCTGTCGAGGCGCCGCGCTGGAAACGGGTGTGAAGTCCACGTGCGAAGCTGTTCGCGACGCAGTGCTGAAGGAGACCCCGACCGTTGTCACCAGACGACGAGGAGATGACCCGCAAGCTGGCGAGTGTTCAGCTGGAGAAGACGACGTTGCGATGTCAGAGCGCGAGAGTACTGCACGAGAAGCCGACGAAAGAAGCAGTACCAGGGGCAAAGACACCGTCGTGGAGAAGATGTTCACGATGGGTATTGTCGACGAGAGTGGTGTGCAGACCAAGTGCATCACCCGCAAGAAACTGCGGAAGTTCCTGAGAATCAAGACCAAGTCGGCCGAGGAGCCCGACTTTATGTTGGTGCTCTCGAACGAGACGATCAAGCAAGTTGCACGCTCACTGCAACGACGAGACCAACCCGACAATGTTGGTAGTGCGAAAGCACAGCGCTATCTGGAAACGGACTGGGACAGTTCCATGAAAATCCAGCCTTCGACCTCCAACGGAGTACAAGGACAACGTGTTCCGTCCTGAGCTACCCGAAGGTTTACCAGAGAAGCGCGACATTGAGCATCGGATCGATGTGAAGGATTCAAATCTGGCGATGTACCGACAACAGTGGCGACAGTCTCCTGAGCATCAGCGTCAGATCGTGCGTTGGGTCGAAGACATGGTGAAGAAGAAGCTCATCCGACCAAGCATCAGTCCTCACGCAGAGCCGACATTCTGTGTCCGGAAACCAGTCGGCTGTAGAATCGTTCACGACTACCGGTATCTCAATTCAAACACTGTGCGCCAGAGCATCCCGATGACGAGGATGGAAGGCATCTTGGACGCCATGTCTGGAGCGTACTGGTTCTCCACTATGGATCTGATGTCCGCGTATTACCAAGTGCGTATGCGGGAGGGAGACATCAAGTTCACAGCTTTCCAGGCGCCAAACGGACTGTGGGAGTATCTTGTACTTCTGATGGGAGTCTGCAACGCGCCAGCAACAATGCACCGGTTGACTTCGAAGCTGTTCCGAGACTTGAAGAACACGAAATCGTTCTACGATGACATCTACATCTTCACCAAGTCGCCGAAGATCGAAGACCATTTGGAGGCGCTGCGCAAGACGTTGGATATCTTGCGCGACAACAAGCTGTACGTCAAACTGTCCAAGTGTGTCTTCTGCGCCGACAAGATTCCATGCCTTGGTGATTTCGTGGGACGTAACGGAGTTCGGATGGACCCCGACAAGGTGCAAACCATCAAAGACTGGCCCGTGCCGCGGACCCAAGAGGAGCTTCACAGCTTCCTGGGTCCGACTGGCTACGTGCAACGCTTTTGCCCGGAATACGCTTCGCTCACGGCAACCATGTTCGCCCTCCTGAAGAAGAAGACCAAGCGCAATGCGAAGATTCACTTCAGCGACGTGCAGTTGAGGAACTTTAAGGAATTGAAGCGGAGGTTGTGCAACCCACCAGTGCTGCATCTCCCGGACTTCAGCCAGCCAATGCATCTGCGGACGGACGCGAGCAAGTTCGCCGTAGGTGGAGTGCTGTTTCAAGTCGTCGATGGTGTCGAGCGTCCCATTGCGTACACCAGTCGGAAGATGAAGTCTGCGGAGCTCAACTACCCAACGCAACAACAGGAGTTGTTAGCTATCGTTCATGCACTGGCCGCGTTTCGGATCTACTGCTTGGACAAGCCGCCAATTATGAAGACCGATCACAAGAGTCTCGAAGGCCTGTTCACACAGAAGATGGCCAACCGCCGACTAGCACGCTGGTATGATATCCTTGCGGAGTATCAACCGACGTTCTCGTATCTCCCTGGAGCGAAGAAGGTATTGCAGACGCTTTGAGCCCAAGACCAGACCTGGAACCGGAGACGAAGTTCTTCCACGACTTGAGTGTGACAAGCTTCGACGATACATCCTTCAGTCTGGCGATCAGCGAAGTAACTGGCGACTCCGACTTGATATCAAGCATCAACAAGTCGTATGAGAAAGCCCGCGAGGTCCAGGCCATTTTCACAGCGATCAAGCGGCGCAACTCCAGCTCGAAACCAAAGCGTGAACGCAACCAGCAGAAGAAGTACCGATGCTACACCGAAGCGAATGGACTGCTCTGGTATCAAACACCCGCAGACGATGCTCCGCGCGTTGTCGTGCCCAACGATGTAAAGTTGCGGCAGACAATCATCAGTGAGTGTCATGACACCAACTACGGCGGCCATCCTGATGCTGAGCGAACATACTTGACACTAGCGCGCCGCTGGTACTGGTCGAAGATTCTGAAGTCCATCCAGAAGTTTATCGTAGGCTGCAAGCCCTGTCGAAGAAACAAGCCTCGGTTAACGAAGCCTCCTGGTTGGCTTGAGCCACTAAGCATCCCAGATGAACGGTGGGGGTCGATCTCCATGGACTTCATCACGGATCTCCCGCGAATGAAGCGAGACGTCGACTCCATCTGGGTTGTCGTCGATCGGTTGACGAAACGTTGCCATTTTGTGCCAACTACGAAGAAGGTGACGGCGGAAGGCGTGGCTCGACTCCTCATCGACAACATTTGGAAGCTCCACAGCATGCCGACGAACATTGTCTCCGACCGCGACAGGAAGTTCGTGTCCGCCTTCTGGCAACACGTCTTCAAGTCAATCTGGACGAAGCTGAGCATGACCGTGACTCACCGAGCTCAAGGCGACGGGCAAACGAAACGTATGAATCGAACGCTGGAGGAGTATCTTCGTTGCTTTGTTGGTCCACTTCAGGATGATTGGGGTCTTCATCTAGCGAACGCTGAGTTTGCCGTCAACTCAACGGTCAACTCCAGCACGAAGCTAGCGCCATTCGAGGCCGATCTGGGATTGCTACCGAGAAGTTGGAGAGCATTCCCAAGAGTCGACGAGGAGCGGAGTTCCATGAGCGTCAAGCCGCCATCTTGCTGAGTTGTTGCGAAGCATTGACCCAGGCGTAGGAGCGAATGCGTGATGTCTACAACCGCAACCGTGAAGAACAAGTCTTTGACGTTGGCGACCGCGTGTACTTGAGCACGCAAAACCTCGACCCAAAGCACTCTGGCTTGCCGAATTCGACCAATTTTGGACCGAAGTGGATTGGACCTTACACGATCGTGCGGAAGACCCACAACCATGTCTACGAGCTCAACATCCAGGCTGGTAACAAGCTACATCCAGTCTTCAACACTGGCTCGCTGAAGCCCTACAAGGAACCGAGTCGTTTGTCACGGCCGCACGACGTCATCCTCGCGGATGACACTGTCGGTCAACTTGTGCGTCGACTCCTAGGCTTCATCTTCATTGAGCGCGCGCACTGCCGCTGGCGAGAGGGCGCCGCGCAAGCCTACCGGAACGCCGTCCTCACCCAGCAGCAGGAATAGCTCCACGAGCCCCGGGAGTCATCCATCGGAGGCAGCGAGGCCAGCAGTGCAGCGGACGCATCGCGCGGTGAAGAGAGGGACGCGCGGGGTGCGCGCTCAGCAGCGGCAGCGAGTTGGTCAAGAGCCGCCCGCGAGGGCGACCCGGCCTCCGAAGAAGGCGACGCCCCAGCCTGTGTGTGGCCGAGGCCACCGTACTCGACCGTCATGACGGTGGCGCTGGCAGGACCTATCCAGCTCCGACCGGGGGAGTACACCACCAGCCAGCGCAGGACGAATCCGCCACAGAAGTCGCCCGAGAGCTCCAACTGTTGCGCCGTGCACGTCCAATTGAGAAATGACCGTTAAGTACGGACTTGGTAAGGATAAGTTCAGTTGGCTTTGTAGCCATCTGTCTTAAGTACGACTGGTACCTTGAAGAGCCGCGAGGACGAAGCGACGCAGCCCTCATCTGAGGAAGGGGTGAGTGTATCAGATTAGAGAGGTAACAGTACCGTTGGTATCATTCGCATTGTTAAGGACATAATAGGATAGAGCAGATGTAGGGTGGTTGTGGAAGCTTCTAGAAAGGAGCTTCCATCCACTCGAACTGCGGGGGCGGTCACTTTTGGTTTAGACCCGCCATCCCCCCAAGCCTGATTTCTCTTCGTTTTGAAATAATACATGTCGATTCCGCGTGAAATGTAATCACCTGAGCAAAAATCAAAAAATGTAAGGGACTTCCGTGACGTACCGATCCAAGTTTTCCTTACGAATACAGAACTTAGTACATGTATGCCCTACAACACCGATGCAAACAATGGAAGCCTCCAACAACCTCAGCCCGACACCTCAACGGCAGTGTACTTTGACCCGTTGGAGACAGGGTGGCGGTGTCACGATGGCGAACAGCAAAAAAGGCGTCATGCCATCTTCAACACATCCTCACGACGCACTATAGTTTGTACCCTTACAACCGACAGGACAAAGTGGCACGTACAGACTCGGTCGGCACTTCTGTCGTCACAGTAGGTAACTACATGTATACTGTAGAACACGTTATGTAAGAACTGCCACGCCGCGTGGAGCTGAGGTCAGCCCAGGTACATGTAGATGCGGAGGTCCGCTCCGCGGTCCTTCCGAAAAAAATCGCGGTTGCAGTGACTCTGATGCTCGCTCATCAGTCGCAAGATGCACCACATCAAAAAGCGCCTAGAGGCAAGGCGGTTGTGCTGTCGGGGAGTCGAGCTAGGATGTGTTCCAGTCTTTTCCATGGCGCTTGAAGAGCGCTCCATTGTCTCCGCAATGCGGAGTCCGCATCCATCAAGGCGCCGCGTTGCTGGCCTGCCTCAGTGCTCCTGGGCGAAAGCACTGGAGGAGAGCCCCGCTCCAGGGACTGAGACCTGCACCCGTTGCCGTGCCATGTTCACAAGCGACTCTTTTTAGCACCATGCGGTCGCCTGGAAAAAGCCGCTCGCACCGCCTTGCACAGCACGACGGACGACGATATGTACACCTCGGCGGCGTCGACAGCTTCGGGGTATTCAACTTGGCCGGGGGGGGGGGGGGGGGGGCAAGCGGTACATCGGCGGCATGCCACCATGAACCCCATCCAGTTCCTGTATCCAGCTTCCATGTCAAAACGGAGTGGCTCCGGTGACTTCCATGCGGCGATTCCATCGCGTTTCGGTCTGGCCAAAGCTCACCATCCGGATACACTTTGGTCTGCGTTGAGCCACAAACCACGAAGCGACCGAATGGGGCGACAGCGCTCCGTCCTTCGAGTGCTTGTGTGGACCGACTATCCGACTATCGATTTCTCGCGATGTGTAACACGGGGCTAAGATGGGGCGGGGCCACAAAGTTGCCAAGCGTTTGTGCGTCAATATGCTCCTACCCGCCATGGCTCAACTCCTGCGAGATGCACCGTATGTCTTCAATTCCACCGGCTCAGCTCTGTCTGTAGGCCAAGGTCTCCCTCTCAGCCGTTGGTGCATCCAGCATGGCATTTCGTAATTGGCGATCTCCGCAGCAGCAAGTCATCGAGCCATGCATGTCTGGGGGACTCTCGCCTTCACGCTGGGCGCCATCGCCGCTGGCGGCGCGCAGGCCGCGCGCAACCTGACGGCCAACTTCGACATCCTATCGTACAACGACGTGTACGAGATGCTGCAGGACACCGTGGACGGCATCAACCTCGGCGGCCCCTCGCGCGTGGTGCCGATTGCCAAGGCCATGCGCGAGGCCAACCCTAACACGCTCGTGCTCTTCGCCGGCGACACGGTGTCGCCCTCGCTCTGGTCGACGCAGTTCAACGGCCAGCACATGGTCAAGGCGCACAACGCCATCGGCCTGGACTTCGCGTCGCTGGGCAACCACGAGTTCGACTTCGGACTCGAGAACTTCATGAACGTGTCGCTCAACTCCAACTTCCCGTGGCTCAACGCCAACTGCTACGAGATCGCCAACAAGACGCTGCTGCGGGGCACCGTGCCCAACGCCATTAAGAACCTGACGGACCCCGTCCACGGCGACATCAGCATCGGCCTCTTCGGCGTCATGTACGACATGAACGACACCAGCAAGGGCCTCTACTGGGAGGACCCCATCAAGGCCGCCCGCGAGCAGGTGGAGATTCTCCAGGCCAAGGGCGTGGACTTCATCATCGCCATGACCCACCAGGACCTGGCCGACGACAACCGCCTTTCCAGGGAGGTGGCCGGCATCGACATCATCATCGGTGGACACGACCACACCTCGATGCTGCAGACCAACTTCGGCACGCCCTACCTCAAGGCCGACTTCGACTTCCGCTCGGTCTGGCAGTCGCACATCGAGTACTACGCGGCCGACGGCGACAACGACGACCGCAAGTCACTCATGACCCACCAGGCCATCCCCATCGTCGAGAGCATGCCCACCGACAACACGCTGGACGCCATCATCGCCACGTACCAGGCGCAGATGGACGAGCTCTCGGGCCAGATCATCGGCAAGCTCTGTGAGTCGCTCGACCTCTCGCAGGACGTCGTGCGCTCCAAGGACTGCAAGATCGGCCACCTGTTCGCCAACGCCGCGCTGCAGTTCTACGGTGAAGCCTCGGCCGACGTCGCCGTCATGAACGGCGGCGGCATCCGCGGCGACAAGATCCTGCCAGCCGGCGACCTGTCGCTGGGCGAGGTGCTGGCCTGGTCGCCGTTCGGCAACACGCTCATGACCATCGAGACCACGGGCGCGTCGCTCAAGCTCTTCCTGGAGCACGAGATGGCCGCCAGCTGCGGCGCCAACGTCATCCAGCAGAACGGCTTCTACGTGCACCCGGCGGGCTTCAACTACACGTACACGTGCACGGCCGAGGGCGCCGGCAAGCTCTCGAACCTCGTGTGGCTCGACCACCCGACCCACTCGGGCGAGATCCTGGACACGGACAAGCTCGTCCTGGCGCTGAGCAACTACCTGTACACGACGCAGTTCGCGGTGATCGAGGGCGTGACCTCCACGGTCAAGGTGTCGGAGGCCGAGGCGGAGCGCGTGGACTCGGCGCTCGAGGCCTACGTGGCCAGCCTCCCCAGCGGCAACGTGTGCCTGCCGACCGAGCTGCGCTCGTCCGTCTCGTTCTAAGGATAGACACAGGCGACCGACAGCCTCAATACAATCGACATAGACCTGCTTTACGTACCACGTAGTACTACATCGCTGCCAGACAAAATATAAGCAGCTTTCAGTGGTGTTACAGTATCTTGCATGCAACGCGCTGCCAGACTAACCGGATCTACGCTGAGCGTGCACTTGTAGTATGCTCAGTTGACGGAGCTCGTTCAAACGCGTTGGAATCGAGGCACAACCAAACGAGAGCTGGCTTGCCTCGATCCTTGAGCGTCAGCCTGACGGTCAGGCGCAACGAAGAGTGGACAGGCAGACAAGCGGCCTGTCCAACTCGAACCAGACAAGTCGATCGATTGGTGGTCCAAGCTGAAGTGCACGCGAACAGCAAAAAAGTGCCAAACAAATCTGATAGGGCATGAATAGAGGTACATTTATTGTGCTTTGCAAACGTTTTGTCGTTTTGACTTGGAGCTCTCCTCGATTTATCATTAAGTCGAGGTCGATTTAATATAACGAGGTCAAAGAAAGGGACAGATCGATCTATTTAGGCCGGCTAATAACTCGAGCTACAACAATCCAAATCAGGGCTCGAGGTCGATCTCCTGGTGGATCTGGGCAGAACGAGGTCGATCTACGGTAAATCGATCCTTTTTGCGTTTTCAAAAGCGCAATTCGAGGTCGATCTAAGTAAATCGAGCTACCGCCTCTGTTTTGTACCCTGATTTGTGGACCGGCCATCCTCGATCTAGGCCATAAAACGGGGCGACATTTTATCTGCAAAGCACAATATCAGCATAAGCACAGAGAGATGATACCTGTGTGTGAGAGCTACGATGTGCGAGCTTGACAACGCTCTTGCGCTGCAATAAAGCAGTCGTTGTAGTAGTAGTAGTGAAAGGAACTTTATTTGGACTACTATAGCCATTAAAATCCTAAAGAAGATTTCATCATCACCACTAATGGCGATTCTCTTGGTAGCTGCATGCTGCTTACCCGTACTTGTCCTGGTTGTTCAAGGATTAATAGAAAACTGTCGATACAGTCCTCCATCAACTTGCCTTGTTCCACCGTTTGGGGACTCATCTTGTCCCTCCTTGCTATTGCCTTCAACTGACGAACTCCCGTCACCCGGAACTCGACGCAACTTTGCTCTACTGATGCTGGATCTCCTTCAAAGATGAGCCTGCTGCGTTGTATCCATTGCGTTGTGCTGCAAACGGTAGCTAAAACTCTCCAAAGACGTTTCAATGTGTCTTCATGCTTGGCCGTGCAAGACCCAACTTGTGAGCTTGTAGTCGGTAGTGTCGGGAAACGTGACGCAGTAGCAGGTGTCGCTTGCAGCAACTGGGTAGAAGATTCTCTCGACGTCGGAGGAACTATCGGTAAGCTATACCTTATACCGTAACCTTATCGGTACCTTTAGCGAGGTGAGTGGAAAAAGGGTCATCGTCCTCCGGCTCGTTTGATTCGATTATCGTATTCACCACGATCTCGACTCCGCTCTCGATGGCCTTGTTCAGAGCCTCTTCCCTCCAAGTAGCGGAGCTGGTGACCTTGTTCACGGATGTTATACTGCGGGATGAACTCCAGCCGGTGCCACCACATCCGACCGTGCCGGTATTCCGATTCATCGTGGTCCGAGGTGTGTATTGTGGAGTCATGAGTGCGGCGCTTGGTCTGACAGCAGGCCGGCTGACTGGCATGGCCAGAGCAGGCATGGTGTTGTATCAGAGACTGGTGTTGAGTTTGGTAGTAGTGCGCGGGGAGGGGGTCGAAAGGAGAATGCCACCCGTGCGTCCCCCAAGACCACTTGAGCTCGACGACCTCGAGGGTCGCCTCCCATGATCTCGGATCTCAAACCGGTTTCGCTTTCGGACGGAGCGGAGCACCACAAGATGTCCTGGAAGCATTCAAGGGTTGATATCTTCTATTCGGGGCTATTTATCCTATTTATCCCCTGCTTCGCTGCAGCCTCGTAGCCTAAAGCAAGCACTCGAACCACTTGAAGGGCTTTTGGAGGTCCCTGAAGAAGCTGTCGTGCGTGAGGAAAGCCGTGTCTGCGTGGTTGAGTTTCGGTGCGTAGAACCGATCGCGATAGCTGTCGCCAAACGAAGCCGCATCCAGACCCCAAAACAACTATCAAACTCCACAAGTCAATCGTTTCGCGCGACTTGTGGGGAATGGCTGTGCCAAGCGTGATGCCCCAAGCGAAACGGGTCGACAGCACTCCGCGATAGTCGGTGCTGCACATTGCCGCAGTCACATTGCCTCGGTACGCCTCTTGAGCAGCGGCGTACGCAATATTCAGCTCGTTCTGGTACGAATGCGACTTCCGAGCGGCGGAGGCGGGACTTTGCCTATAGATTTTCGACAGGAATGAGCTTTTGCACACGTCTTGGCTGAAGTCTGCGTCCATGCTCCCGCGCATCGGCGCGCTCATGCTAACCCACGCCGTGCTGTCACTGAAGCGGCATCTCCCATTGACGAGAGCGCCCGCCATCGTGAGGCCACCCATCGAGTGCATTATGATGATCGTGTCTCTGATAATGCGCGTGTTCAAGTCACTGGTGCTGCTCATCGGAAGGGAGTGATCGCAGAACTTTTGCTGCAGTGAGTCGTTCGTCCAGCCATAGTCGACGGTGTTGAGAACAGCGTACTTGACCGTGATGCAGCACGGCGGGTGCTCGCCGATGTTTCCAACCTTGTTCTTCGTCAACTTCGGAGTGTCCTGCAGTCCTGCCTCCTCGTTTGGGTTCCCCAAGCCATGAAAGTAGACGCACGGACGAGGCGTATACTTGCACGCGCACTTACTCTCACTACTTGCTGCCTTCAAATGTCTTGGTGCAGCAGGCTGGATAGCACCACCCGTCAGCAGCGCTAGCGTCTTTGGTGTCACCGAGGTAGGCGCAATCAGCACGGGGCACGCAGTGCGTTTGCCGCTCAGAGCAGGCGCGGAGAAGCTTTTGATCGGGCTCGAGAGATACTCAACGCTAACTGAGATGCCGATCTCCTGGTCACTCGCCTCAAGGCCTCCACTTAGACTAAAGAAACACAACGCAGTTGCACCGGATTCACCGAACACGCACAACGAAAAGTCGATCCCACCAAACGAAGTCTGGAGGATGGATCCGCTTGGGCAGCCAATCATCTCTCCTCGAAGAGCGAGGCCTGATGTTACACTGGCATGGTTGAGAGCTGGCAAAATGAGGTCGAACGGCGAGGTAGAAGAAAGGCATCGGACCTCTTGTGTCCACAGTTATCGTCGCCAAACCGAGTCACCATGTACCCCGCACCGTCAACGAGCATGTACCGGAAAAGTCGTTATGATAGAGCCCCAATTTTCTATTGCGGGTTGCGCTGTGCTGTATCATCCCGATAATTGTGGTAGTACAAGTACTGCGACAAAGCGAAAATGGCTATAAAACACAGTAGCAATTACATCATTTTATAAAACACGGAAGAAAATGACTGATCGACGTGCGCCGTGAACGGTTCGGCTTCTCCGAGACGGCAAGCACACAACGCAAACCTCCAGCAGCAGCAGAAGCCCGACTTCCAAACCAGTAGCAGCATGCCCCGCGACCGCAAACCTACCCACTACACCAACCGCTTCAAAGCGCGCGCTGTTGAAGACTGGCGTGCTGCACGCGCTAGCGGCACGGGCCGCAGAGCGTTTGCCGAGTCAAGTGGCTTCCCCCGCCCTTCGCTGCAGAACTGGGAGCGCAAGTACTCCCGCCTGGCCCAAGAGTCCCAGCGTCAGCCTCGAGCCAGCCCCTACCTCCCTCCGGTTCCCTCCCGTGCCTCCCGCCTCACGCTCAGCGGCAGCGGCCGCAAGCCCGACACGGCCCCGATCGAGGACACATTGTGCGTGTTTATCACGGATGAGCGGCGGCTGGAGCACACCGTAACGGTTGATTTCATCATCGACATGGCTACAGAGCTCATGCCGGAGGTGATGGGGCCCAAAAGCCCGGACGCCAAGAAGTCCTGGTGCCAGCGCTTCCTGCGCCGGCACCACCTCACCATTCGACGCATCTGCCACTCAGGCCGCAAGACTCGAGAAGAGCTGGAAGCTCTGCGGCTGCCATTTGTCGAGGAAGTGACTGAGGTAGCGACGCAGCATTGTATCTTTGACCCTAATACTAGCCTCGCGGTTGCACGTGCACTGTTCAATATGGACCAAACTTCTCTGTACTGGGAGATGGGTACAAGGACAACAGTGGAATTTGTCGGTGCCCCAACTGTGCGCTCAACCACAAACGAGAGTGAAGGTTACCGATGCATCATGGCGCTTACCGTTTTGGCAGACGGAAGAATTTTTCCGCCACACTTTGTTTACAATGGTGCCCCCGGTGGAGACGTCGAGAAGGAGCTGAATAAGTTATGCTTAGAAGACGTGGCTACCTTTTCGGTGCAAGAGAGTGCCTGGTTTGATGAGAGAGTGATGTTGGAGTGGATTGAGAAGTGCTGGAAGTATATCGTTGTAGAGCCATCAGTCCTCATACTCGATAGCTTATCGGTACACAAGAAAGCGGAAATTGCCGACGCGTTGGCGTATACGGGCACTTCGGTGCTATACGTGCCTGGCGGCTGCACCGGTGTTGTGCAGCCTCTCGACGTAGGCGTTATGGTCCCTGTCAAGCAGCACATTCGTCGTCTCAATAGCTCGCGTTCCGTCGGACGACCGAAGACTGTAACGCCTGCGTTTCGTCGGCATCAGATTTTCGAGCGTGCAATGGAGGGGCTTCGTTGTGTTTCCGCCACGACAGTTCAAAACTCGTTTCTAAAGGCAGGTCCTTTCCTGCCATAGGGGCCTCCAAATAATGTTGCCAGCGCGCCTGCCCCCAAGCGCAGCAACCATGTAGACTACACGGACATTGTAGAAGAGGTAACTGTGTAAGCACTGTGTAAGCACCTCACCGTGTTTTAATACGATGTATTGTGCATTGCAGATAAAATGTCGCCCCGTTTTATGGCCTAGATCGAGGAAGGCCGGTCCACAAATCAGGACACAAATCAGAGGGCCCCTCTGATTTGTGTCCTGATTTGTGGACCGGCCCTCTGAGAGGGGGTAGCATGGACGATCTCGATTTACTTAGATCGACCTCGAATTGCGCTTTTGAAAACGCAAAAAGGATCGATTTACCGTAGATCGACCTCGTTATACTCAAATTCACCAGGAGATCGACCTCGAACCCTGATTTGGATTGGTGTAGGTCGAATTATTAGCCGCCTAAATAGATCGATCTGTCCCTTTCTTTGATCTCGTTTTATTAAATCGATCTCGATTTATTATAACTCGAGGAAAGCTCCAAGTCAAAACGACAAAACGTTTGCAAAGCACAATACATTTTCCCTACATTGCGTCCTGTCGTGACCTCGTCCATGCATAATATGGCCTTGAACTATTTACTAAGACAATGTGCTAGGTGCTCTATCTTTCCGGGTGCTCTACCAATACGACTTTTCCGGTAGTGACAAGTGCAGCAATTGTTGACCTGGAACGAAGCTGCATGTTGGCGGAAAAGGGAAATCCCATACACGACGCTGCGCGCTTTGAATTAAGTTGCGAAATGAATTCATTTCAAGTTAGATAAATCTCTCTAGCGCTACTTTCCATAAGCTTACATGCGGGCTGCGCAACACCAAACAACGGCACTGATTATGCGGTAGCACCGTTGATGGAGCGGCGATTATACCAATGTAGTGTTGACGCTGACCTCGGGGTGCTTGTTCCCAGGGACCGTTTAGACACACAGGGGCACATAATCGTTAACAGGAGGATGGAACAATGCGAGAAGCGGCAGCACTCAGTGCAGTCGTTCGAAATTGGCAGGGTCAGATATTTAGAGTGAAGGGTGTAGTCGCTACGCTCCATACAGCAGCTGGTGTGTTCCTTCACGTCTTCTCCTTGTTTATCAGTTCACCTTCGCGAGCAAACAAGGAGAAGACGTGTACTAACGAACGTTTTGAGACTTTATTGGACGGTGGCATCAACGCATTGATTCTAGCGCCATCCTATCCGAGTGACTCTCTTGGGGGAATGTCCATGGAGTCCACCGACAAGAGACACCTACCGATGTTTAAGAAACAACGACAACAGTCCGGCGACCAGTTTCTCGCGTCTGCGATTGTCGCAACCGCCCGCAACGCAACCACAGACAGCGTTTTGAGCCCCTGCTGTTTCTTGCTTCGCCAAGGTCCCAGCCACGTGGTCAGTTCCTCGGAACATACATGCACCCTCTTCCTCGATGTGTTCGAACACCGTCAAGCTTCAGGTGCCCAGTTGCGCCCTGCGCGCGTGATTCCTCAACTCACCTCGAGTAGCACCCTCCGGTCCGACTAATCTCCTCTCAAGATCCCCGTCAACATGCCTTCGTTCGCATTGATTGTTCTTCTCAGCGTTGCCATCGCTAGTCCTGTTCTGCGGAGGACTGCCCCACGGATGCGCTGCTGAGCCTTGCCAGCAACACGAACCTGGCCACCTGCCAGACCGAAACGGGTGTCAGTGTGGCGACCATCTCGACGTTGACGGACTCTCAGATTTCGACCATTTGCGAGAGCACCGCGTGCCTCGAGCTTATGAAAGACGTTGTCGCAATGGGAGCCGCCATGGGATACGGTGACCCATTCCAGGCTCAAGCGTGTCCGTGCTGACGGATGTGGTCGACCGAGTGGCGGCTGCGTGTGGCGGAAGTGGTTCATCGACGTCGACAGGCTCCACTGCAGCAGGGTCGTCCGGGTTGATGAAGTCTTCCGGTGCGGCTAACAAGGTCGTTGGGGGAAGCACCACGGGCTCCAGCTCTGTGGCAACTGTGAGTGTAGGATTCGTCTCGACGTTGCTGCTCGTGGCGGGTGCCATGCTGCTCTAGGTGAACTGTAGGTAAACTAGGCGGATCTACGTGTAGTAAGTGTTCCTTCGGTAGTCTCGTTAGCTCACTGTGAAATTGTGATTATTCTCTTTCAACATATAAGAAATTTCTGGACGCATTAACCCGGTTCATGTTGGCGCTGGTTCGATAAAAGATAAATTCATCTTAATTGCACCCTTTGAACTCAACGGAAGGAGCTCTGACGTCCAGCAAAACTGCATCTCGTCTGAATCTTTTTTTTTACAAGTTACTCCTCAGTGAGGAGTCCTTACACCCGACAATGAATTCAACTGCTTGAAATATTGATCTCGAGTTGCAAAGATGTAGGGGGTCGAGAAAACTCGGCTGAAAAAAATATTGTAAGCAACGCGGTTGCTTAGAAGTCCAAGTGATGAAAAAAATAGAATGAAATAATACTCGCGAAAATGAAGCGGCCAGTAGCTTAGAAATCTACTGGCAACACTCCCTCCTTTTACTTTGGCAACAGCGGCTTAACTTCTCTGCGACGCAGCACAAAGCAGTTGTTCTTGGCGTAAAACACATTGTGTTGCATGAAGAAAACCACGTCCGCGATGATGCTGACAAGGCCGAGCAAGAACTTAACGGGATCTCCAGTCATGGCCGCCCAGTCGTCAGTCGCCGCGGCGTCCAGCACCTGCTGCGCAATGGACAGCAACCCGCCAGCGAAGTCGAGCTGCACGTTCCAAATGGTCCACCCAACCGTGGATTTCCGCTGATAGTTGAGTGTGATCTGCGGCAAGTACTTGAACAAAGTTGTGATGAGCTTCACGTAGCTCAACAGGTAGAGCAGATCGAGTGGTTGATAACCGAGTCCTCCTTGTCGCCTGTGATCAGCACTACCAACCCATAAAGTAGAGCGACGACGACGGTCCCACCCGTCCACAGAATGGTAGGTTTGCTCACCGTCTGTCCTCCCCGAGGGTAGATCACACATTGGGCAAGCCACACATTCACCATCACGACCGCGTGTAGCGAGAAGAAGACGTCGTTGAGCTCTACAGCATTGCGGTGGCCACCATGACGTCTCATATACTGCTGTTGCGCGCTCTCGCTGTAGTAGAACGCCACGTTGAACACCGTGTACCTTGCGAAGCCCAGCATGTTGAGTACCGCATAGTCCAGCGACAGTCCCTCAACGCTGCGGCGCTGGCGGTTGAGGATCGCCTGGGGGTAGAAGCTCACGCTCCAGCAGAAGAAGTAGATCCAGCCGATGATGCTGGACACGCGGTTCCACGGTCGCGGGATGTGCGCGTTGGCGTCCAGGGAGAGCCCGAAGGCCAGTCCGGCCAGCAAGATGAAGGCGGACACGATGGTCGCGGAGTGTTTCGTGGCCAGATCCATGATGAAGAATCGTTGTGATACCTTCGAATGATAGGATACCTCCTCGAAGGTATCTCGATGATGATGTGGCCGATCGGTAGCACTGTACCGATATACTATCGGTTCTAGTATCTAATCGTTACGTCTATATCTGTTAAAAAGTTGCAGGTGCAGTACTGTGGTAAAGATTGTTTGAGAAAAGAAATGTACGCAAAAGTTACGAGTCCGAAGTATTGGAAACGAAAGCAGGCAACAAGCAGCTTCGCCCAAATTACTGAATACTTACAAGTAGGCGGTTAGAGAAAATTTGCCTGAGCAGGAGTTTGTTCTTCTTGGCGACAACCTTAAGTTAACCTGATCGTTTCAACGCGCTAGTAACTGAACCTTAAGCATGATTCTTCTGTTACTTTCTTTTTAAATCAAGAATAATGCTGCAAGCAACCATTTTGGGTTTAAGATGCAAGGCTACAGGAGGGAAATCAATGCAACCGAAGCAAATACGAATTGAATCTACTACTACTTTAGTAGAATACTTAGTATTTACCAGGCTTGGAACAGGGCTAAACCACCCAGTACATCCATTGTTCTCAAGACGGATACTTTGATATCGTTCATATTCTAATTCGCTCGCAACATTCGTTTCTTACAGTACTAGTCCTTTACTTGGGCAAGAACGGCTTGGCCTCTCCTCCGTGCAGCATAAAGTGGTTGTTCTCCGCGTAGAACACGTAGTGCTGCAGGATGAACACCACGTCCACAATAATACTCACAAATCCCAGCGAGAACTTCACCGGGTCTCCAGTCATAGCCGTCCAGTCGTTGGTCGCCGCGGCGTCCAGCACCTGCTGCGCAATGGACAGCAACCCGCCAGCGAAGTCGAGCTGCACGTTCCAAATGGTCCACCCAACCGTGGATTTCCGCTGATAGTTGAGTGTGATCTGCGGCAAGTACTTGAACAAAGTTGTGATGAGCTTCACGTAGCTCAACAGGTAGAGCAGATCGAGTGGTTGATAACCGAGTCCTCCTTGTCGCCTGTGATCAGCACTACCAACCCATAAAGTAGAGCGACGACGACGGTCCCACCCGTCCACAGAATGGTAGGTTTGCTCACCGTCTGTCCTCCCCGAGGGTAGATCACACATTGGGCAAGCCACACATTCACCATCACGACCGCGTGTAGCGAGAAGAAGACGTCGTTGAGCTCTACAGCATTGTGGTGGCCACCATGACGTCTCATATACTGCTGTTGCGCGCTCTCGCTGTAGTAGAACGCCACGTTGAACACCGTGTACCTTGCGAAGCCCAGCATGTTGAGTACCGCATAGTCCAGCGACAGTCCCTCAACGCTGCGGCGCTGGCGGTTGAGGATCGCCTGGGGGTAGAAGCTCACGCTCCAGCAGAAGAAGTAGATCCAGCCGATGATGCTGGACACGCGGTTCCACGGTCGCGGGATGTGCGCGTTGGCGTCCAGGGAGAGCCCGAAGGCCAGTCCGGCCAGCAAGATGAAGGCGGACACGATGGTCGCGGAGTGTTTCGTGGCCAGATCCATGATGAAGAATCGTTGTGATACCTTCGAATGATAGGATACCTCCTCGAAGGTATCTCGATGATGATGTGGCCGATCGGTAGCACTGTACCGATATACTATCGGTTCTAGTATCTAATCGTTACGTCTATATCTGTTAAAAAGTTGCAGGTGCAGTACTGTGGTAAAGATTGTTTGAGAAAAGAAATGTACGCAAAAGTTACGAGTCCGAAGTATTGGAAACGAAAGCAGGCAACAAGCAGCTTCGCCCAAATTACTGAATACTTACAAGTAGGCGGTTAGAGAAAATTTGCCTGAGCAGGAGTTTGTTCTTCTTGGCGACAACCTTAAGTTAACCTGATCGTTTCAACGCGCTAGTAACTGAACCTTAAGCATGATTCTTCTGTTACTTTCTTTTTAAATCAAGAATAATGCTGCAAGCAACCATTTTGGGTTTAAGATGCAAGGCTACAGGAGGGAAATCAATGCAACCGAAGCAAATACGAATTGAATCTACTACTACTTTAGTAGAATACTTAGTATTTACCAGGCTTGGAACAGGGCTAAACCACCCAGTACATCCATTGTTCTCAAGACGGATACTTTGATATCGTTCATATTCTAATTCGCTCGCAACATTCGTTTCTTACAGTACTAGTCCTTTACTTGGGCAAGAACGGCTTGGCCTCTCCTCCGTGCAGCATAAAGTGGTTGTTCTCCGCGTAGAACACGTAGTGCTGCAGGATGAACACCACGTCCACAATAATACTCACAAATCCCAGCGAGAACTTCACCGGGTCTCCAGTCATAGCCGTCCAGTCGTTGGTCGCCGCAGCATCCAGCACCTGCTGGCCGATCGACAGCAATCCTCCAGCGATATCCAGCAGCACGTTCCAAATGGTCCACCCAACCGTAGACTTCCGCTGGTAGTTGAGCGCGATCTGCGGGAGGCACTTGACCAGCGTCGTCATGAGCTTCACGTAGCTGAGCAGGTAGAGCAGGTTGAGCGTGTTGATCGCGGAGTCTTCCTTGTCACCGGTAAACAGCACGGCCAATGCAAACAGCACCGCAGCGACGACTGTCCCACCCGTCCACAGAATGGTAGGCTTGCTCACCGTCTGCCCTCCACGAGGGTAGATCGCACACTGGAAGAGCGACACCGCGACCAGCACTGCTGCGTGCAGTGAGAAGAAGACGTCGTTGAGCTCCACGGCATTGCGGTGGCCGCCATGACGTCTCATATACTGCTGCTGCACGCTCTCGCTGTAGTAGAACGCCACGTTGAACACCGAGTAGCACGTGAAGCCCAGCATGTTGAGTACCGTGTAGTCCAGCGACAGCCCCACGACGCTGCGGCGCTGGCGGTTCAGGAACACTTGGGGGTAGAAGCTCACGCTCCAGCAGAAGAAGTAGATCCAGCCGATGATGCTGGACACGCGGTTCCACGGTCGCGGGATGTGCGCGTTGGCGTCCAGGGAGAGCCCGAAGGCCAGTCCGGCCAGCAGGATGAAGACGGACACCACAGCGGCTCGGCGGTTCACGGACAGGTCCATGAAGGAGAAGCCCATGGTGTGGCAATGGTGGAGCTGTTAGGATAGTGTGGGGTGGATAGGAAGATGACGTTGTGATGCACTTATTCCTCCCAAGGATGATCCGTTGAAGTGTGGCACGTGACGGTTCGTGCGACAAAGCAGAACCGATTAGGAACCGGTACTTTCGGTGGATGGTAGCGAATCAGATGGGAGAGGAGGATCGACGGGACTTTTAGACAGCGAATCAGAAGGAGGGAAATCTGATATGAAATTGTGGGTTTTGGCCGGTATACCGTTTGTATTGTCGGTATTTGCGAAATTCGCTGCAGTGTAGTCTCTTTAGAGCATCTCCACCGGTGCTGAGTAAAACTAAAAGCAAATTGCCTTCAGATCTGTGTCTACAACGGCACAACCGTGCTAAAGACAGTGCGCAGCTCCACCGGTCATTGAGACTTGCAGTGAGCGCGTTAAAGCTCTTAGCACGGCGCCAGCAATGGCGACAACGAGTCCTAGCTGTATAGCCCTATAAAGATGAAAACGGGCCCGGGAACACGTTGACGAAGACCCAGGGATGACGTAGCATGGGCGACACTGCGGTCTGTGACGCTTGCGCTGCTTAGAGCGCTCGACTAGGCCCTACTACTGGCTGGTCGACATTTATTCAACCTTTTACTCAAAGTCTCCCCCGTAGGCAAACTTGTGCAAAAATTTGATCTGCGTAAAAAATGGAGGAATTTGCTCAGCATTTACTCAAACCGGTGGAGATGCTCTTAGAGTGCGGATGTATTGTGCCTTTCACGTATTTTGGCGGGTGAGCTGTTAATTCAGGCGGAATTAGAGTCATAAAAGGGCGATCAACGCTTATTTAGTGCTAATTCTGCCTAAGATTGTGAGAGCTTCCCCTAACATCCGCGATCAGCATTTAAGAGCAATCGATGGAGATACGAGCAGAATGGCATGGATTGGCGGGTAGGAAACCGCCAATCGCTCTGTTTCCGCCTAACGCAGACTGGATTAGCTTATTCCGCCTTAACTCGGCCTCACCATCGCCGCTCCTAATTCGGCCACGAATGGGCGACCCGGAATTAACATGGAAATTAGCTAACTCGGAGCATAATTATGGTCGATAAGGGATTAGAGTTATGCCAAAATTATCATGGCAGAATTCACAGGTCGAAGACCTGTGCTTGGCCCCGGCAAAAAACTTGTAACTTTCCACAACCGGGTACCAAACCGGGTCTTTCTTTCTTAATTGTAATGTTTAACACTTCTACTCCGACATTACGGATTCTCCGGAATACAATTTATAGAGGTGAAAATATTCAGCCATGTCCGCAACGAATTCTCAGTGAGCTAAATCCACATATAGAAGTTTGTATGCGATAAATTTAAGCAGGTCAGCTGTATAGTCCATATCGCATGCGACACGAAGATTTTCGGAAAGGGTTGGGGGACCAGATCTAAATTTCCGAAGGAGAACGCGTGGGTGTCACCAGCCTTTCATTTCGATATCGGCGGCCGAGAAGACACCATCACTCTGGCGCCATGAACGCGTTCGAGAAGTCATTCCAGCAGATATGGCGCGAGTTGACGAAGAAGGGCTGGACCTAAAAGAGATTAACGGGACTCAGCAACGGCCAAAGGGACCTGCCACCCGGTGGGAACGTCAAAGGAAAGAATGCGTCGACTACTTTGTTGGTACGTTTATTTTAGCGCGTTGAGGTTGCTTACGGCTACTAAACTCCAATTTACTGGCCAGGTGAAACTAGTTTGCTGTGATACTGTCGGCGGAAAGGCTGGTTGGCCTTTGGGCAGCCCACGGCGACTGCTGGAACGGCCGCGACGGCCACAGCAACTGCTGCAACGACCACAGCGACTGCCGCGACGGCTACAGCTACTGCTGCGACGGACCGGACGGCACCGACAGGCACGGCGACTGCTGCGACGGCCACGGCGACTCCTACGACGACGGGCCTGCCACTTGCTCAGGCAGCGGCTAAGCGTCTTGCAGCTACGAAGCCTATACAAGCGACGAAGGCGGCTCCTGAGACTCTCCGGCGAGGACTGCCGTTGCTCCGGCCAAGGTGGCAAGAGCTCCAAGAGCGGCTAGCAAGGCGACAAGGTGTGGAGCGGCGGCCAAGCGCAAGGCGATGACGTCCAGGGCGCCTTCGAAGCAACGCAAGAAGGGTACGATGTTGTGGTGAGATGTATTGGCTGCAATGATACTGACTTTATTGTTGTTACGGATTCTACGGTATCTGCAGCAACGGTGACGCCAGCGGACCTTCCGGAGAATACAGCAGAAGATGTTTCGGATGAGGCGATGGATGTTGTGGAGACTCCCAGCCATGGCGTACCGGAGACGGCGGTAGTGACAGAGGATGCGGCTGAACCAGGCGTTACGGAGGGGAAGAGTACAGCGCGGTGCGTTCCAGAAATGGCCAGCGCTGTTCCGCTTGACGACGTTGACTTGGACAGCTTCTTGGATGCACAGCGGCGTCATCGACTCTTCGCCGATGCTGATCAGGATGACCTCAATGTTGAAGAAGACGTTTGGACCCTCTTGCTCTACTCGGATGCTGGAGGTGGCGACGAAACCATTGCGTGGGATCAAGCAAGGATTATAGTGACTCGGGTTCTCATTGACAAGTCGAGATCGATGGATTACCTCGTAGATAACCACGATAGCCGCATGATCGCAATAAACGTCATAATGAAATGGCCCAATGCCAGCTACCAATGGCTTCCATGAGATGAAAGCGTTATCGTGTCAAAACTGCGCAAGCACCATACACTTGGTGAAGACCACTAAGAGAACATGAACACTCTGAAACATCGTTCATGTTTTCGTCAATTGATCTCGTTTGTAGGATATCATTGGGCTAGGCAGCAAATATTGGTACCCATGTACGTCACGAAGGCAAGAGCGCAACACTGTCGGCAACAGCGTGCGCATACCAGAAGTAGCTAAGGTGGTTGAAAAGATTGACCCAAAGTGTTAGGTCGACAGAGCAAGTGAAAGGAGATCCACTGTGCTGAATGCTTGTTGTGCTATCGGTCCCGTCGCTGCAAGGGGGAAAACGGTTTCGCAGGGAGATCGCCATTGGGAGTATGTTGGTCATGCTCTGTACTGCCCATCCCACCGCATTGCCCAATCAAATATCTTGGTTAGGCCACGTGGCACGCGAAAGGGCTTGATACATGATATATAGTACTGATTTTTCGGTATACGTTAATTAATATATTAGGAATTACGGATTCTCCGGAATAATCTTCGGATTAGAAGTGTTAAACTAATATCTGCCGGAATCGGGTACCCGTCGATAAATGCTAAGATTTATGCACATTATTTACCGAAGGTTGATACTAATCTTTTATTATTGACCAAAACCTGCATTCAAACACTTACGGACGCTCTAGTACAGTATGAAAGCGTCATGGCTTCGCTGAAGGCGTATCAATTTGCGCCATAATCGACCAAGCTTAGCTGGAGATGAACAACATGGCTTGTCTAGCTGGAGGCTGCATTTTACATGTCAATTTGCTCAATACACAATCACTCTTAGCCGAAGATGCTACGGAACGAAGAAGAGACGCATGGTGCGCTGATCTTGACCATTTAACTTGAGGATGTTAGCTAAGTGACAATAATGATCCTCAATTCAAAAACAAAACAAACAAAGAAACTTTTAACTTGAGGGCTTGGGGGATAAATTGTGGAATGAGTAGAGAGTTGGGCTGGTAGTGCTTTTAAGGATTAAAAACAAAACAACTTTGGATTTACTCAATTATTATCCGTTATCATCGTCCATGAAACTATTCGTCGACCTGTGTACCATCCCGGAGCAACGCTCCGGGTTGCCTATAAGTGAAAGGCACAATACCTTGTAACCCTATTAGATTCGTTTTGTTGACCGTATCTACGCGTAACATCGTTTAGTTACCTTCGTAACTGGTTCTTTTGTAAGCTATCAGCCGAGCAAGAACTTCCGACCGCTTTTCTACTACTGTAGTAGCAAATACAGTTCCTCAAGAGTCGGCCTCGTTCTGCGCATCGATCCCAACAATTTTCTACGGCAACGCATGGTCGTGTCTTTGCTAGTCACAGTAAAAGAAAAGAAGCAACAACACGTATATTTTCTCGCGACCCCTTCTCCGCGTACTACAAAGTACGCGGAGAAAGGGGATCGCGAGAAAATATACTTGTTGTTGCGACTTTTCTTTTACTGTGACGAGGAGGTCGTACAGGTTTGTCGCCGTACCCTTGAGTCCGTTGATCTTGATATTCTTGATCGCAACCAAACTCGTGGGTTTGCCTGAATAGCCGCCCTTGGTCTTGTTGTAGTCCGAGTGCATCACGATGGCGTTGGTCACGTTGACGAGCTGGTTGTTCGTGTAGACGGCGTTGGTGACGAGCCCCTGGAGGTCGATGGTGGTCTTGATGCGGATGCCGTTGGTACTGTTCACAATGGTGTTTCCCGTGACTTTGAGTCCATTCACCGTGTAGGACGAATTCAGCACTGGGCCACCGAGAGAACCGATAGAAATACCGTGAGAGCCGCTGCAGTAGTTGTCGCTATATACGGTGTTGGCGCTCGACTGCATGGCGAGGCAGTCATCCTGGTTGTAGATGCGGTTCTTGGTGATCGTGAGGTGGTTGTTCCGGCTCAGATCGAACCCGTCCGTGTTTTTGGCGACCCCATCTCCGGCGCTGGAGTTGAGTGTGAGCCCGTTGATGGTGGTGTAGCTCGAGTCCCAGACGTTGAACGTGCGATACGGCATGTTCAACATCTTGAACCCGGAAAATGTAGAGTAGTTCGTCTCGAGGATCCTAAAGGAGACCGGCTTCGTGACCTTTCGGCCTTGGGGCCAGCACCAAGCGCCCTGGCCGTCAAGTGTACCGGGACCAGTGACAGTGATGTTGTTTCCTCTCACCTTGACCAGCGGACCCGACCATAACTAGCAGAAATGCATAAAGTTTAGAAGAAAAAACTTATAAAAAAACTTTACAAATCGAAACTAGGGGAATGTCTGATCAGTGGCGCACAGAACTTACCTTCGGCCCAAAGGTGGAGGTGCCCTGGAACTTGATCTTGGCATTGTCTTGCAACTGAGTCAAATTCAGCTGGACGCCTGCAGGCACCCGGAGAGAGTCGATGACGATGGTGTTGCACGCACTCACGTCTGTGTTGTTGACGTAGTCTCCAGTGAGAGTGCACTTGCCCGTGAAGACAGGCGGAGTCTGCTTCTGGGATTCGCCATAGCTCCCGGAGTGTTGAGCAGGGTCGTAGTTACCAGAATTGGTTTGGCTGGGGTTGCCCTGAGTGGGGGATTCTTGGGAGACTTCGGCGCTACTTGCTGCCGTTTGATCGGCGGGCATGACTTCACCTTGCTTGTAGTCGGAGCTGGAGTCAACTTGGACCTGGGGAAGGTTGTTGGTGCCTGCGTCGATGATCGTGGTGCTTGCTACCAGCAAAGACACGGCAAAAAGGCGGAGAAAAGCTTCATCGTGAGCGAGTGGTCAGGATAAAGAAAAAAGCAAAGTGAGGGCTGCCGGGAGTCCATTGTACGGACGGCTAGAGATTCACTATCACGTTAAAAGCATGTGCCGCGCGTTCGTTGTTTATTATTAATTCATTACACTGCTTACCGTAATTAGTCTCACCTCGTTTTTTGCAGAAAATGTACAAAATTCGCACTTTGACAAGTTGTCCACGATCGAATTTTTGGCCTATGAAAGCAACAGACCCCGAAATCGAATCAGCTAATTCGTCTGAATTCGCCAATCAATCATGCATTTTGTCAAATAGGCTGCAACATGGATACCCTAACCCTCCCATCATGTGAGACTACTATAATTACGGTAGGTAGTGTACCGTTTATTGCTGTATTATTCGAGGTTTATGGTGGATTTCGCTGTGGATTGTAGGAATTCGTGGCTGGCGCTGAGTGAAGCATAGCAATGTCACGTGCCACAATGCAATGCAGCATCCCCGCCTCACCTTGCCTCACGAACTGAGTCGTGGCGTAAAACTGTCTTTTCAGAGATTGATGTAATACTACGTAGTGTATTAGTCGGTATTGTCCTATTGTCAAGATCCATTTATCAAAAGAAGTACCGGTAGTATCTTTTTGTTTTATTTTTTTTTTATTAACACCAGTCACACTCGGAGTGAGCACTGCATAAAAGAAGAGTAGAAGCGTCTATCACTAGGTAATATGCTGGCACAGACAACTCCCGAATAATGGTGGAATGCAAAGCGTGCTCCTTCCGGCCTCGAAATACTACAGTATTGGATCTTCTGCGAAGGCGTGTTTTGTTAAGACACCCGTTTTCTTTGCCCAAAGTGTGCCATATTCTGCTTGCATGTACCGGTAAAAAATTCTGCGAATTCCGACAGGCACTCGTTGCCCCAACTTAGTACAAGCCTACAGTAGTAATGTGGCTGCCCTAGTTGCCGCATGAAGTGAGTGGTAACGCACCCAAGGGAAGTTTTCTTGAAAATTGGGAGGATCGTATCATTAGCCGATCTTGTCTTATTGTCAAATGGAGGCAAGATCCGTCTCATGATCGGTAATATGCTGGCACGATAGAGTTCGCAACGCCATCAGCACGTTGCATCATGCAACTTCCAACAACGAATGCCCGAAGATTTACTCGAACTACAAAGCGACCAAATTAAAATACCTAACAAATTTGCTCAAGTTGCACAGTATTCATGGTACTGTATTCATCGTGCAATCGGGGGAGAATCAATAGAGTGCTGCGCATTCAACTTCTCCGCATTCTGTAGTATAGCTAAGGCCATTCCGTTTGATCTCGGTAAGCGGTCGAAACGGACAGGTATACTGCAACCCAGTAAAAAAAGTCTATCGACATGGCAAACTGTGATGCCTCTGATGCGCGACTGAGTATTATTCATATATTTACTGGCCTGGAACCTACTCATGCCTCCTCCCCGATAATAGTATCATCGCATCATACTGAAAATGCACATCCAAATGTATTCTGTTTTATCACTGCTCGGCCCCAAAACTCTTCTGTCGCATCTACGTCGAATGCTTGATGCACTTGCCTTCCGAGAGCTTGGAGATGGTCGCGTTCTCGCAGATGGCGAACTCCAGCAGGCAGTCGTTGCCGTACGTGACGCCGTCCGAGCCGCACACGGGCATGAAGTCGCGCTCGCAGTTGTCGTCGCACTCGGCCGCGCTGCGCTCCTTGGTCACGCTCAGCCGCAGCGTGGCCTCGTCCAGCGCGCAGACGCCCGAGAGCAGCAGCGCCGCTGCCGCCAGAATCGCCGCCTTGATCATTTGTACTGAACTGGACTCTCGAACGGAGGGACACACAATTGTCCAGGGGCTATTTTGGGGGGGCGAAGTCGATGCACTCACTTTTACTTAGCTTTTTCAAGGGTCCATACCCTCATTTACTTATCTGACATCAGTTTAGAAGGAACGGGTTAGGGCTGACATTCTGGATGAGTCGCCCAGGGCCATTTCTGACAAAAAAAAATCCTGTGCTTACTGACATTTCTAGAATTATGAAGTGGACAGGATTTGAGATTTCACTGCATAAAGATGCGGATTTTAGTGACCGTATGTCATTAAATCGGAGGTACACGATTCGTTCGTACCCTGATTTAGAGCGACGGGGACAGGGTCAGCAAGCTTATATACGGGCGCGTCAGACTGAGTCTCCTACAGTTTGTTTAAGAAAATAAGAATAGACATACTATCGCCAGCAAGAGCACCATTGACCTGCTCGCGTGCAATCAGCACTAAAAGCGGTAGCGAGCGGTTGTGAGGAGCAAGGTGCCCGCGAAGCAGGGCCGCGCGGTATTTGCGGAGGCGGGCCCAGCGACGAGCTTTCCAGCGAACGGACCCGTTAGTTTTGTAATGCGGGGGTCTGGGGGTGCAACCCCCAGCATGCAGAGCTCGCGATGTAGTTCCGACTTCTTCCTGCAGGTCAAGTAGTGTTCCTAATTCCTAATTGTGCACTGATGTGATGGTCTGAACTGCAACTCTAATATATTTCTAGATGTGCTTAGACCGAAATGGTCAACAGCTTCATTAGATCCATTTGGTTGGAGAGCGGGGACGTCGGCTTGCAGTGTAGGTTCCACTGCAGGGTGTCGGCCCCCTAAGCAACTCAACGGAGCAACGCGACTGAGATGCTCCACTACTACAGAGCGTCGCGACACTGTTTGTTGGTCATTGGACACTTGGGCTGATTCTCTCTGTGCCATCCTCACGCCATACGTACCATAACGAGTTTGACGGATCGTCATGTTCTGGGTGTTCATCGCCTGCCATCAATTGTCAGTGTTCCTCTCTGCTGAAGGCGTTAAGTAACTTGACTTGACTCTTCCAAGACGATAAGGGCCTGTTACGTTTGAGAATAAGTCGGGAATAGCGCCGAGCCGGTATAACAATTCTACGCTATTCAAACGAAACAGGTGGAGAATAAAGCCCCACAATAACTGGGAAAAAGAATATGCGTTATGGAAGGAAGCAAATCATTGGCTGGCGCGACATTCACAAAAGTCCGCTCTCACGAACACTGCTTCGAGCACTGCTCGCTGTTCGTCACTAAGCGCGCCGTGGTGAGGCCCCGAGCGGGCTCTAGAGGAGCACTAAAGCTGCTCTACCCTGTCGCAACCAACCCCTGTATAGGCCGGAGCTTCCTCACCTCGCCACGAAGTCTCTACACACTCCCAGCAGCGTCAGCAGCGGCTGGCCTGCGGAGTCTGGGGTCCTCGACGGAGAGGTGAGGAAGCCCCGGCCATGTAGCTATTCCGCTCAGAATAGCTATCCTGACTTTCAAAGTCAGAATAACTTATTGGATATTTCCCAAAACGTGGACCCCCTCCACCTGCCATTTCCCAAAAGGTGGACCCCCTGAGCATTAACTTATTCCTAGGAATAACTTCTTAGCCAATAAGATTATCGCATTTTGTCGTAATTAAGCGGGAGGAATAACTCCCGCTATTCTTATTCCAGTTATTCTCAAATGAAACAGGCCCTAATAGGCACCACAAACTAGCTAAAAGTTGCCTCAGTCACCTGCACTCACCTGCTGCAGGTCCTGCACGCGCGTAGTGACGACTCCTTCCACTGCGACTGACGAGCTCAATGTGCTTGTTACCGGAGGTTACCGGAGTCTGCAGCTACGTACGCTATTTGTCATCTCGAAGAGGACGTGTTTGACTTTCTACAGCGACCGCTATTAGAGGATGTTAGCAAATTGGTATTTTACGAGTTGGGGACAAAGACACTCGACCACCGCTGTCTATGTTCCCGAACTCGTAAGAGGGGCGTCGTGTTAGTACGGAATCTCCCGAGAAACTCGTAAGGCTTTTTCACGAGACTACAAGCCTTCTGATTGGCTCGTTACCCTCATCCTGCATCTCCCCCTCGAGCACCATGGCCCCATGGCGCTTACAGGAACATGTAGCGCCGCGACTCGATTCGAGTCGCGGTGGTTCGAGTCACTCGAACCACCTCATCCAGTCTCAAGTGCCCCCCCCCCCTAATCCGTGTGACGTCCTTGCCTCTCCCAGCGAGGCACACGAGGATGACGACGATTCGGCTGCGCGTCTTAAGTCATAACGGCGCGTCGAAGTAGAGTAGGCAGCCATTGCCCACAAAGAGTAGCATAAAGTAGAATATCTTGCTTAGAGTAGTGATGTCCGAGTTCCTGATCGTACTATTGGTTTGGATATGTCAACCTAAGAAGATGCCCAGCGCCTCGATACTGTAGCGTTTGATTCTATCGCGGGTGATGACGTCGAGAAATGTAGTGCTGCGCTGAGCGCGCGAATCGCATCCTCGGTGAAGCGGAAGTACCTCTTGCAGTACGCATCGCTGTGCTCGTTGAGCCTCGAACGCCTGGGATGATCAGTCACTCGGGGCGCTCAGAGCGCGAAGCAGCATGGCATCGAATGCAGGGATCTCGTGTCAGCAGGGCGGCCTCTCTCGCTAGGAGTCAGTTGGATTTCGTAAATGGACGGATACGAGAATGCTAACACTGTCGACGATTTTGTTTTAACTAAACACATCAAAATGTTGACCGTAAATGTGAGTCGCTATTTACGAAGTTGCTAACATCCTCTATTAGACACCTTTTGCCCACGTAATTTACGCGTTTTCGAGCACACGTTTCCGCACAAAATACGGAAAAGTCATTCCGTAAAATGGCAGAACGACATACTGTTTATCATGATATACCTTTGACATAAAATGTTATATGGAAACACTATAAAATAATTTATCGAGTTTAAAGAGTAATTTTACGAGTTGTACAAATAAGACGGCATGCGCATCAACGCGTCGTAGCTGCACGACCTCGGCAGCACCGCTGTGCTTGTATCGAGGTAAAGCCGAACGAGGAGTATTATGCTCACTTGTCCTTGATCATAGAAGATGAAAATTGACGTGTTCCGGTCAGTTGGGCCAAACATATTTTTTCTACCGCACACAGTTATTATATAGTTCCATATCTGACCGCAAGGCGGTCAAAAACTCGTTGTAGGCCTCATAACCAACAGTTTGGCTCTGAACAGGCTTCTGTGTATCCCATTAATCGCATCCCTCAACGCACTTGGTGATCTTGTGCTGGATGGGCTGTTCGTCAAGCGCGATAAAGCTGATCCGCTTATGAATCTTGCATGAGTAGTACACACGCATGACGTACATGCTGCAGAATAGTGTACTCTGCAAACATGTTCGAGCTTTTGACAATATACCAACGATATGTATATATTGCCAACGCGTCCGTTGTTTGCTGCTCTAAGTAGTATAAGTCTACGTTAACACCAAAAGCTCTTCAAGCAAACTGCATGCGGTGCCGGTTGTCTAATCGATCTTTCAAGTACGCCGTAAGGCGTAGCTAGAGAAGTATTTTTCAAGGAGAGCAGATTTGGTCCTCTTACCAGTCAGCTTTTACATTTCCGAGTGGCTGCATGATGAACGGATGAAAATCGTCTGAATATACGAACATGTTAAGCTTAGCTGAAATCAATCGGAAACACGGTGGAAACGTTATGTTTGATATAAGGCGCTTGTGTGTAGACGATGGGGTTCAAGACCTTCACCGTCTTAGAACGCGCGACGAAAGACTCATTTCGGGTGGAAGGAGCTGGTCCTGGACCGAGTGTCAACGCTGGAGTATCCACGAGAGTTTCTTCATCTGCCCGATGTACACGTAGTTCGAGGCTTCCCGATGTCAATACTGAAGGTTTTTACTTTTATGTTTTGCGGAAAAACGCTGGGAGCACTCAGGACGAGAGCAGCACCAACCCGACTTCCTCTCGTCACCTCGGACGACTCCAGCTATAGTGTAAACCCTTTATCCTAGCGCCAGGGTCATCAACTAGAGCTGTAAAGTTCGTGTGGTACTTAGCTGGCCTCGATTCCCTGTCGAAGATTGATATTCGTACCTAATTGAATATACGTGGGCAAAAGGTGTCGTTGGCAATTTTACAATTTACGAAACTCAGGGAGGCAGCAGAATCCGTAAAAAACGTGAGCAAAAGGTGTCTATTGTCCTGTCGCACGACTAGCGTCCAGACATCTGTCATCACGATGTGTTTACTATAGCGAAGGCTGAATGCCCAGAAGGTGACGAAAACGCAGTCGAAGCAGACACCCTCCACTTCCAAGACAACCACATGACCGGGCGGGTGGGCGATCACAGGAATGAGATCATGCACCACCTTGCGATGATGACACTCCCAGCAGCTCTCAAGCTCTACTGAAGGTGACGGCGACGGAGTGGCTGCTCGCCAATGTCCTCGCCGCCCGCCCCAGCGAAAGGGAGCAGGACGTTGCGGGCCGTGGCCACGAACGCAGTTATGGGGCACGGGTGCTATTGCGAGAAGGGCATTATCATTATCAGGCCCATTGCCGGCGGAATGCTAACGAAGGGATAACGGGTTCGGTGCTGGTTCTTTACCGCCGCCACTTCAACAGCTCCACCACGACCAGCTCGGAAGGTTGTTGCGCCTTCCCAATGGGAAGTTCCCATACAAACCCCAGTTAAAACGCACAGCGTGCATCTGCTCCAGCAGGGGAATTCGGCCGCCTTCGGTGGCGCGAGAGGCAGTCTCAGCAGCGATTTGGCGGCTAAGTCAAATCGCTGCTGAGACCGCCTCTGCATGGGGGCTGGCTTGCCGCCGGTCATCAAACTTTGATACTGTACTTTGATTCAAATTGCCCCCTTTGTCGTGCTTGCGCCTGGGCCTCGAACACTGCCGAAGTGCTGGTGCAGCCCAGCTCGGCACGGCAACCCCACGGCCCGAGGACGATGAAACGTTAACCTCTCCTTTTTGGGACCCTCAATTTTCAAACCGCTCTGTGCAGGGGACGTCGGCGCTCGTCGTCTTCGAGCGGCTTCTTTGCCCCTGGGAGTGCGTCAGCCGCCGCCGTTGATTCAATGGCAGCCGCGAACTCGGAGCTCCCACGACCAGAGCTCAGTTCCCGATTTACGTGCTCGACGTGAAGTGGGTCTCCACACTCAAGACCCTATCGACGACCAAGTATCACACACCATCGCGCAATGGCGACCCATTCAGAACAAACGTGCCGACGCTGCTCCTGCCGGAGGAAGGCGTGTCTGCGGCGTCGCGCGCTACAGCGGCGCCAGGCCAAGTTCGTGCTCCAGCACCGGCAGCTCCTACTGGGAGCGCTCTTCCAGTACAGGAGGAGGCAATACCCCGCTGTCGCCCCCAAAGAGCCCTTCGTTGAGATGGAGAGCGACGACGAGATCGCGATCGACAGCGAAGACCTGAAGGTCATGCGCGACTCGGTCGACACGATGCAGCAGCAATTGCGTCGCGGTCTGCGTGATATTGCGGAGATCCGCGAGCTGGTGAAGCAAGCGGCGGCTCAACGGGAAGTCGAGAAGCGCGAGCTGAGCACGCGAAGAGTAAATGTGGAGAGCTACGGCAACAGGCGCTGAAGTGCTTTAGACAGTGTGATCATTGGATACCTTCACGAGGTTTTAATCTATTGTCCGGACATAGTAATACTAAGTGTAGTGTTTACTCGTACGAACCGTGCTACTTTTGCGTGTACGAATGGGCGGTTATTTTTTCTTGGTGTTTTCTGACCTTGAGCACGTTCAACTACCTGCGTCATGACAAAGCGCTCTCCGTATGAATTGGACAGCGCAGTGTCGTTGGCTGCCGGCGCGCAGCGAACGAGGAAGAAGAAGCGGCAGGAGAGCGCTAGCGATTTGGAGACGGTCGCCAATGTCGCGTGGCTGGCTTCCATGCTTCATCCAGAGCAGCAATCTCCGGCTCCGCAAGTGGAAGTTCAACACAATGAAGTCATCGCAAGTAGCCGCCCAATTGTGCCGGAGAAGCAAGCACTGCCAGCTCAGGTACGCGCTGTGATCAGGAGTTGTGTATAAGAAGTGTGTTGAAATAACGGCATCGGGGGTACCTTTGGTGGGATTAGATGAGCGTGGAAGTCTTGGAGCAGAAGAAAATGCTGTTGCCGTACCTTGACAAGATCGAGTACATCAATTGCCAGCTACGGTAGGCAAGTAGCATGAACATACCGCATGGGTATTGAGCGAAGGCTGTTGTCTTAGTGTACCGTGTCATCTCGCAGCCAGCGTGGACTGCTCCCAGCTGAGGAGAGGACAGCTCTCAAAGACGGTGATCGGTCCCGAATAGCGGCATCAAATAGTCAAGCCGGTCGTGGCCCAAACAATAAGCCACTGGCGAAGCCGCCATCGAGGACACTACCTGACACGTTGGCGCCGCGGAATCAGGATGAACAAAACGTCGAGCCAGAGAAAGATTCAACTCCTGCGAAAGTGTCGACTCGGATGTTGCGGTCACGATACCCTCGATTCTTCGAGGCCGTTGTGCCGACGGAGACACCAAAGAGCTTGCTTCCTAGACAACGCGGCATCAATTGGCTGCTCCGTACGATCGAAGTGATTTACAACGCTCTTGGAGACATCTTGTTACTGAAGATGGGGTCGGAAAAGGTGGAGGCCGACTCGACTCCGTCAGATTCATGGGCAAAGCCGAAGGCTACGCCACAGAGTCGCATGACCACTCCAGGGTGGCTAGCCATGCCGTTCTTCACACGTAGATTCATCCACCATTCGCTCGGATTGCCAGAGCTCGCCGATCAAGAGTGCATGGACCTCATGTACAACATCGAGCTCAATCGCGATGAGTTCCCGCAGGTGGCACTGTTCGCTTCATTCTTGAGAGAAATACTGGACGAGGACGCACTCCTCTTCTTCCTGTTTGTCCGTAGCCATCTACAAGAGGAACTGGATCTGGATCTCGCGGCCAAAGAGAAGCAGGCTCATTCATCGCAAGCCAGCGGGTCGAAGAAGTATATCGCAGCCAACTGGATTGAACTCCGCAATCATCCATTGATCCCAGACGGCACCAAGCAGGTTTTCCTGTCCAAAGCAGCTTGCGAGAGCGTGATGCAGCGTGTGTTCGAGTATTCAAGACGCATCCGTTCCAGCAGCACTACTCGCATCGCAGCCCCCATCCTCCTGGCGCAGTACATTGTCCGCGAGCCGATAGTTAGTCGACTCCAAAGCGACGAGAAGCGCTTCATGGTTTCTGCGGAGATCTTCCTCACAACACTGGTGCAAATGTTCGGCGAAGTCGCTGAAGACATCCTTGCTCAGTTCAAATTCAACGACGACGGCGAGTCCCTGTCGAGTTTAATCCGCCTTCGAGACACCATCACGCTTGACTCCAAAGTCGACAAATGGGTCACGCTGTACGCCGAGCAGGAGCGCGCTTTACGCAACCAGAAGATCGAGCTGATGAAGATGGAGCGCAGCAACACCAACAACCAGTTCCGAGTGCAGCTTCGGCTGCTCGAGAACCGCATCCGCCTGCAGGAACAGGAGCTGCAGCATATCCAGAAGAAGATCACGGACGGAGAGAACCTCGTCAACAACGTATGGAAAGAGGTAGTGGCTGTGAAGTCTCCACCAAAGCAGTCGGTTGTGAGAGGGCCTGCGAGGGTCAACGAAGACACCAGTACACCATTACCCTCGAAGGAATTAGTCTCGGTACTTGGTCGCTTTGAAGCGCACATCGGGAGACTGCAGAAGAAGCACGACATCGCGGTGAAGGCCTCTACGCTGCTGGCTGTGCCATGGCAGCAGCAGATGGAGGAGCTTCGACTTCGCATGGTGATCCGCATCCAGCGCGCGTATCGCGCTCGGAAGCGCGCTCGAGAGACCAAGCAACATGCTCGCGACAAACTCGCGGCGCAGATTCGAGAGCGAGAGATTAGGCTGAAGAATCAGGAGCTGGAGCGCAAGCGGCTTGAAGCCATGCGCGAGAAAGACATGGAACGTCACCAGCTCCGATTGAAGGCGAAGAAGGAGCAGGAGGAGAAGCAGAAGCGCGAACTCGAAGAGAAGCAGAAGAAGCTCGTCCAGAAAGCTCGGGAAGAAGAAGCCACGCAGCGTGCCGCAGCTTCGAAGAAGAAGGAGCTCGCCCACGTGATGGATCAATGGAAGGTGTTCGTGACAAGGAGGAAGAACCGACGCAAGGCCAACCTCTTGTTCTTGAAATTTAAGCTCATGAAGTGGAAGCTGCACTTCGCTCTCCAAAAGCGCATGGCACGCGCAGCGAGATCCATCCAACACTTCATCCGCCAGCGGAAAGAGCACGCGCAGCTACGTAAGCAGCTGAATCTGCGTGCCAAGCGCAACAAGATGGCCAAGAAGTATCTGCTCAAGGTACAGGCGCGCATGATGAATCGACTGTTCAACCAGTGGGCCGCCTTCACTGTCGAGCAGCAAACGCTGCGTGAGAATTTCGCGACAATCATGCAGAAACGAGAGGGTCACTGGTTCCACCGCTGGGTCAGCTATGTCGACATGATGAAGGTACGGAAGCTGGAGGCTGCTGTCTTGATTCAACGTCAGTACAGAGGTCGAGTGGCGCGACAAGTGTTCCGTTTTCAGCGCGATCGACATCGAAAAGCAGTCACCATCCAGCGCGTCTACCGCGGCTATCGAGGTCGAACTATCGCCAAGAAGCGGGGGGAGATCAAGTCGATGCAGGACAGAGGGGTCGAAGCCATCTTGCGTCGCGTCAGGAACCGAGAAGCTGGGATGTGCTTCGATATGCTGGTGCGGAACACGTACTTGGAGCTTCGTATCAAAGAGATGGCTCAGGCTAGACGGCTTGCCGCGAAGAGAACGATGCTGCTTGCTTGGGCGATCTTCGTTACGATGAGGAAGGAGAAGCGGTCGGCACTCCTTCAGCTCCACAATCACAGCACCCTGGTCATCCAGCGTAACTACCGCCGCCATCGCTGCCAAGTTGTTTTCACGGAGACATTGAGGAACCACCGCGCTGCCGTATTGATCCAGCGCGTGTTTCGCGGGTATCTCGGTCGACAGGCAGCCAAACGCCGTCGCTGGGAGATGCACGCGGCACTGCAGATCCAAACGATCTGGCGCGGGTACAGGGCGAAGAAATACGCGGCGGAAGTGCGGACCGAGAAGATTCTCCTCGCCACGTACAAGGGCGACTACACGACCGTCAAGCGCGCCATTGCGAGTGGATTCTGGTACGTTATGGACGCTGAAGGTAACGGCATTCTCCATCTTGCGGCGGCGGCAGGACACAAGCGCCTCGTAAAGCTTTGTCTGCGCAACTCGTTCGACATCAACCTCGCCAACTACCACAGCCAGACCGCGTTGCACCTCCTGCTGGCCAACCTCCCTCCACCCAGCGCTATACTTGACGCAAGTGACGTACGAGCTCGAGACGAACGGGTCGCGTTAGCAGAGTACATGATCGAGCATGGAGCGTGGCATGAGGCTCCCGATGAAGAAGGGTTTACTCCACTCCTCCTGTGCGCGTCCTTGGGTCAAAGTGAGGCTGTCGACATGCTTCTGAACCACGGAGCCAATACCGAAGCTCGAACGACAGGAGGGTTCTTGAACGCGCCTCAACTAGCGGTGGAAGGCAACCACTCAGCCACGTTGATAGTGTTGCTGGAGTCAGGGAGCTTCGATACTGGCGACAGTGGGCAAACAACGGAGTTCTTGCTCCACGCGTGTGCTGGACGAGGGTTAGTTGACTGCGTCCGGGTGCTGGTCGCTCACATCCGACAGCGGCTTGAGGTGTTCGGCTACGACGCGCTCAATCTGTGCGACTCGGAGGGCTACACCCCGTTGATTTACGCAGTAAGCAACGGGTATGTCGACGTGGCCGAATGCTTGCTGGAAGCTGACGCGGGCCCAGACGTGAAGGATTACTTCGGCCGTTCTCCTTTACACTTCGCGCTCATTGCCACGAACGCAGCCACACGAGAAGCGCTGGTACATCTGCTCATCCAGTACGACGCTGATGTGAACATGAAGGACACGGACGGCGATGCGCCGCTCCACGTGAGCTGCGTTGAAGACGAGAGGCTGGCGTGTACGCATCTTCTGCTCACCAGCGGCGCCTTGATCTGTGCCAATGCCCTTGGAAACCACCCCACGCACATCGCAGCTCGCAACGGTGCAGTCGATACACTCAAATTGCTGATCGACTACGGCGGCGACATGAACTTGAAGAACTACGAGGGTAAGACCCCGTTAGGTATGGCACGCATGAACCACCAGCCAGCCATCGTCGACTTCGTAGCCGCGTACTTCGCGCAGGAATCCACAGACAAGAAAGACGCAGACGGACCTGAGCTTGAGCCGGTTGAGGGCGACGACGACAACCAGGACGAGACGGAACACCCAGAAGAACGACAGGCTTCCAGTGATAGACCAACGATGCCGAGCGCTGCAGAGGAAGTGGCTGACGATGAGAATGTCCAAAAAGAACGGACGCCAGCGGAGTGGACTGCAGCTGTATCCGAAGCGTACTGCATGGGGGCCATCGCAGAGTGGACACAGTACGTCGACTCGTCAACCGAGGTGCCGTTCTACTACACCGCGGGGCCTTCAGGCGAGCACATGTACACTTGGGACACCCCGGTAGAATTCGACGCCGCCATGGGCGAAATCTGGGAGATCGTACGCGGCCCCTCGATGACGCCGGCAGTAGCATTACTTGAGGAGGATCCGTCTTCAGCTCGTAAAGCTGCTGATCGCCGCTACTATCTGTACCACAATCGGGTCACAGACGAGCTCACATCAACCATTCCACCCATCGACTACGCGCTGCTGCAGGACGTGGTGCAGAACTCCAAGCGGATGAAGCTTCTGCGCGCGCGTGTCCGTAAAGTGCCCGCCGATGAACCCAGCGCGTCTGCAATGGAGTACATGCGCTTCTTCCGCGGCTTTGAAGAAGATAGCGCCCAGATCCGCAAAGAGATGCGCGCTGCCACCAAGATCCAACGTCACTTCCGCGCTCGAAGAACGCACTCGCTTGTCAAGGCGCTGCTCCATCAGAACCGCTGCGCGGTAGATTTACAGCGCGCGTTCAAGGGGCGGAAAGCCCGTCGGGAAGCCGAACTGCGTCGGAAGCAGCAGACCGAAGTCGTGAAAATCCAAGCGGTGTATCGTGGACATCATACGAGAAAGCGCGAAGCGCACGGGCTGCGCGCGCAGCGTCAAGTGCATCTCAAGCGCAGACTTGCAGCACGGGAGATCCAACGCACATTCCGTGGCTATGTGGGCCGCAAACTCGGCTATCGCGAGAAAGTCGTCCAGCGGCTTGGTCCGAAGGGATACTTTGAGTGGGAAGCACTACGGAAGTGGGCGACAGCGGTGCGGTCTTTCAAGGTCTGGGACGAAATGGAGGCACGTGCAGACTTCCCCGGTGTGTTGTTCTATTGCCACCAGGTAACACGCGCTTGTAGCTGGCAGAAACCACCGTCCTGGATCACGCACGACCGCGAAGCCTTCGAGACTAGATGCCAGTTGGTGCGCTGGGGGTACACCGAGAAGATGCAGCAAGCCGCGCAAACTCTGCAGGCAATTTGGCGGGCGCGCGTGGCTCGGATCTCGTTCCAAATGGTCCTCCGCGCAGTGAGACTCATGAAAACTTGCGAGCGCGAGTACCTTGAAGATCCGACTCACTTGGTGAAAATGGGCAACTACGTGCTCTACTTGCACACAATCGTGCACGACTACGACCGAGCGCGACCGCTTTACGGCAGACTCCTGCGCGTGATGGCCCAGCGTGGACCAGACATCCCCTTTGTGCTGTTCTCGTACGGCATCTTCTTGTACATCACGCAGGAGGAAGACACAACGCTCGTCGAGGAGATGATCTTCAGAGGAAAAATGGCAGATCCGACGCTCGTCAAATACAAGGTCGCGTTCCTGGGCTTCTTCCGGCAGGCGATCCTGCAAAACCCTGACGATGCTGAGGCGCACATCAACTACGCCGCTTGCGTCCAATGGCTGTACGATCAGTACGACGAGGCCATAACGCACTACCTCCTCGCGCTATCTCTCGCTCCACAGCGTAAAGGCACCATGGAGATCTTCCAGAACATGCTCGATCGTCGTAGACGCATTGAGCGAGCCAAGCTTACGCCTCGTAGCAGGAAAGCGCTGGCCAAGATGGAAGACGCTGGCGTTGAAGAGCAGTTCGACGCCTTCGCACGATTCCGACGGTGGCAGTCCAAGCAAGCTGAAGACGACGACCGCGCCCGACGCTTAGCCCTTGAGGCGGAGCAGGACGTCGTCAACAGACTCGAAGCTGCTCGCAAAATCCAGGCTCGATACCGCCGTCGAAATGCCATGCGCAAGGTGACGCGCCTCCGACTCGAGTACAAGATCGCCGCTGCGAACGCTGAAGAGGCTCAACAGCAAGCGCTCTACGACCGAGTCACCATAGCATTCGAGGACGTACTGTCCAGCTCCAGCAAGAAGAAGAAAACGAAGGGAGACGCCAGCACCGTCTTGAGTCTTCCAGTCGCGCAGCTGGACGCCATCTTCATCTCGCTGAAGATGGAGTTCACCGAGGCACAGCTGAACGCGGTGAGTGCCAAATTCCGGAAGGATCATGCCAAGCTCAAACACGTGAACGTCATGGATATCTGCCGCTTCGTCCAGGCTCAGCCACTGCTACAAGAGCGACTTCCAAGCATCTTCACGTCTGTAGGCTCTAAGTCTAGCACGTAATCTCTGTTGCACACATGAAGTTGATCGTTAGTCTATAGGCTGAGTGAACGCAACGGGATCGCAGACTGGCAGCCGCCCACGTGGCATTCAGTCGTATGAGCCACGCGAGCGGCGACGTAGGATATTCAAATACATATTATTTGGTACGATTGGTTTGAGTGGCTATGCATCTAGAGTACTTGGTGTTGTTGAGTGAATACATGTCTGGCACAAGGTTTGGTGAGATGGTGGGGGCAGATGAGGTGGGCTACACATCGAGCACCCAGCTCGACTTGCAGGCTTCCTCGCATGAAATCCGCTTGCTCGGGTCGGGGTGCAGCAAAGACGCCAGCAGGAAGACGGCGTTGGGTGATAATGTCGGCGGGAAGAACCACGTCGGGAAGGCCACAGATCGTCGCGACTGAACGCCGCCCACGCCAGCAGCTCCCGACTTGAGCATACCGGCGTCGGACGAGAACGGACTGTTGGCGCTTGCGGACGCAGAGCACGATCCGGCGGCCTGGTTCTGGTTCCACAGCATATTGGAGCCGTTCAGCATAAGCCCGAGCATTGGCGGGGTCGCGTGGAAGCTTGGGTGGGTGGGGGATATCTCCGGCATCTCCTGTTTAGAGCCGCTAGAGCTGCCGCCAGTCTGGAACAGGTTGGCGTCGAACAGGAGCTTGCCAGTGTGCGGGTCCACGGGCAGAGACCGCAGCCACTCGCCGAACTTGAGATACCGCGGGCACGTGGCCAGATCGCGTCCAAAGGGGAGCGTGCCGACCAGAAGTCCGTACAGAATGACGCCGCTGCTCCACATGTCCGCCTTGCGGCCGTCGTACCCGTACCGCGCGTTCTGCAACACCTCCGGAGCCACGTAGTGCGGCGACCCAACGATGGAATTCAACCGTCGGAAGCGCGAGGGCGCCATCATGTTGGTAAGTCCGCCCTCTCCGTTGTTGTCCAGCTCGTCGGCGCTCGCTCCGCTGCTCACGGCCGCAATAAAGTGCGCCGAAAGGCCAAAGTCCGCGATCTTGAGCACGTCCGCGTCGCTCAGCAGCAAGTTCTCGGGCTTGAGGTCTCGGTGTACAATGCCCAGTTGATGGCAATACCTCACTCCAGCCAGCAGCTGTGTAAAGTACGTCCTCGCCGTGTCCTCCTCGACGCCCGAGTCGCCTCTAATACGGTCAAAGAGCTCTCCTCCGTAGGCCAGCTCCAGCACGAGGAAGATCGTCGACTTGGACGGCTGCACCAGCTCCAGCACGTCGTAAAGCTGCAGCACGTTCTCGTGTCCACTGCCAATCCGTTCTCCGCTCACACTGTTGCCCGTGAGCTTGTGCATGTGCGCGATCTCCCGGTAGATGGTCTTCCTCGCCTGCAGGAACGCGCGGTACTTGGCCGGCATGCTGGGGATCACGTAGGCGACATCGTTAACCACGACCACCTCTCCTTCCCCGTCCATCTCCTCCCCTTCCTCCTCCGCCGCTGTGGCCGCGGACGCGGAGCCCGCGGGGTCCTCGCAGCTCAAGCTGGCGGCGCGGCGGTCCGCGCTGCGCGGGCGCCGCCTGGCCGCGCTGGGCTGCAGCTCGTCGTCGTGGTGGTCCAGCAGCCAGAGGCTCACGCACATCTCGAGCGTGAGCTCGCGCAGCACGGGGGACCCGGCGGTGGCGTAGCAGGCCAGCAGCTCCCTGCGCCTGGGCAGATGCACCCAGTAGACGTTGTCCAGCGTCATGCCGCGCACGTGGCCGACCACGGGCGCGCCCTTCTTGACGACCTCGGCGCGGCGCAGCGAGCCCGGGCTCGTGAGCTTGTAGCCCACGGGGTTGAGGATCTTGACGGCGACTGGGCGCTTGGCGCGCTGGTCGAAGGCCTCGTACACGACGCCCGCGATGCCCCCGCCCAGGTAGTTGCCCATGACGAAGGCCGCGGCGTCGGGCGACGAGGACAGCGTGAGGTGCTGGCCGTCGTAGGACGCCACGCGCTCGGGCGACACGTCCGCCTCGCTCAGAGGCATGTACTTGTTCTTGAGCAGCGCCATGGCGGGCCGGCGTTGTGTGTTATACAGGGTGGTTAGTGTGGGAGCTTCTCTTGGGTGGGTGGAGGAGTGCTGCTGGGAGTGGGGCTATTTTTCTCGGCCTCTCGCGAAGTGCCTCGAGTGTGAATGAGCACGGCCGCAACACACACGCAGCACACCTTGGGCGGCGAAAGAGTAAATGGGGAAGGAAGAGCCCTAGCCTGGGCTAGGGCCCCATAGAAAACGGAAACCAAGATTTCGGCCGCCGCGGAGCAGAGACGGGCCGGGGGCTTGTGCTACAATGGCGGCTTTGGCGCTTGGGACGTACTGAATGCTAGATTGTATGTGTGTTGAGAGGTTTTTATGAGGCAACATTATCCACCCGGTGATTAAATTCTCGTGATCTATTCGTTTATAGGCTATTGAATCGGCCCAGTATGCGGCTCCGAGGAGGTGTGCTAACACTTCCGGGTGGGGCGACGTTCAAGCCCGCGGTGGTGTTTGCGTGCGCTGCAGCGTGGCAGCTAGCTGCATAAGTAGCAAGGTAGTTGCGTTGAGGATGCAGACTCTGCGCTGCAATGTGCGGCGCGCGGGTCAAGCGAGCGGTGCTGGATCCAGTTCGGTGCGCCACGCTGACTCCGGACGCTGACAAGACGAACGTGTGGAGCTGCTGGATCCAAAGCGGACACGGTCGCAGCTACCATAAGCTAAAGCTACATTACCGGTAGGCAAGTTGTGCTATCGGCTGCAGGACCCGAATGCAGGAGCGGAGTCTGCTGTTGCAGCAAGGGCAGCACAGTGGGCAAAGTTCTCGTGACAGAGAGCAGTGCGGGCTCATGACGAGTTTGTTCCGACGCGGCCATCGCAGATTTTCGCAGCACGATTTAGGCGACGATTTACGACCCGCTTTTAGGATGCCGCGCGCTGACTATCCAGCCCATAAAAATTAGCTGGGAAGTCAGAACGCGCTGCATAAACGCGCGGTCCGCGACGATCTTCAATCGACGCGCTCCGACGGAGCAGCGCTGGCAGCTCCGGGGCCGGCGAAGGTCTCCAAGCGTGCGCACTGCTAAAACGCTGGTGCCTCGGCGCCGCGCATTGTTCAATGCGGGACTGACTTGAGTCAACGCGTGGCTTATCCCGCGCGGCTGCGGCGTTTTTTGGCGCCGGCTTCGAACGGTCCTCTGCCTCCTTGGGCTGCATCCTCGGCGTGTTTGCAGGCGCGACTCCGGCGTTTCGACCCGGTGCTGCTGGGGTCGGCCTGAGTTGCTTGGAGAACAAAGCAATCGATCGGGGCTGCTCGTTCAGCGCTCGTTCCGTGCAGACGGCCCGCCGGTCGAAAAATCTGCTGGACCCGGGCATCCGCTAAACGGAGTCCTGTCATCAGCGCGGAGATCCATCCTCGCTGCCGGCGCCCCGCTCCGCGATGCTGTGTGTTGCAGTGTTGCACACGCCGCCACCGAGTCGAGTTGAGGCTGATGACGTCCGGCATGGCAAGCAAATCCAGCGCGCAGATGGACAGTCCGGCACCGCATGGCGTCCGCCGGCGGGCTTCATGTTGGCATGAGCTCCGCGGCGCTCAAGCAACACTCCCATTGCTAGCTAGCACAGTACTCGCAGCCTCCATCTCTGCGTCTCCTTCTCCACCTCCTCGGTCTCACTTCCCCATCCAAATCAGGGTCCTCCGCGGTCCTCGTCTACAGCGCCAAGCTCCCGCTTGTCACACGTCGCAGATATCCGCTCTTAAACTGTAACAACAACGTTGAAGAGCATTTCGAGTGGATCGTCCCACTTGGCAACCCGACGAAGAGCTACACTACTACGTAGGTGGCTCATGGCATCGCCGCGCCGCGACGTGCGCGAGGCGCTGCGGGCGTCGCTGGGCTGGGACTTCTCCTTCGCGTCCTCGGAGCCCGCGGCCGCGCGCTGCCTCGTGGCGCACCCGAAGGACGGCGCGCGCCTGGCCGAGTGGCTCGTACGCGAGCTGCCGCCGCTGACGCACTGCAACTACGTGCCCAAACCTGCGGACCCAAAAGCGGCGAAAGGCGCCCAAAAGCACGAGGAGAGCGGCCGATCGGGGGACCTGGAGACGCTTTTGGAGCAGGAACTAGGGTTTGGCGCTGTGGCGGGGCTCGTGGCTGACTCGGCGGCTGCCAAGGAGGAACCGGAGCAACATGACAGCTGCGAACTGCAACAGGTGCGGAAGGAAGGCAACAGCAACAGCAACAATTGTTGCTGCAGTTTGCTGCAAAACATGGTGTGGTGGTGTTAAATTGGGGTTGGGGATGATGAAAATGATGACGTATGTATATGGTGCTGCAGTTGTCCACGCGCGAGGTGATCAAGCGCCTATATGAGGACATTCCGTCGCACCTTGAGGAGGACGGAGTTGCCAAGATCACTCGAAGTTTGTTCGACGTGCAGGCGACGCCGCGTAACGCCCACTTGCCGGCGTTAAGGGGGGTGTTAACCACCTCCACGACAAATGAATCGACCACTTCAACTTCAACATGCACTTTTGCCGTGTTCGAGTACGACGCGCAGTCGCTGCAGGACGTGCTCAAGTACAACCGCACAGTGCTGGAAGGAATCCCTCGTGATATCGACGTAGACGCAGTGTGCGAGCCCCAAGCGTCCACCGAAGAGCAGCAGGACTCCCTCGGAGACCTCAAGAAGCGGCTGGTGCTGTTCCAGTTGCGCCGCGTGCTCGAGTTCCTGCACGAGCGCGGCTTGGCCTGCGACGGCTTCTCTCCGCGCGATCTTCACTTAACCGATACGCTGTGGCTGCACCTGTCTGCGTTGCCGCGCGTGCTGGACGCGTGTGCCAATGCGCGGCGTGGATCCGATGACAGAGTGTTGCAGGTGCCTCTTGATGTCGACTCGTGCACCTCGAGGTCCGTCACGGAGCGGTGGTGCACTGGGGACATCAGCAACTTTGAGTACTTGATGACGCTTAACGCTGCTGCTGGACGTCGCATGGAGGACGGCGTGTTCCACCCGTTCCTACCCTGGGTCACGGACTTCACGGCAGGTCCGCGCGGAGGCTGGCGCGACCTGAGCAAGAGCAAGTTTCGACTGAACAAGGGCGACGCGCAGCTGGATCGCACGTTCGCGAGCAGCGCGGTGCCGCACCATATCACGGAGAGTCTGTCGGAGATCACGTACTACATTTACTTGGCGAGGCGCACGCCGATGGCGCTGTTGCGTCGCGTGGTTCGTGGGGATTTCCAGGCGCGCGAGTACCCGGCCACCATGGCGCGGATGTTCGAGTGGACGCCGGACGAGTGCATCCCGGAGTTTTACACGGACCCAGCAGTGTTCAAGTCGCTGCATGGTAGCGATATGGAGGACTTGCAGTTCCCGTTGTGGGAGGATGTGGAAGGTGAAGCGGATCAAGACGCTGCTTCGGTGTTTGTGCGATGCCACCGCGCGATGCTGGAGAGTGATGAAGTGTCGGCGCAGCTGCACAAGTGGATCGACCTGAACTTTGGCGCCGCGCTGAGTGGTGACGCCGCCATCCGAGAGAAAAATGTTCCGCTTGTGGTGCACGCTGCCGGTAAGAGTCCTGGGTTTGTGCAGCTTTTCTCGGTTGCGCACCCCAAGCGGGTTTATCGTCACAAACAGCAGCAACAGGAGCCCGAGCCGACCAAACGGCCTGCAGCGTATTCGGTTGGGGCAGAGTCGGATGTTCCACGCGCTGCGTTGCGACCGCAGGGCACCACGAAGGAAGTAAACGCCATGCTCTCGAGAGCGACGCAGATCGTGGCCGACGCGCAGAAGGATGGATTATCCTTGTCTCCCTTAACCTTGGGAGGAGGCGGCGTTCTGGGCGGAATGGCTGCACTAGGGGCTGCAGCGAGAGGAGGCGCAGATCTGGAGGTGTCGCGCTTCGGTCTCCTGCATAGCCAAAGTGCTGGAGATGGCGGCACCGGCTTCTCGGGGGCTGGTGTTAATGCATTGAGCATGACGGCCGCGTCCCCGAATGAAGCCACGCGAAGCCAAGTCATCATGCGCAACCTGAAGCAGCGTCGACGTGGGGCCAAGCCTCGAGCACGGTCGCACGCAAACGTGGGCGGGGCTGATCCACTCGTGTCACCTCCAGCGTTCCTGTCCGCAGGTGCGCGTGAAGCTGTGTCGCCTCCGGCGCCGTCCTCTGGATCTGGATCGAGTGGACTGGGTGCGTCAAGGCTGGGGAACCTCTTCCATTCGGACTCCTCCAACCCAAGCAACAACAGCAACAACAACAGCATTACTGGTGGTGCCACGCCCTCAAACGGAGCCTTCCCTATCGCTCCAGAAGTGTCGCCAAGTCCACCAAACTCGATGGGACCGCACGGCACCAACAATCGAAGCTTCACGGGGAGTGGGGGACCCCCAGACCTCCGTGTTCTCACCATCACAACGCCTCAGAACGGAAATGGTAATGTCAACGGTGGGCTTGGTGGATCAGCTGGAGAGCGAGGAGAAGGCGTCCCAACGTCGCATCATACGCGCCACGCGTCCCTGGGAGGTGGCAGCCCAAATACCGGGTCGCATTTGCTGCGGGACTTGTGGCAACAATTGCGTCAGCCTGAAGATGACAGCTCGACTGGAAATAATGGTGTGGGTAGTGGGCACGGCCATGGGCATCGTCGGAGCCATAGCGCAGGTCACGATCTCATGTTAACTCTGGCTGGAGCCCCCGGCGACATGCAACTGTCAGAGCTGGACGCTGTCAATGAGGCTGCTCCCGGCGTTGACCCCTGCGGCCCACTCGATGACGTCGACCTGAAGCTGCTCCAGCTTGGACTGCGAATTGTTCTCCCGGAGGCTGAAAAGGAGCACACAGTGGAGCCTGAAGCCCATGCACCGACTGTACCTGGTGTGGAGGTGTCAAGGCTCAATGATCAACACGCGTTTGCGGATGAGGTGGTGGATCCAATATACCGCATCCTGGAGGAGTTCCTGGAGTCTACAGGCACGGCCCAAGAGCTCACGCCATTTGAGCTGGCACAAGCTGCTGATATCTTTTCAATGGGCTGTATTGCCGCCGAGCTGTACACGCACACGCCAGTCTTCTCGCGACGCTCTCTGGAGGACTACCTTGCTGCATACACGCGACATCAGAAACAAGAGGTAACTGAGGGGGCTGACGGTGGCGATGAGGAAGGAGATGGCTGGATTTCGAGTATTCTGGCTGCTCAATGCAAGTCAAAACTTGCGCAGCAGCAACTTCATTGGAATCACGCGGTGGCAGAGCGACTCACAGGATTGCCGCTCAATTTGAAGCAGGGTGTGCTGGACATGCTGCATCCAGACCCGCGTGAGCGCCTGCTTCTCGCCTGCAGGATTGAGGGATTGGAGCCTGCTGCAGTTCTGGGCAACTCGCTGCTCTCTTTAAAGAGTGAGGCGTGCGTGCCCTCGACCAGGCCCTTGGACGCGTTCCACGCGGCTCCCTCGGCACTGTTCCCGAAAGACCTGGGAGTCGTGTACAAGTTCTTGACGAAGCTTCACACCGCTCCAGAGCGTAATTGGCATGCCAGGTTTACTGCAGCAAGGCAACTACTATCGTCGTTATCTGGATTATCGGAGCTATTGTTCCGCGTCGCGATGCCTGAGCTGTTGAGGTTCTTCCGCGCAAGTTCACACACGGAGACGATCCGCGCCGAGCGTGTGACAGCGGCCGTCGTCTTCTTGCTACCCGAGATGGCGCGACAGCTTGGGCGTGAACGGGCTCGTATTGAGTTGCTGCCTGACGTCGTGCGTGTCTACGAAAGCAGTGAGCTGGGACGCTCGCTACTCTTGAGATGCTGTTTGGGGGCACCAAGCGTGCTGCTTTCCCTTCTCCGCGCGTTTGGGGCGACTGCAGTTCTCGACAGCTTCGCTCCTGTGATTTTGGAGTGGTTGGTGCCTCCAACGACCGACTCCGACGCGGAATTAAGATCGTCGCTAACGCCGTTGTCTGTGCGCTCACCACCGCTGCCTCCGTTTGCTGGCGAGTCTGCGGGGCTCACTGCCGTGACCTTCGGTGAGTTGGCATGCTCGGCGATGCTGGGCCCATCGCTCACGGCTAAGTACTTGCTGCCACCGCTACTGAACCAGCTTGGGCGCGTTAAGAGTCGCTGGACACACCTCGCAGATTCCAAGACACTGCGGCGCACTGACAAGAAGGTCAGCTTGGCTCCTGTCATCATCGAGGACAGCGATCTTCTTGGAACTTCCGAGTTTCATCTTACCTTCTTGTCCAAGGCCAAGTTGTACGAGTCGCATCACGTGGCAGACGCTATTCTGCAAGTGTGCCGTGAGTTGGGCGAGTTCCCCGTGGCCAACATGCTACTCCCGCGATTGTTTGACGTGCTCCCGCGGCTTATTTCTCTATCCGAGAAGATCGGGTCGGTCCGCATTGAAGGCGTTCCGGTACGTGGCTCCTGACTTCTATAGCTTAACCTGTTGTTGTTGCAGAACTAATCATCGCAATTCGCTGCAGGAGGAACTAGGACGTGAGATCTACGTGCTGCTTCGCATTTTAAGGCATGTGGTACGAACGCTGAACGATACAGCCTCTCTGCAAGACCTGCTATCTCGCCGCGCGCGGAGCAGCCTGATGGAGTTGCTAGCCCAGGCAGCGCCACCTTTCCTTCACCCTCGCATGGCAACTGCGGTGATTGCAGCCGCCACTGCAGGCATGGAGTCAGCTTCTTCGATTCGCGCAACCGCTACCGGCTCTACTGCTGTCTCGACGAAGAAAAAGGTGCTGCGGAGCCTGAACTTCATGAAGGATGCAGATCACCGCAACTTACGCGCATTTACGGTGGTTGGGCTCTCGCGTACGATCTTAGCAGTGTGCCAGAAGCTCGGAGCAGAAGCCACAGTGGCGGATGCCACGGTCGTGAACGGCATCAACCGGTTCCTGAAGCGTTGCAGCGACGTGTACGCCGAGCTAGAGGTGTCCAACTTCCAGTGGGACCTCGCCAGTGAGCTGGTGAGCGAGCTGTGTGTGCCGCTACGTACGCTGCTAGGGAAGGAGCTGTTCAACCGTTACTTTCCCATCGTTGCAGGAAGTTCGGTCCTCCAGCTCTTGCTGCTTCCGCTGAGCAGTAGCGCCGGCGTCGATCCCAACCGAGGTGGCGGATTCGACAGCCAAGCGGTGAGGAGCGACAAGCGGAACCTCAGCTCTCTGGACAACCGACTGGCTCAGTCACAGATCCACCTGCGTAAACGGACGCCACTGATCCAGGAAGCAGAAAGTTCAGGTGGACAGGACGACGATGATGATGACCCAGATGACGAAAATGACGAGACTGATAACGCATCGGTGACTTCGACGACAGAGCCCGAAGATCCCGCGACGTATCCGCCCGAGCTGTTGCGCTTCGCCTACCACGCGGTTCGTCTGCACTCCGTTCGTGCCACAAGCTTCCTCCGCGTACCATCGACGCTGCTCATTGGTTCTGGTAAGAAGGCGGCGCAGTGGGAGGCTGCGCTCAGCAAGGAGCTGTTGATCTTGCAAGAAACTCGCCGTCAGCGCAAGGTCGTAAGCGCCGCGGTTGCCCCCGAGCGCGCTGGAGCCGACGCTATTTGGCTTCGATCGCGCATTCGCCAACCTTTCGAGCCTCGACGGGACGAAGGTGCGGCTGGATACGAAGGTGGAGGAGGCGGTGGTGGCATGCTGGGAAGTTCTTGGGCTCTTAGCGCCGAAATCCGGCAGTCCATCAAGGCCCACTCCAGCTCTGTGCGCTGCGTGAGTGTGGACGCGAATGAGGAGCTGCTCTTGACTGGAAGCCGCCACGGTTCGTGTCGAGTGTGGCGGCTAGCAGGTCACCCGGTTCAAGCGCGGGCTGCAGCGCCGACCGGGGCGTCCGACAACCGCCCGATCCTGGCCGTGGCTCGTACAGGTCGAGCTGGAGCGCGAATGAAGACTGGTGCACTTGGAGCAGGAGACGCGGGCGGACTGGCAGTGGCAGCCTCGGCTTCAGGCGTGATGCTCTGGGATCTGCGGACGAGTCAAGCGCGGATGCGTCTACCGTTCTCCGCGACGAACGAGCCTGTCGTGTCGATGGCTACGGGGACTTACGCTGTGGATGTGGCCGTGGCGACTGGGAGACGTGTTGTCTGTGTGGATGCTCGTACTGGTCCGCGCGTTGTAGCCGAGTGGCACGCAGATGCTGCAGGGATCGGCTCGAGTTCATCTGCGGCCGGGGTGAGCTTGGCAGCAGTGGCTTCGTTCGTGGATGGCACAGGGTATCTCGCAGTGGGGACTGCAAGCGGTCGCGTGATACTGCTGGACGCTCGAACTGGTCGGCAGGCAGCTCGCTGGCAAGCGCTGGAGCCCGGCGCGCGCGTCGTCCATCTGGTGCAGATCTCTTCGACGCAGTTGCTGGTGGTGGGCGCCGACAAGGAGGCGCGCGTGTGGCGCGTGATGCTGCGCAGTCACGGCCACCCGCAGCTCCGGATGACCATCACGGGTGTACCAGAAGGCATCTGCGCGTCGCAGATCTCGGTCCACTCGGCCACGGACAAGACCGTGTTCTACGTCGCCAACGGCGCTCGCATCCACTGCGTGCAGCTCCCAACGGAGCCGCGCGCCGTCGTGTCGGTGCAGCCCGCCGTCACTGCGCGGATGGAGTCGTGGCAGCTCACGGAGCCTGGAGGACCCAGCAAGAACAACAAGAGCCGCGTCGTCTCGCACAGCATCGCGGTGCTGCCTCTGCGCCAACTTGTGCTACTCGGCACGGAGGACGGTTGCTTGAAGTGCGTCGTGTAGCTTTAAAGGGAGATGATGCTGATTAAACTTGTACGTATGCAACATGCTTAACAATAATGTGTGAGTTAACCGCAACGACGACCAAAAGGTAGAACAACCACTGCGAGTAAAAGGTAGAACCAAAATAAGTGTTTTCATTTCGCTCTAACCCCCTCCGTCAGCTTAAAGGCAACGTCGGGAGAGGGCTGTAATGTAAAAGTACAGCACTGAAGGCTTCAGCTTGTGATTCCGCGTTGTCGTTCCTTTGCCCTCGAGTCGTCAGTCAGGCAGTCAGGTAGAGTGATCTGATGCACCGGTCGGTACGCAGAGTCAGTCGGACGGCGTGCGGTCTCCAGCCCGGCATCCGGAGACTTAGTTGTTCAGGCCCTTGGCCTCGTTGATGACGTTCTTGTGGATGACGGCGATTTTGCGGCGGTGCGACTGCCAGTCGGCGCCCACGTCCTCCTTGTAGCGGAACATGTCCTGGCGGTTCTGCTTGTTCCAGTTGACGTCCGGGTGGCCGGCCAGGTAGCGCACGCACTGGGCCGTGCACAGGCCAGCGGCGGCCGCGCAGGTCACGAGCACGGGCCACGTGCCCTTGTCACCGAGCCATCTCTTGGTAGTGCTCTGAGCAACACGGCCAGCCATTGTCTTGAGTTGGGGAGGGAGGAGGGTGGAAGGTCTTGGGCTTGGTGGGGCTTGCGACGCAAAATGCGGAATGAAGCGAGCGGGGCGAGCAAGTGCACAGCGCAGCGGAGACTCTGGCGGCAAACCTGCTGACGTCAGCGTTGTTCGATTCGATGACCTGTACCTTCTTATATTCAGGAACGCACAAACCAAGTGAAATCCCTCTGGGAGATCACATATGTCGGCGAGAGCGAATGCGCGAACGTGAGTGGCTGGAGGCCTCCTCCCCCCAGCTATGTGCGACGCGCTGTCGTCCTCAGAATTTTGGGCCGGTCCTTGAAACGCAAGGGCCTGTATTGAGGCCGGCCCGAGCGCAACGTGGGGCCCAGGACGCGACGGCGTTGGCTCGAGTCCGTACGTGTAGTGTTAAAATAGCGAACTCGAGCCTCCGCGGTGACATGGCGCGGATCACTTGACGCGGTGCTTCTGTTACAGCTTTGCGTGTCAAATTCAGCTTTGCGTGTCAAATGCGCGTGGGACGCGGCAGTCCACGGACGTAACGGCCATTTTGCATGGTGCCGGGTCACGCGGCAAAGATACGAGCCCCACGTAAAACAATTGGCATGGTGGGCACATACAAACTCCAAGTGTAAGCGGCTGGAAGGACACGAATATGGGAGGCAGGCAACGCGTATCTCTCGCGTTTAACGGACAAAGTGGTGGAGATGAAGGCGATTGATCGGCGCGAAAGTGATTCAGCGGTGGTATACAGGACCACGGGGGTCTATTCTACTGTGGAGCAGCATTCTACTTGGCCGTTGCAGTTGCGGACTCAGCAGCGTCAGTATCAGCTTTCTTCCTCTTGACGGGCTCGCTGGTCTGCTCTTCCTCGTACGCGTCGTGGTTCATCCAGAGCAGCGGGATCATGCCGATCAAACAGCCGATTGTGATGCCCCCGGCGGAGGCGAAGAAGTTGCACCAGTGCGTGATGGACATGTTGGCTTGCGCCTTGGAGAGCATGGGATCGGGGATGCCCAGACGCCGGGCCATGGACTCCACGACGCCGCCCAGACTGAGCCCCACCACGTCGGCCACGGTATTGCCCAGCGCAGCGGCACATAGCATCGACATGGCGTAGGACGAGTGAAAGTGCGTCTCGATGGCGTCCCCCGCCACCAACAGGATCAGATTGTCCACCAGGCCGAACCCCACGAATGGGATGGCCGAGCCGAACATCACGAGCTTGAGCTGGCGACGAGTGGGCGGAGCAAGCGCGCGGGACGATAGCGAGGCCGCGGGATTCGTGCTGGCGACTGGACGGAGGCGGAAGCGGGACGTGAGCAGCCCGCGCAGCTGGTCGTGGCTCAGGAGCCCGTCCTGGTCCGTGTCGGCCGTCTTGAGCACCTTTTCGAGTTCGTTCGTGTAGTTGCTGGCCACGCGCGTGATGACGTTGTAGCGCTGCGCTTTCGACAACGACTGGAACCGCTCCACTAACGCATCGACGGTGCTTTTCGGCTGCTTCGGCTTACTTCGAGCGGGGACTTTGGATGACGGGGCTTTCGACTTGGCAGGCTGGTGCATCTGCGCTGCAGTGGACGCGCCCCAGAGCATGGTGGTGGCCGAACGGCGAGGCGGCGCCTTGGAGCGACAGATACCGGCGAACGCGGCGTTCGTGCGCTTGCGGGTCTTGGGACCCGCGTAGATATTCCGAAAGCGTCTGATGGTGCTCATGGCAAGTGAAGATGAAGCAGATTAATATACAGGTCGGCGAGCGGTGGATGGGAGGTGTCGAGCGACGTAATGCAAGGTGGAAAGTGGCGGGGTATGAGCGGCGTGAGCGCGCGGCGTGAGCACGTGCAAATATAGGCGGGCACCATAGACGGAGGTCGGTGATAAGACCGTGAGTTCATCACTCAGAAATAGCGGTGCGGAGTGCTTGAACATGCAGCTTCAGGTTGCCTTTTCGAACCCACGTCGAGGATGTTGGTGGAGTCTGCCGAGCCGTGCTTGTGCACTTAAAGTGAATGGCTCCATGACCGGCAACACCCGAAACCCCCACTCCGTCGATCAGGCTTCGTATGCTACAGGGTCATACAGCATCTAGCAGGCGCGAGCATGCACCCTTCTCGAGCAGCAAAACAGCAGCAAAAGCAGCATTTGTGTTAAGTGTTGTTACAACTACAGTTCCTACCCTCAATAGCATTCACACTGTATCTAACTTGGTTTTGAAGTGAATGTAATGTCCAAGGAATTGTAGGAACTAAAATGCTCACAGCACGTATGTAGTACCAGAGGTTATCCGATGCTGCGTCGTTCACAACGCAGAATACAGTACTGCACCTTGCACACGACACCTCCACTTCACAAGAATGCGATTCAGGTAGATAGATGCCTTAGCTCCTTGTCCTCCTCCACCTCGCTCTAACCCCCTCTGCTCTCCTCTCCACCAGTGCATTATCCGGCTCGCTCGGCGCCGTCGCCGGCCTGCTGGGCAAATTGGGCGCGGACGGCGACTCGAGCGCGCTGCAGCTGCTCGAGGTGCAGTGCGCGGCCTCGAGTCTGTCCGAGTCGTGCGGATTCCTGGCGTCCGTCGTGCGGCTGCTGTGCCTAGCGCTGATGCTGGGCGTCAACGCGCTCATGATCAACTTCTTCGTCAAGGGGCTGCACGAGACGGACTCGCTCACGGCCACCGTCACGAGCGCCGCCGTGAGCTGCGTGCTGTCGGCCGCTGGCGGCTTCTTCTTCTTCCAGGAGCTGCTGCCCGCTCGGTGGTTCGTGGGGGCGGCTGTCATCATGGTGGGACTCGCCTTCCTCCTGCACGGAGACAAGGCAGAAGACAAGAAGACCAAGGAGGAGTAACATGTTGACAAGTACCTGATTTTATCGTATTCTTTAGAACGAAGCGAATAATGCCACCATCGCGGTTGAGTTCGATGTTATACATGAGATCCATGCACTCTTGATCGGCGAGCTCTGGCAATCCCAGCGAATGGCGGATGAACCTACGAGTGAAGAACGGCAAAGCCGAAAGCTACGCCACAGAGCCGTATGATGGCTGGCCATGCTGTTCTTCACTCGTAGGTTCATCCACCATTAGCTGGGATTCGAGACTCTCGACCTTTTCCGACCCCATCTTCAGTAACAGGATGTCCGCAAGCGTTGTAAATCACTTCGATCGTACGGAGCAGCCAATTGATGCCGCGTTGTCTTGGGAGCAAGCTCTTCGGTGTCTCCGTCGGCACAACAGCCTCGAAGAATCGAGGGTATCGTGACCGCAACATTCGAGTTGACACCTTCACAGGCGTTGAATCTTTCTCGGGCCCCGCGTCTTGTTCATCCTGATTCCGCGGCACCAACGCGTCAGGTAGAGTCTTCAATGGCGGCTTTGCCAATCGCTTGTTGCGTGGACCACGGCCAGCTTGGCTCTTTGTTGCTGTTTGGCTGCGAGATGACAGAGACAACTTAATACCACAAGTTTTGCTCAATAGCCACGCGATAAATTCATGCTACTTGCCTACCGTAGCTGGCAATTGATGTACTCGATCTTGTCAAACGCCAACAACACCTTCTTATGCTCCAAGGCTTGCGCGCTTATCTACACGTAAGACTACATGTAGAAACGACGTTATCCCAATACATGTATTAAAATACATGTATTGGGATAATGTTCTATCTACTTACTACTTGCAACGGCACTTGCCTTTAGTCTCGCTCGTCGCCCGAGTCGGTGATCCCATTGCTGCCGCACACATTGATGGCGGCAGGCCAGTGGTTGAGCTCGGCCAGCTCGAGCCACGGGTGAGTCGGGTAGCCGGCCTCGCCGAACCAGTCGCTGAACTCGCGCAGCGAGACCTGCTTCTCGAGGTCCATATCGTCAGCGGTAACGTCTTCGCCTTCCATCGTCGAATCAAGGAACGACTGCAGGACGGCGTCGGCGCCCAGCTCGGCGGAGTATCGCGCCACCTCGGCGCTCAACGAGCTGCTCATACCGTAGAACGCCATCAGAAAGCACATGAGGCTCGACTTGATTGTCTCCAGCTTGATCATCGGGACGTCGCTCTCCCTCTCTCCTTCGCCCTCGCCCTTGAGCGTGCTCTCTCTGTCATCATCGGAGATCAGTGCAGCGCAGCACTTGAGCTTCTCCAGCATCGAGCCCTCACATACCACCAGCAAGCCGCAGATCGCTGCCCCGATGTCGATGGGGTCTTCAGATTCATCATCATCGTCGCCATCAGTTGCTAGCTGCTCGCCTTCGTCGTCAGAAGCGGGCTCATGCACGAATACTCCAAGCAAACGATGCAGCATATCGGTGCCCTCTTCGCTTAGGAATCCCGTCTGGCCGCTAGATCCACTTGACGGTGCGATGAGAGGCAAAGTTCCGCACACTTGCTGCAGCCCACGGATGAGCATGTTTCGCCTCGTCAGCATGATGCCGTTGCTGTTGGCGGTCGGGAAATCCAGTGCCTCCAGAAGAGCTCCTTGCAACTCCCATGACGTGACAGTATGGAGTTGCGTCTGCCGCAAGAATAGCTTGAGGGTCGAGATATCTTCGTTGAAGAACTGCAGCTCGGCGGCCTCCTTGGCAACAGCGAACACCATGACGGGACCGTCGGAGCTCAAACTGATTGCCCCCGCTGACTCGCGAGGATCAGGCTTCGAGTCCGAGCGATCGCCAGGCAAGCCACGGACAAACGGCGTTGATACAATGTCGCTCTGCCGCACCTGCCGCCGACGAGTAACGGGCTTTGTTGATCGTTGAATAGGCTGCATGGGCTCCACTGGCATCGGAGCTGCGGTAGACATGGGACCGCGACTCTGCGAGCCCATAACGGGCGCCATACGCTTGCTCTGGTGAGTTGAAGCGGGACCCGCTGTTGACATGGACTGTTCTTGGAAGTCTTGCTGCTGTTGCCACTTGCTCACGTCAAGGAGCTCCACCCATGAGATAAGCTGGTAGCCGCCAGTATTGTACCATTCTCCAAACTGTTCAAATGTCACGCGGGCGCGCGAGCGAGCACTGCCGTACCCAGAAAGCGCGGTGGCTGCAGATGCGTTGGCACCCCCGTTAGCCGTCACGTCCGTCATGAGGTCGCCCATAGCCTCCTCGATGAAGTCGTCGGCCTCCACGTAAATCTTCTCTAGACCGAGGCGGTACGTGCCGTCGCTGAGCGCCATAAGCGCCAGTAAGAACGACCGCAGATAGATGAAAAGTACTGAGTGCGGAAGAGCATTCACTTCGGCAACCGAGAGCGGTGGAGGCTGGCGACTCATTCCGCCACGCATACCCTGCGCAGTTGATCCCAATCCGCGAGTGCTAGGGAATCCAAACCCACCAGCCCCACTCATCGAGAACTGGTTGCTTGGAATGCCCCCAATTCCAAAGCCAAAACCACCCGTTGCCGTTCCTTGTCCTCCAAGCCCCCCAAAGCCGCCAAAACCAGCAGCAGTACTTGGAGGAGGAGGTGCGTAGCTTGCTAGTGTTTTGTGCCGTTGCTGCCGCATCTTGGTGATGAAGTCGAACGCCAACGATAGCTTCTGGCTTTTGGAACCTCTGCCCAAAATGCTCAGGCCACAAGCTAGTTCCAAGGCATTCACGCGGCCGCAACGCTTCCGGTCGAATACATTAAAGAGTCGTGAGAGCAACTTGGACGAAGTCTGCTGCGCTTTCTCCGACATTCCGTCTTTTGATACCAGACTGCGAACGCACTCGTAGAAGTTGGGGCGTGTAAGGACCAAGTACGCTCCTTCGTCTTCTTCCACAGCTGCATACGAGTACATCTGACCTCGGCGGCTCTGAGTACCAACTGCCTTTGACATCTTGAGCGCCTCCTCCGCCGATGGAGTTGCATACGCAAGCAGCGCATCATACACTTTGCTTACACCCAGCTCGCCCAGCTTCGTCGAGCGCAGCATGAATAGATACGTCGATATGTCGCTCTCAGTAAAGTGTAAGATACTGCCTTCTTCAAGCATGTCGAACGCGTAGATCAGCGGCTTCTCACGCTTGCTAGCCTCAAAGGCCTCCTTGGCTGGCCACTTCGACAAATCAAGCAGCTCCAGCCACGGGCAATCCATATAGCCCCCAGCCGCATACCACGCAGCAAACTCCGCCAGGCTGATCGCATCGGGGCGTTTGCAGGTGGCCTCACAAAACAGCTTGGAGACAACAGCACCCGCGGCACGCTCTGCGATTGAGTTTGTACTCCAGGAACTGACTGAACTCGTGTCGTTGGAGTTGCCTCTCGTAGCGTTGTAGCTTGAGAAAGCGAACAACACTACCAGGATAGATTTCAGCATCTCAAATAGACGCCGCCGAGAAACGTGGCCGTCTCCATGCGAAGCAAAGAGCTTAAACAACACGCTGAGCTTGGCGCTTTTGGTCGTTCCGCAAAACACACACATACCAGCGACCAACTGTAACGTTTCCACCGATATGGTGTTCATCCCAACGCCGTTGGCAAATCTGCCATTCTGGTCGTCGCCGTCTTCCACACTTCCGTTGTCGTTGGCCTCATTACCTTGGAGGACACTCTCGCTTTCGAAGAGGGTGAAAATCCGCAGCAAGTGGAACGATAAAAACTCTTGGTCTTCGTTCGACAGTTCGTCGCGGGGGACAAGGTCACGCATAGCTCGTAAATATCCTGGCTTTGTCAGGCAGCGGTTGTGCGCGTGTTTCTTGAGCAGATGTACCAGCTCACCACACGACATGCGACTGAAGTTCATGCGCTCGGAGATGGTGTACACGATAGCGACGTCCTTCAAACGAATTCGGAGGGTGGTGTTGTCATAGCTCGTTAGCTTGAACTGCAAAGCCACCGACGAGAGGTCCTTCGCAGCAGCAGCCGACGCCGTTGGGGATGTTATGAGGTTGGCGATGCCGGTCACAGCATCCATGCCTGCTTCCACTGCGTAGCGGTTCGCAGTCTGGAAGGCGGTAGTGTCGAGTACCGTCATGTTGGACTCCGGGTAGTTCGGTTGCAATGATGCGTGAACGCGATTAGTGCTCTCGTTCGAGGAAACGGTGTCGTTGGATGACCCAGATCCAGTATCGTCGGATCCCATTTGTGTAGCATTCTCAAGCGCGTGCTGCTGACGACTGTTGTAGCGAAGAATGGCATCGGCCACTGAACGGCTCACCTCCGGCCATTTCTTGGTGTCCAATAACTCAATCCAGGCAATAATCGTGTATCCATGCTGTGAGTACCAAACGGCGAACTCCTCGAAGGATACAACGCCGCCACGAATGAATGCACTACCCGCACCAGCACCTGCAGCATTGGACGCTGCTCCCACGAGATGGAGGTTGCTGTCTTCGGGAAAAGATCCGCGGTGCTCGTAGCGCCCCTGACCTCGGTGATGCCGCGAGGAGCTCTTGAACGAAGCCGTGTCCGCCGACATGGGGATATCTAAGCTGTGTCGTTGACTTCCCTCTTGCGCGGATAGTATTGACTGTCTTGTGCTGAAGGTCTTGTCCGTGTCTTTGAAGATGTAATCTGCAATTTCAATCGCCGTAGTATCCGCGACGCTGGCGATAGCTTCAGCAGATAGTTCGGAACCATTTCCCAAAGCCAGTAGCATTGTCAAGAAAGACCGCAGATACTTCCACATCTCCCGGCGTGTAAGACAGCCATCTCCATCAGCGTCGAACAAACGGTAAGCAAACGCGAGCTTCTCACTCTTTGAGCCGGCACAGAAGATGGTAAACGCCGACACGAACTCAACCAGATCAATCTTCCCCGTACCACCGCGATTAAACGCGAAGAACAGGCGGCTGAGGGTGTCTGCCACCATTTTCGGGTCCTTTCCACGCCCTACACTTCGGGGCGCGACCCGAGTGTTGCTGTTAGCACCAAAGGCTGCTGCCACACTGGGGGCTACGTTGGCAGGGAGGAGCTTTCCGACGCACTTATCAAACGTACTCTTCTCGATACAAGATGCCGACGGATCTTCCATGAACGGCTCGAACACGTCGTACACGCGATACAGCTGAACTTGGTTGAGCTTGATCACACGCTGGAGCTCAAAGTACTGGATTAAGTCGCCATTGTCGAAGCAAAGGGTCGTCAAAGGTAGTTCCGTGATCGCATCGTCATCGGCGTCGAATGGGAGATCAAACTCTAGCACAATTTCATTCTTCAAGCAGATCGCAGGCAGCGTAGCCGGGATACTGCTGTTGTATGATCGCACAGCTGTAGAGGATGACTCGATTGATGACGACGAAGGAGGAGGGGGATTGTGCTGTCTAGCCGAGCCACGGTCGTCTTCATCTTCGTCCTCCTCCTCATCAATCACGTCAGCGAACGTGAAATATGGCTTCTTAACCCCTGGGACTCCGTCCGGCGGGTCTACCGCATCAATATCAACTTGAATGTTATTGGCAGTATAGTAGTTGTTGCTTGCCACGATTGGGTCCACCGATCGCGTGTCAAGACCCTCCAAGCTGAAAGAAGGCGATACAAATACCCACTTGCGAAGATCCAATAGCTCCAACCAGCTCATGCCCTTGAAGCCTCCGCCATTGTACCACAATCCGAAATCTTCAAACGTATAGAGGCCTAAGCGCATGTCGGAGTTTGCTCGCGCGCGATCCCCATCAATTTCGTCGACGTACTCTCCACTGTCATCGCTACCAGCAGCACTCTTCTCCTGCTTGGCGTCACCATCACTGGCATCATCTCCGTCTTCTTCATCATCTTCCTCGCCTTCATCGTCGGGAAGACCCTCCATAATGGCTTCTAGGATCTCTTCTTCTCCCTTGTCAACCAGCTCCGCCAACGAGCCATATCGATGCAAGAAAGCGTCTGTAGGAGGTGATAAATACAGTAGCGTGATTAGAACAGACCTCAAGAACCGCCACAACTGCTGGCGATTCAGATATCCTTTGCAGTCTGCGTCAAAGTAGTGGAAGGCAGACGCGAGCTTGTCGCTCTTCGATCCCCACGACATCAGACTGAAGCCAGCGGCGATCTCGAACGCATCCACGGTAGGGCACTTCTCGGGCAAGAAGGAGCGGAAGATCGACAGCATACTCTCCAGAAACGCGTTGTTCTCCATCAAGTGGGGCTTGTCCGTCATGCTGAGCAGCTCCTCAATCGCCTCCAAGAACGTTTCTTCCTCTAGCAGACCGTCCCCAGTGTGCTGTACAAAAGTATCGTACATGGCTTGCGGAGTTACGCGCGTGAACGCAGACTGCACCAACAGGTCGTACAAATCGACCGCTTGCTGCTCGCCGATGGTCAACACGCCGCCGTCTACACTGGAGAAACGGAAGCTCAGTTCCGCCGTTGCATCGTCATCATCGTCATCATACTCGCCATCGTCGTCTCCAGCTTCACTGGTAGTCGGAGGAGGGTCCTCCGGTAGGCCCCACTTCGTAGGCGAGCTTTGAGGCGATCTCGGGGTCAGCTTCTTGGATCCCGGCCACTTCTTCTGGTCCAGCAACTTAATCCATGGGACAGCCTTGCTAGAGCTGCTGTTCGCCTCTATCCAGGGCCAAATGTGCTCTTCGAACGACGCTGTGTCGTCCTTCCCCAACGAATTGGCCGCGAACATGCGCGCGACCGTCTCATCCACGCACGTGGTCACAATGGACGCCGTGGACTGCAGCTGGTCCGCCGTGGCCGTCTCCAGGTCGAACACCGCGGACACTGAGAGCAACAAGCAGCCCAGCGCCGTGCGTACGATGGACAGCGTGGCCGGGCCGCCGACATCCACGCCGCAGCCGCTGAGACTGAACTGGATGGCGATCTCCACCTTGCGTTTGACCTCCCCGGGCAGCAGCACGAGGCAGCCCATAGCCAGCTGGTAGATATCGGTGCGGTTGGTGGCTTCAAAGGAGCGGAAGATGCGCTCCAGCGTCTCCTCCATGGGCTTGAACGTCTCGCCCGTGCGCAGCTCCGGCAGCGCGCGCACGAGCTCCACGAACTCGTCCTTCTCGAGGGGCGACGCGCGGTCCGCGGCCGCGCGCTGGTCGATGGCGGCCGCGAGCGTGTCGAGGCTGCACGAGGCCAGCCTGGACGCGACCAGCGCGTTGCGCACGTGCCACACGCGCTTGGACTGCAGCGCCAGCGAGCAGCTGGGCGTTACGAACGGCAGCCCCACGAGCGTGTCGGCGTCCGTGGGGGACGAGGGCAGCGACGGCGTCTCCTCCGCGCTCATGTTGCTCTGCAGCGGGATCTCGATGACCGGCGGCGGCGCGCGCCGCGGGCTCTTGCTCTTGGGCGTCGGCGGCCGCTCGCACTCGGCCATGGCAGACAGAGATTTCCACAATGAGCTACGGTAGCTGCACGCCAAGACGCAGACGCAGACGCAGACACGGGACCGGATAGGGTTCGCCTGCACGTAATGTCTCTATCTACGAGGCTATCGAGCGCGCGCTCTCTCTTCTTGGGCTGCAGGCGCGTTGGCTTCTTCTTCCTCACCGGCTCGCTCTCTACCGCGCAGAGTGCGGTTGTTTCCTTTTGCCGGTGTAACGAACAGTGATCTTTTTTCGCGCCTGCCATTGGGCAACGCATTGAACCTGGATTTAACGACTTGAAGTGTAATGTGGAGGACACATAGGAAAGGGTACAACCCGATGACGATACCGAGATGCTCGCTAAAGCGAGGTGAAACAAGGCCAGTGGCGTTGCCAGATGCGAGAGTGGCTTCAAGGGTCGCGGTCTTATTTTTAGGGGACTGTAGCCATCTGGTCGATCCAAACCGGATCCGACCAAAGACGGTGATGACCATCCGGCTCGTGACGCTGGCGTGCATCGCCGCCGCCACTGCTATTACCTGGACGCCACTGGCACGAGCGCAGCTGGGCGTGCCGACGGGCAATCTCTGCGCGGCGCTGAGCAATTGCAACGCGCACGGCCGCTGCGACGCGCTGACCAAGACCTGCGAGTGCAACGAGGGCTACGGCGCTTCCACGGACATCACCAACTACCGCTCCCCGGACTGCTCGCTGCGTGTGTGGAGCCTCAATGCATCGCCCGGTATTGCACTGATGTTGGCTGGCATTCTTACCCGTAAGTGTTGTTTGGCTGGTGCTGCAGGAACTTGCCCGGCAGGCCCGTCGTGGGGCGGCATCCCGACCAGCGCCACGACGTCCCATGCCAAGGCGGAGTGCTCCGACGCTGGCGTCTGCGACCGCTCCACGGGCACGTGCATGTGCTACTACGGATACGAAGGATCGGCCTGCCAGCGCAGTACGTTGGCTGGCTGTTGCAGGAAGTGCGCCATAGGCAAATAGCTGACGCTGTTTGCGATGCAGGTAGTTGCCCCAATGGCTGCTCCGGCCACGGCCAGTGCCTCAGCATGCGTGAACTCGCGACGGAGACCAGTGCGTTCCCCTTGTCGCCAGCGACGACATACGGCGGGGACGTGACTGCGACGACTTGGGACCAAGACCGCATCCAAGGCTGCCTTTGCGACTCCTACTGGCCCGTCGGTCTCGGCGCAGGCGAGTCGCAGCTCTCGCAGTGGTTTGGACCTGACTGCTCTAGGAGTACGTGGCACAATGTGTAGTTCTTATCTTCTTTCCTAGGCTTACGTGCTCTCTTGCTGATGCTTCTCACTTGCCTTGCAGTGCACTGCCCCTCCGGAGACGATCCGATGACAGCAGAGGACGAAACAGACTGCGAGGGCGTCGTTGCTGCAGGAGGCGTCGGCCCAGGCGCAGCAGGAAATCTGTGCCACGTCGACTGTGCTAACCGAGGTATCTGCGACTACTCGAGCGGCGTGTGCTCGTGCTTTCCCGGGTTCTATGGCTCCAACTGCGCCAGTCTGTCGCCGCTCGCGTAAAAGGCAACTTGTGCTTGAAATGTCCGGAGACCGGTTCAGGATCCGCTCAGCCAATCAGCGCCGCGCTATGCTAACCGTTGAACCGTAGTTCCCTGGCCAATCGTGGACCACGCGCGTCTAGCAGCACCATTTTGCGAGTTCATTACGCAAGGGCCAACGTTGGAGTGAACAAGGAGGAAGAGCTATTGTATAGTACAAACATTTGCGTGTTGTTACCGCCGGCTTGCTTGCTCAACCATACGGCCTCGTTGCACTTTCGGTGGCAACTTGGTCTGGGCACGGCGAGCCCATATTGAGAATGGGGGTCGAGGGATCCCTTCGGATAACCCGGTGAAGAAGGGGTTTTCACGATCCTCTCCATACTAAACTCACACAATCAAATGCATGTCCTCGTAGTTAGTGCGAACACCAGATAAGAGATCTGTGCGCAGTTGCAATGGTTCCACTAGACTTGCAGTAATAGGAGCATGAACATGAACATAGTGCTGTACCGAGGTTGTTGTAGAGGTGGCATCAAGCAAGTGCCCTTGCTCGCACCATCGCTGGTTTTGAAAGCAAAAAGCTATCATTGCAGATAGCTACACCATTTGCATCGAAGCCCTTCCGAGCTGTACTACTACTACAAGTACACAACCCGTGCACGATGGCCCATGAAGACTTCATCCAGCCAGCACTGTGTAACAACGTGGCGCCAGGAGCTGTACGCGCATGCACTGTTCTCGTTCGTGTTTGCTCATTTATATCCCACCACCGAGGTAGCTGTGCACTGCGTCACGTATCCTTCTAAACGGCGGAAGTGAACACTGCAGAATGCTGTTGTCAGCTCTGCGTGTAATCAGGATAGCTGCCCAAACTCGAGGTGTCCTTCATTTCTTTCATTTCGTCGCGATGGCCAATAGCTACTGAGCCGCCGCGAGCTTAAGAGCGGTCGGCGTGACGCGCAGCGGCGTACTTGTCGAAAGCCGAGTCCTGGGAAGATTGCCTGCGCAGAACAATACAACGCACGATGTCAGAATATAATCGAACCCATACACACACTGGATGATAAACGTACCAGTACGATGCAGCCGCCATGGCGGCGCCAGCAGCGACACCCGAGGCAACACCCACACGCATGCTCTGCTTCACCATGCCGGGCACCACGCCCACCAGAGCGCCACCGACACCAGCACTGATCGGGTCCTCCTTCTGACGAATCGACGCCGTCACGTACTCGCCCGTCGTGAAGATGGCGCCGACGGCAGCGAACACGAGCTGTAGCCATAAAAATGTGTAAGAGTAAGAGGTCAGCAACGGCATCAACCTTGTCTAAGGGCCTCAACGCTGTAATTATCGTACCGAGCGCGTGCCGAGGTGCTTGAGCTGGTTCGACAGCTTGGGCAGCTTGTCGCCTATACGCAACGGAAAAATATACAGCAGCATAGAGGTGAGTGTCCTGTACCGTAAGAGCACCAAGAGCGAGCTGAGGGCGACGCACCAAGCTTGGGGATGGCCCAGACGGACTCGACGGAGCCGATGGCGGCGCCGAAGAAGGCGCCCGCGGCCTGTACACACGCAGCAAACAAGTAAATTAAGGTCAGAGAGAGGACGGACATGCTCCGTGGAGTGCCGGACGAGAGGGCGGGGGCAGGACGCACCGTCGTGTACATGATCTTCTCGCTTCCAGCGGGTCCGTCCATCGTCGTTCCTGGCTTTAGCGGCGTGGGATGGCAAGGTGTGCGGCTCTCCGGAGTTGGGCGATTCCCTCTGCTGATTGGTTAGTTTCGCCACAGAATTGCATGAACCACCAAACAAGCTATTGCCACTTAACATTCCGGAGGTCCAACCCACGAAACTGACAGCTGTACGTACGGCGAGTATTTATGTATAAAGATGGCAGTAAATGAATAGTTGAGTTATCTTTGTGCTTGGGGCAATACGATAGTGTGTGAAGCTTTGCTGATGCATCGTGATTGCTAGTTGAAAACTACTCCAACACCCGTGGGAAGGCCACTGGCCGGCTCCAATTTCTGTTTTATCTCCCCTCTTGCGGGGGTACGAAGCCAGCTTCTCTACACACGCATACACTATCTTGAGAGAGACATGCCTCCGTTACGGCTCGGCATCCAGGACGACGACGAAGACGACTTCTTCTCGGCTCTCGGCGACGAGGATTTGGCGGAGATCTTGCACGTAATCGACGAGGAGAACCACCAATCTGATGTGGCCCAGCGCGCAGCTGGCCAGCTCGCACACACTGTGCTTGTAGCGGCCACGAGGTAGAAGAGCAACTCCAAGGTCTTGACGGCATAGGATACGACATCCTGTACAAGTACCGAGACGAGCTACTCCCGCTCTTGCACCACGCCTATTGTTTCTGTTGGAAGTACAAGCGACTGCCCGGCACTTGGAGAGTAGGAGGTGTCAATCTAATCTACAAGAAGGGCTCGAAGATGAACCCGTCCAATTGGCGCCCGATTTGTTTGCAACCAACACTCTACAAGTTATACGCGAGTGTTCTTGCTGAGCGACTGCTGTCTTGGCTGGAACTCAACGAACGCCTTACGACAGCACAGAAAGGGTTTCGCCATGTGAACGGGTGCAATGAGCATAACTTTGTCAGTGCAATGGCACTTGACCACGCTCGCCGCCAAGGAAAAGCACTCTACATGGTATGGTACGATGTGGCAAACGCATTCGGTGCGATGCCACCCGACTTGATCTGGAAAGTGATGAAGCTGATAGGGATTCCTGATGACTACATTGAGTGCTGCCAGGGTATCTACGCTATGTCACACTATGTGGTCCTCAATACTGCGACGGGTTCGACACCGTTGATCCTCCACCGCATGGGGGTATACCAGGGCTGCCCCCCTGAGCCCCTTCCTGTTCCTGATCGGAATGGAGCCGCTGATTAGATGCCTGACGACACTCTCACATGTTGGCGTCAAACTTGGTGCGCAATTGCCAATAAACGTCACAGCATTCGCTGACGACGTGAAAACCTACAGCGCTACCCGAGAAGGTATCCAAGAAGCCCATGACAAGGTGAAGCGTTTCCTACGGTGGTCCACCATGACGGCCAACCCAGCGAAGTGCGCTGCGTTCGGTACGAAGATGGAGAACAGGCGTCGATCGCTCGATCCTCTGAAGCTGCATCTTGATGGAGAGCTAATACCGACACTAACTATGAATCAAACATACCGCTACCTCGGCATTGAGGATGGTTTTGATCACTCGGTCACAGACTTCCAAATGGACAGCAAGCTCCGCGACCTACGCCAGGACGCACACGCCCTACTACATTCTGGACTCCATCCAGCGCAAGCTCTCAAGGCTATCAAGGTCTACGTGTATTCTAAGCTGGATTTCGCTTTGAGGCATGTGCGTGTCAATCACACGCAACTTGAACGCTCTGATGCGGCCATTCGCAGGGAGCTCCGACATTTACTACGGCTTCCACGCTGTGCGTCCAAAGCTTTCTTCTACGCCCCAACTTCGAAAGGCGGATTAGGGCTACTGCCACTCACGGAACTCGCAGCAACTACGCACATTGGACACGCTTTTCAAATGCTACACTCGAAGGACATCCACGTTCGAGATATAGCTCGTGCGCAGGTGGTGGAGATTATCCAGAAGCGCTATCGCTTAACGCCGGACTATTGGAAAGACCAAGACGAGCTTCTGATTGGTATGTTCCTCAATGGCAATCTCGAGAACTCACCTCATGCAGTCAAAAAAAGACAATCACACGATGTATGCTCGCTGTGGGTGGAAGTTCGAGCTCACCTCCGACGACTGGGTCTAAGTTTCATGTTGCCCCCGCGGCCAGATCAGCCGGAGCCCCAGCCCGATGCGATCGACAGTGAAATGGATCCTACGCTACCCGATGCAAATGACGATGATGACCAAGCCCCGACTGCTTTAGGCCTAACTACTCCGAAGCATAAAAACAATCTTGATCGAAGAAATGTCATCGCGCAGCTGAAACTGCATGCTAAGCTCCAGTTTGCGGAGGAATGGATGAAACAGAGCGACCAGGGCAAGACTGCAAGAAACCATGGACACGCGGGCAGCTCGTTTATTGGGAGACCGGCTAGTTTACAGGATCGTGAATATCGCTTTGTGTTGGCGGGTCGTCTCAACCAGTTGCCGACTCGCTCAGTGCTCAAACGCCAAAAGCGAGGTAGTGCTTTACGCTGTCGACAAGCTGGCTGCACACAGCAAAATGAAACCCTAGCACACATTCTCAACCATTGTGACGGTAACAACGAGAATATTCGTGCCCGCCACGACAAGGTGCTCGCAGCGATTGGCAACAAATTGCAAGCAGCCCACAAACCGGTCGACAACCCGAACATTCGTATCCGGATTAACCAAACTGTGGAACAAATTCCAGATTCTACTCGGCGGCCTGACATTCAGATTATCGATACAGTTATGAAAACTGTTGTCATTTGCGACCTTGCCGTCGCTTTTGACGGTCAAGCAGTATCCTGCTCAACATCAAGCATGGCCCAAGCGCGGAGTATTAAACTATCGACCTATGAACCTCTCGCCCGCAACCTCCGCCAACGTGGTTGGCGAACCACCACCGCTGCAATTGTTTACGGCTCACTGGGGTCAGTTCACCCCAGCAATTTCAAAACCTTCACGGAAGCACTCGGTCTATCTAAGAGTGATGCCAAGCGCCTGGACCGGTCGAACTCCCTAACGTGCATCCAATCGAGCGCCAATATTTGGATCTCCCATGTCGCCAGTACCAACCGTGGAGGAGCTGCGGGACAGCGGCGGGTGGCAAGCCACCCAGAGTGATTATATTCCTGGCCTTCGCGGCCACCAGAGCGCCACCCCAACAGGGAACTGCTCCTACTCAAAACCCAAGTGATCTACATGTCCAATGTGCCAGCCATACTTCCAAGCCCACGACGCATAGCCCAATGCAGCACATATCGATCGGATAAACCACTGGTAATACATAGCCCTACAAAACTACTCCAACACCCGTGGGAAGGCCCTTTTCGGGAGGAATATCAACCCAAACAAACCAATAGAGGTGTTTAGGCGTGACCCATTTACCCCTAACCCTAGTGACGCGTAGGGTAAAAGAAAGGATAAAAAGTATAGCTCTCTTTATTGAAACAACTGCCGACAAAAAAGATACGAGTACCTGAAGCTATTCCTTCAAAAAGCCAGATTTATCCTATCCGCTAGGATAAAAATCGCATTTCGACTTGACTGGAGTATCGCCCTGAATACCTCTAGCATCTTATGTTCCCAAGAGTCGCGCGACACGACAGATAAGCTTTCTTTACAAACGCCCAGTCATTTTTATCCTTAGGCGCCGTCGCTAGGATAAAACGACCTGTGTGTGCCACATCAACAAAGGATTTGATTCTTTTTTCGTAGTATAAATTTCACGGTGGCTAAAGTTATGTTATGCATCTTTCGTAATTATTTCACTAATTTCGAAAACAAGGGGTAGAAGGATTTTAGGTATTGTGAAAACCGATTAGTTTGTCCTGCTGAATTAGCCGGCTAAACATCGCTCATAGCGGATTTGAAGACTAATAAATCGGGGATGTCTCAATTATAATCGGAGTATAAATCGTTCATCGGTCTCGTAATTATGTGCAGCCTAGCAATTTGGATCAACATGCATGTACCCTCGGCCCGAGACTCGCCAAGTGCAGCGACAACACCACGCTTAAACGCGTCGCTTGCCTATCTCAGTTACATGTATTATAGCGTGCAGCTTTTCCTGCTTAGTTCTGATGTTGTTGTTGTATCCTTGACTACCTAGCCAAGAGCGACTGCAACCATTGTTGTCTGGCGGCTGATTTAGCCTACAAGGAGCGATTGCCGGTTGCACATCGGACGTTCCGTCTGAACAGCAAGCAAATCGGCCGGTTCTGGCTTAATCGGCCGATTAGCAAATGTAAATCCTACTCATATGCTCTGAGTGTTTAAGTCGTCCTAGGTAGTAATCTTGAGTACAAATCGAGGTACCCCAGTCTAATTCGGAGGTCGGATTTACTAAGTATCAAATAGGGGGTCGTCGGCCTCATTAAGCCACTAAATCGGCAGATTAACAACCCAATAAGACATTCTAATCGGTTTTCACAATACAACTCCGTTTTTATTGGTGAATGATCATACTAAACACATTCATTTCCTGCGCGTGCTTTGCAGCAATTCGCCTTAAAAGTGTAGATATGACTTGGCAGCGCATTTAGCAATGGAAAGAAGCTTGATCGAGATATGTTTGTAGCTTGTAGAAAATGAAAAATGCGTGCCACTGTAATCTACTACAGTTGTTCGTCCGCTTCAACTATTCCGTTTACTTGACTCAATCGACTCGTACCCGGTTCGATATATGTTACTGACTCATAATGGTTCAAACTACCCACGCATATAAACCTTTTGGAGGACCCAGTGTGCCCCCAGAGTCATGCCGATTTCAAGAAAATTTATTGCCAGATAGATGTCAAGAGAAACCATCTTTTGACTTGATGTACCGCGAATATAATCCGATTTGGTCTGATGGGTCCTAGATTGCTGTGAAACGGATGTTTTACTGAAATAGGAAGCGACGTAAGTGCTGCTATCGCAGACTTCTCGAAGCTCATAACCTCTTTGTGAAACGCATAAGTCTAATTCATGTTTTTATTTGTGTCAGGGTTTGATCAGCATCTCATAAACCTGTGTGTAACTTTGTAACGCAAAATTGACTCATAGCTATGATGAAGAAGTACATAAATTTCGGCTTACCCCTTACTAGAGGTGTCAACGTTTAGGGGTCTAAACCTCTGAAACTTTGCCAACCTTAAAACTCAGGTGAGTTTGCAAACAAACTCTAAACGTTTCTAAACTCCGCAGCGTCCATGACTAGGTGAATGTATACCATAAAAATTTACTGTGAATGAATCTTTCACAGCTTCATTGAAAGCACTTGAAGCCTCGCCAAGCCCACAATGGACGAGGCGCACCTGGCACTGGGGTCTTCCTGCAGCTCCCGGCATCGCTCAGGTGGCTCGCTCCTCGGGACCGCTCTCAATGCCAGTCCAGGAAACAACAATACTGATAGAGCCGTCGGTGCGGCGGTACTCGTTAACACCAGGATTTGTGCGCGATCCGAGAATTCACACCGCATGAAGCTGGAGCAGGCATCGGCACGCCGGCAACAAAAGGGATGTGCTGTTCAAGGCAGCGGCGTATAGAATTCAAGAGCTTGTGCGATTTATCTAGTGAATCGAGGCTACTACTGTAGGTCTACCTGTGGGAACACCTACCTGGGTATCTTGCTCGGTAGGTCGGATGATCTTTGGACGTCAAGATCCTGTTTGGTTTTTCGCTTTGGGCTTCTGCTGACTCGTCTGCGGCTTAGGCGCCTTTGCACAACTTCCTTTAGTGGTCGCTTTAATCCCTTTTATCAGCTTTTCGAGCGGGGCATTGGTTGACACTATGAGACTGTACTTGCGCTGCGCAGCAACTAAGTGAGCACAAACGAGATATTTTTCATAATACCTGCATCCACACGCCTTGCCGCCGAGATCCACCTAACAGCCTCTAGGATGATGGCGTAGCGACCACTTGGTAGCCATGTCGTATAGATCCTTTGCCTGCAAGCCGCTTCTTTTCTGCCTCATCCTTGAGCTCACTTTCATTTCCTATGAGTGAATCTTCTTCCTCAGGTAAATCGACGGGATCTCCACCAGGTTTAGCGTCTCCACCGGCCTGATCACCTTCAGCATCAGTGTCCCCACCAGAAATTAATCTCAAACACATACTCTGCGCTGTCGAATTTGCCGAAGGTTGTGATGACTGGGGGCTACGGGAGGGTGTCTCGTCATCGAATACCACACGAAATTAGTGTTCGTCCTCCGCATCCTCTTCGTATGCGGTATCCGGTACGAGATTACTAAAACCCTGACACGAGCCGCTTCGGAGGTCGTTTCAATTTGCACATGACCGGCTTCAAGCATTTCAGCTGCAGCCTTGGCCACACCACTCGTAGACATCGCCTTGTAGTCAGACTTTACTGGGATCAACGGGCTTATAGTCTCGATGAATTCGCAGAGTTCTAAGAGTAGTCGGCGCATGTGGTGGCGACGTCTTTGGAGAAGTGATTTCAAAGGTCCGTTCAGGCTTTCTTAGGGATTGTTTGAGCAAGCAAAATGTGGTGTGGGGAACGATTGTCATTGTGAGTATTGACCTTTGAGCCATTGTGCGTCGAAATGGTCAGCAAACGAGGAGAGCTGGGTCATTTTCCAAGCTCCTGATCTCGAATGGTCTCATACGCTTCCATGAAGCATCTCAACAATCGACGTCATGACTTGCATCCTGTCCTTGATTGGAAGATGCTGAACTCCTTTTCGCATATTCTTTAAAACGTGGAAGAAGCACATTAGCATCTTAGCACCGGAAAAGGTTGGTAACGACCCGAAAGCGCTATACTGCGGATCTTCTGCATCCCCCATAACGACGCTGACTTGTGGGGTAGCGCCTCGGTGATCAAGTACGAAGCCCACAAAGCCTCGAAAGCACTCGGTGTATTCGTGCACTGTCCTTCGACTTACGACAAAGAATGCTCCCACTTGGTACGCCCTCGCCTTGTCTGTAAACCCGCACGTGATTACGGGATACCCAGTGTCATTAACCTTGAAAGTAGCATCGGCGTGAAATTGGCAATACGCGCAGTTCTTTGAAAAGCGCAAGCAGGCATCGATCGTAGACAAGGGCGAAATGCCAAGGATAAATGAGTCTTCATCTGGCCCGATACCGACGTAGTCGTATCCTTCTCCATCCAGCTTGGCTCCAAACAAAACGGCTGTACTGAAGCTCATCACACTTTGATAACAGCGAAGACGCTCTAGCTGTTGAATTGAACCCCTCGAATTTTACTGCCTTGATCGAGTCGAATGCGTTTGAACACATTGCGAATTTACTTTAGAGTCGGTAGTGCACGGGTCGAGCCTGCAGCCGATGTTCTGTGTCGCTTCCTATTCACCAGAATGAGGCGCGGAGGAATTCCGATTTCGTCTCACTCAGCGAAGAACAACTTCATGACTGAAATAGTACGTCGACATCACAGAGCATAACACCATGTCTGCGACCATGTTCATTTACCCACAAGTGAATGCTTTCCAGATAGTACACATTTGCTTTTACACTGCAGGCGGTGCTCTGTCATTATATACTGACCACCACACGTACGGCAGATCGAAATCGCGCTTCAGAACCACAGCGATACAACGCATCGATTCAGCACGGAACCGGGATGTCAAAAAAAAGATGATCAAAAATGAGGTTTTTTTCTCAAGAATATAATAGGGGTAGTCAATGTCTGCAGCAGCAACTATTTTTTTTTCTTGCTCGAACGCGCCAAATGTTTTTGGCCAATCACAAGCTGAGTGCGTTGACCACCCCATTCTCGGTCTGCAGCAACAGATCTAGATTTTCAGTCACCCCTCGGCATCAAACGTCCAGCCCACGTGCTTGTCCTCTGGGATGCGGGGAAAGCGTGCGCTGGAACGCCTGGAGCGCCAGCTAGAGGAAGGCGATGCCCTCTACCTCCTTCAAGTTGAGTGTGAGAAGGCAGCGGCGTGTCCATCCTGCTGCAGTCGACGTGGTAAGTGCTGATCTCAGCAGGAAACTCCAGTCAGCGTCTGTCCGGGTTGTAGAGGTTGCTGAACGCGCCCTCCCACCTGTTGTTGATGATCAAGGTGTGGAGGCTGAACGTGGGGAGTTTTGTTGGGGGGAGGCGCTTGTTGCTCAGGCTGCTGATGCGAAAGTAGAGCTAAGTTAGCTGTTGTTACCTTAGCTAACTGCCGTCTGCTCACTACTCTCAGCGCCTTCTAACACACAGCCATCGGCGGACGCAGCTTTTGATACAGCCCTGAGCTGCTAGGGAAGACTTGAGTAGTGTAGATCTAGAGCTTCAGTAAGAGCGTGGAAGTGCTCTTCTTATCTCCGTCACTCGGCATACAACGTGCATTACATGATGGTGCTGGAGAAACGCTTGCACGCCAAGTCGTCGACTGACACATGTAGACTTCCTAGATCGACCTTACAAGAATTCTGCTCGCGGCACAGCCCCCAAGTGCGGAGTCTATCCGTCGCGCAATGATCATGCTGCCGTACCGTTGGTGCTCAGATCTTAGCCATGCCAGCAAAAAAAAACGAGCTGCTGCTGCGGCTCGACCAGAACGTTCCGATCGCAGATTTTTTCTGACCAATCACAGCCCCGGAAAAAAATCCGACTTGCTGCGGCGGAAAAAAGTGACGGACATTGACTACCCCTAATAAGATAAAAGAAGATTTTCGGTTCCCAAATTACATATATACCTAGCCGAGGTCCCTACCACTTTGTCTACTTGCTTCGCCGTTGAAGTCGACGTCGCTACACTAACACTGTTGCCTTCACTTTGGAAATAGATAATCGACGCAGACGGAGTCGGCAGCATACCTGAAAAGTATAGCAGGCATTTCGTTGAATACATGGGACATGGAGTGATGATTAGGATGTAGTGGTCACTTTGTTGGAGTGGCCTTCGATTGATCAGGTGACTACTACATCCCTTGAATAGACAACAAATGAACTATTGTACTGTAGTTACGGCTCGTTTCTAGTATCCCCTCATATCAACTAACCGGTTGAAAATTGGCTACAATTAAGAAAAAAGAAGAAAATCGACAATCTTTTTTTTCGATAAAAGAAGATATAAGAAAACTGAAAAAGGAAGTTTATCATCCCTCCTACGGGAGCCCTCATAGTTATCCTCTGAGTCTTCAACGGAGAGCTGACGTCATGACTCCATTTCTTGTTCCCCCCGTCGGCTCGCCGACTTTCGCAGCGGATGCTAGAGATGTTATGATGGATTTCAGGAGAGGTTGTACATCTATAGATAGTCAGCACAACATAGGATAGCAAAAGCGCCCTCATCATTCAAGAGGTAGTAGTGAAGCGAGTTTGATGAAACCGTCACTGGGTGCAATTCAGCGGACCGGAGAATATATTCTGACCCTACCAGTATGGTCTGTCCTCATTTAACGTAAAGGGTATGGCATAACCCCACCTGGTATGCTACTACCTCAACTCAATATGTGTTGGCCTAAAGCGCTGTATTTTCTGTCACCCTCCTCTGGATTCGGTGGTGCAAGGCGAATACGACCACATTCATGCGCCGGACGATCTTACTTGAGGAACGTCTACCAATTGTATCATTTTTAGGTACAATGATGTGTCTCGATAAAGATGGGGATTATATAACTTTGATAATCTATTTTGTGTTTTCAATGGTTTTGCATGGTCTGACGGAAATAACACCTCAATAGTAGCCCCTCGTAGGCACTATCATGAAGCTTGTATGGAAGTGACCCGAACCCTATATAATGATTTTCGGCCGCCTTGAGACGTTGTTTCGGTGGGCATGTCAGTACCAATATTACAATTTTCTAAAACTAAATATTATCAGCAAAACTTTCTTTGATCTGGGCGAATTACGAAGTGAATCATACCAAAGCAAAATCGATTTCATACCAAAAACAACTAGTCATACTGAAAAGTACGAGTTCATACCAAAATGTACGAGTACGATCTCGTATTTACTCGTATGAACGCGTATTTTTTGGTATGATTTCCTGGTGTTTTTAGGTATGAACTCGTAGTTTACAGTGAGGAAAGTTGTTTCTGGTATAAACCTACATTGGCCGCACGGGTGGCATAGCTATTGAATAGGACAATATTCATCGACTCTAGAGTTGTTTACATGTCACCTGTTGGACCTTGGTGAATTTTACTATATGTATAGAGTGTCGCAGTATTCTGGTCGCTGTAGCTTTGGCAACAGGTTTAAGTAGACAGCTCAGATAGCTCCACAAACGGCAAACCAAAGAACGGTTAACATAAGGAAAGTGTAGCGCCATCCTCAAGTTCGTACTTAATGTATTTTCGTCCAATGAAAATTTTGTCACGTTGTGGTCGTGACGGACACGGAAACTGCTATAAGAGAAGGGGAACTAGCGCTCTGGGCACCCGCTACGCGGGCGCTTTGACCACGGGTTGCTGGAATAGCATAGCTTAAAGTACATGCATCATTTTGATTTCCATAACAATAATGTGCGGATACAGTTGACACATATTCGTTGCTATAACTTCGTGCTTTAGTAGCAAATGAGTAGGAATACATTTTCCTATTAAGCTAATTACCAAATGTCGCTCACGATGCAAAGTTGAGTACCTAAACATCGAGTGAGCTGAATATCGTTGCCGTTGTATTATTGATCACCCGTTTCTGCGAGGCGAGCTACATTGTCACGGACATGCCTTACTACAGTGTAGTGACCTGCGTGTTTACTTACTTTGAAGTAATAACTAAAGTATTGAAACTATGATTGGGTGTGGTTTATACAGCGTTGCAAACTGGTAGCTGTCGTCGATACCGTACTCTAGTGTTGTTACTACGTTAGCACTGAAAGACTGCAACTTTGCCAGCATGAATTTACGCACTGCACCGCGCTACATGTAGTAATGCTGGTTTGCGCGATAACAGTTCAAATAGACATAGTAAATTTAGCTCAACTCAATACGGATCGGTAACGACTGTGCGTCTTCGATGGTTAGGTTGTTGTGTATCGTGTATATGCATATGAAGCGGGACCCCGGGGTCCCCGCTTGTCCCGCCAGCTGTCATAAGCAACCGGTATATTCGGTAAATTCAAGTGCTGCATGTTTGTATCGATGCTATGTATCTCTGGTAGTATCGACTATCGAGTTGCACAGAGCTGCAGAGTTCGCAACTTTGCGTGCCTGACGCCGCTGCTGCTGTAGTAGGCGCTAGCTTCTAGCAGTCAGCTTGAATCTTCTTGGTCATATCTTCACCAAGACGCTTAACAGAACGAACGAATGCAGCAGCTTTGTGGTCACGACGATTTCAATACTTAAGTATCACGTTTGCGCCGAGGAACCTCTGCACCTCCAGTTCGCCTAGACTTCATACTGGATGCTAGATGCTTGAAGGTGAAATGAGCTCTAGCTAAACTCGAAAAATTATCACAAAATTGTCACAACATATATATTATCACTGCCCCGCCGATAAAAATAAATAATTCCGGTCGCCATCGGTACATGATGCGGGACCCCGGGGTCCGGCCAATAGCTTCATATATATATTGCTCTAACGACAATGTCTACACTAAGCTGCATTATGTGCATGCTGCAGTAGTTTACGGTACACGTATCTAGGGTAGCAGCGCGCATTTATTTTGAAAGCTGCATGCGTTGCCAGTGTCACTACTATTCTACGCTTTGCCTACTCTGCATCTTTCATCTGGATTTATAACGCGTTATTGCTCTTGGTGCATGGCGTACAGTACTTAGTAACAGTAATTCGAAATTGCGCACGACCATGCTGTTGTGCGCTGCGCGCAATTCGAGCAGCATTTTCTAAAATTGTTTTGTTGAAGCGCGAGAGTCAGGGTACCTGGGATATGCTCGATTTTGATTTGAGTTGGAGTGCATTGTTGTCACTTGGCTGATGCGACTATCGTTCCTATGGAAGCGAGTGTCGGACTGCAGCAAGATCCTGCCATTAATCAGCTTAATAAAAAACATAAAAAGTCGTAAGTATGACGCCTCGATGCGCGCGCTGGTGATGCACCTGGGTTTACTTAATTCGACCAACTACTACGTAGTAGTAACTTAAGTTGAGCACGCGACTACTCAAATTGGTGTATTATAATGCTTGATTCCTGCAAATGAATACAGCACGATTGCCAGCAACACCACGCCGCGTGCTGTTTATCAGTTAATCTATGTGCAGCGTTAGGTGGTCTAAATGCGCCGTTCGCACACATTCTTGGTGTATTAGAAGATGAACGCCTAATAAGCACCAGTCTACCCCTAATTCCGTACTGTAAACCCTCGACTGCCCTGAAGGCACCAGTTATCCCAACAGGCGGAACTCCCGAAACCGTAAAGTAGTTTATTAATGTAAACGTATGCATGTACTCACTGTGGTAGTGCCCGCTGCCGCTGCAGCCCGCTGCTTACTCCGGTACGCCAAGCGCCCTCCCGCTCGTTGCCTCCGTCCGTCCGCCCACCGCGCGCCAACTTTCAAAATGGGGGATGGGATAATCACACCCGTTAAAGTCCGATTTCTTCCGCGTAAGTACGAATTTTGGCGTGATTGTGTCTAGTTTTGTAATTTCGTAAATAGTTTAAAAGCCAGTGCGAGTCGATTTGATGAGTGAATAATGCATCTGTTAGGTCCGCGATAACGTAGTCGAAATGACAGGTCTATGCTGTAGGCTCGTAAAGCGTGACGAACTCACCGACAGGACTCTCGGTTAGAGGACGGAGAATGGACTAAATATCTTAGGCGCCTTTAGCTTTACCTTGATCTCTCATATGATTGGCTGAAACAAAATGTTATTTGGCGTTATTTCAGGGAAAGAAGTACCCATACAAATCCTTTGACGTCTTATTATGTCCTAGAAAATGTATACATGTACATTCCCGTCTTGTTGCCATGTTTGCTTGAAACATAATCTATGATATGATTGGTAGATATGCCTCCAGTATGTTTGTGGGAAGTTTTGATAAAGCTCGTTGCCGCTTAACTCACCTCTTTTTAGTCGGAGTACTATGAGTGAGTAGTGTTGTACAAGAGACGAGGACGAAATGAGCCTGACGGGCTTCACGAAAGTCTTGGTCCTCTTCCACGAGAGCTTTGAATCAAATCAAAATTTGATAAAGTTCCAAGTGGCTTTCTTGAAGTGAACATATTTTTATCCAAGTACATGTATTAATATCGACTTGAGCTCCATTTCCTGCAAATCGATTTCTAAGGCGCTGCTCGTGCTCATTACCGGGCAGAGCTTCGTATATGTACTTGGTCTAAACAGTCGACGCGGCTCGTGCAAACGCGAAGTTGTGCGTGAAAGCAGCAACCTGCGTTGCTGCTGCCAACCCGCAGTGCCGCTCTGCAGTGCGGCCCGCAGCGCGCATCGTGTTGCGCACAGCAGTGGACAGGAAGACGAGGCGGCACTCTTGGGCGATTGTTGTCCCGAAAGTTCAAAGAAGTCACGGACGGGCTTCATTTTGCGAGGATCCGACGGTCCGCGCTTGATTGCTCGGTCTCAGCTGCAGCGCATTGGGCAGCCGTGGTTGAAGTGACCGACGGTCTCGTCGAGACTCCCGAATCCACCGGTTCTTGTCGGTCTTGAAAGTTGCCGTGCTCAAGCCTCTCGAGTCAAGAGGCGGCCAAGCAAACACGCAGACTCTGGTGCGGTTCGAGGCGGGATCGTCTTGCTGGCAAAAGATAGGCCGCGAGGGACCTGGTGCAGAGCTGCGCCGCGCAGTGCGCGGACACGAGGCCTTTCCATCGGCGAGAGCTGCCTTGAAGTGAGCCTGGGTTGCAGCGAGAGAGTGTGCTCTATGGACGCGAAGGTGTATCGAGTAATTTCAGTCATGTTCGAGGCTCGAACATTGAGCATGCGATGTGGGGAGGGGGTGCCATTTCTGGACATCGAGTTGAGCGAGGCTGGCGTGCTGTTAAAGGAGCCATGCAGTGCGGTGCAGTGGTTTCTTCACGAGCTCATTTAGATCTGGCTTTAGCTGGACCAGCGGAAGTCGGTCGCGGCCATGCGGTTCCATGCGTCAGTCCTGACACTCGCAGCGTTCGTCGTCGCCCAGGTGGCGAGCGCTTGCTTACAAAATGTGCACCAACTGGCAGGAGCAATGTGCGGGTCTCGGTGGACGTGAGGTTGTGAGCGTTGCGGCAGACCGGAGCGGCGTGAGCCGAGCCAAAGCGGTGAAAAGGGTCTGACGAAAAGGTGCCCAGGCCCATGATCATGTTGCTGCCGAGCCTAAGGTGGTGATCGAAGCCGGCTGGCGAGGCCATCGGATGCCGCTGTACTTGGCTTGGCGAGTCTTGCTCGGCAGCGGCCTCTACGGCGAGGCTTGTTGAATTAGATGCGTCGCCGCGATGTGCGTCGTGCAGCCGCAGGCCGAATCATCGCGGGCAGAAAGTGGCGAGACCACGAAGCAGAGCGCGCTGTGCAGATTGAAGCTCCCGCCCAGCGGGCGGGATTGTGAACGCCAAATCACGACAACGAGCTAACTTTTCTGCGGGCAGATTCACAACGCGAGGCCTATGCGCGCTGCAGGGGCTGAAGGGGTCTTTGCCGACACGGCAGATCGCTCCGCGCTAGCAGCGAAATAAATGCATGCCGGCAGCTTCTACCTACCCTACCGGTAGGGTAGAGCAGCAAGCAGCCTTCATTCGAGTCGCCGAGACCGGGGGGGGCCGTTTCAGCACTCATGTCCCCGCAAAATCCTTGCCCCCCCGGCCGGCCGCCTTGTCTGAAGCGAGCACCGCGCCTGCGCGCCTCAACTGTCGATTCGGCTCGTTTGCCGGCTGCAACGCACTGCAACGCGTTGCAGTGGTCGGCCATCGCGCGTGGGTGCAGATATCGGATATCCTGGCCGCCAGTGGCCACCATAACAGGCTGGCCACGGCCGGCGGCGACATGCATGAGCAATGGATCATTTATCATTTGAATCGAGAATGCACTAGATGTGCGTGAAAATCCGAGGGGTTCCAAGTGTAGATAGGAGAAGTTTGCATGAATAAGACCCCCCCCCCCCGCGATATGTGCACTGCAACGGTATCCAATAACCGCCACTAGTAGCGAAATTCTGAATGGAAACGGCCCTCCGAAGTCGAGCCAACCAAGCAAACAAGCTGGCAGGACAGGTGCTGGTGGTTGGTCTCGCGCATGGCGAGCGGAATCTGCGGCCGATAGGCGGCCAAGCCCGTGCTCGGGGCCCGCCTTTCACGCGATCGGGGCCGGGTGGTCGATCGCTTGCACTCGACGTCGGAACGAGAGCGGCAGAAACGCAGCCCCTAACACACCCAGCAATTGCAGCTGCTTTCGTAACACGGCGCGGCTCGCCATGCGGCGGCGAGAGTGCTAGAATCTATCGAGAGATAGCGCCCGGGATCCAAATATTCAGAGAGCGCGGTTTCGCCGAGCAAATTTAGCATTAGCTCGAGCAACAACCAGCATGAGTTGCCTGCCAGCAAAAGTCTAGCATAGCGCGCTGCCAGCAACAAGCGTCCGGCCAGCGGCATGACAGCCGCGGCGTCAGCCCGCGGTGGTTGTCGCAGTCGGACCGTCTTGTTTGACTCGCGCTCACTATGGCCGCGGCCGTTGCAGCGCCTGCTCTCTTGTGAGCCCGGGCCTCGTCTCTGAAATCCGCTAAGCTCCCGCGCCGCGCTTCGCCTCGTTTGGCTGCCAGCTGGCCGAGCCGCGCTGCTCGCCGAGTCAAGCGAGCAAAGGCGAGCTCACTTCGCATTTGCCTCACTCGCGCGCACACCCCTCTCTCGATCGTAACTACCGTAGTAACAATGACCCAAGTGGAGATCCGCAGCGCCAGCCCCATCGGCAGCCCCGTGAGCCCGAGCGCCATGGAGTCGCCCTGGACCAAGGACGGCACGTACATCATCGAGGCCACGCGCAAGGCGCACGCCTGCTGCAAGTCGTGCGACGCCACCATCGAGGCCGGGCGCCTGCGCGTGGGCGTGGTCTATCAGCACCGCAACGGCTTCGTGTGCATCAACTGGCACCACGTCGAGTGCTACAAGGCTGTGCGCCAGATCCCGCTCAAGTGCCTCGAGGGTTACAGCGACCTGGACCCGCAGCAGCAGAAGCTGGTCGAGAGCTGCCACCTCGTCGACCTCCACGAGCCGCACTTCCTGCCCGAGGCCCGCACTTGCTCGGCCTAATGTTGCGGCGGCTGAAGCAGCCTCGGTGGCGCTGGCGACTGACCGACCGCCCTCTGTATTGTTCGTCCCCCACCTCGCGAGTTTTTGACGTGACGGCGTTGGCCCCCGGATCCTGCGTGGCAAGCCGAGCTACATGTGCACTGTAGTAGACCGCGCACCTATTTAAGTATCAATATGAACCACCCCACCACTGTCCATCCAAAGCATGCATTGACTCGCACCGCCATAGGTGAGCGGTAGATGGATCGCGAGCTGCAAGTTACGCCAGGGCAGGCAATGGTATCGTTGGAGGGTAACGGAAGCAGCCCCACGGATGCGATGCGGTTGGCGCCCGCTTCTCACGAGGGCGGGCGTCGTGTAGTACAAGCTTGTACACTGCACGCCGCCATCATTAACTCGAGCGCTCGCTCGTTGACTCGAGGCCGTCCCTCGTGTGCTCTGCTCTGCTTGAAGAGCCCAGCTGGGACTCCGTCTTTTGTTTTTCATCGGCATCTGTTTCTTAGCCTGCTAAAAAATGTATTTGCTGTCAATACGCGCATAATTTCCTATACACTGAAAACTAGTATCCTGTCATAACTTATCCCATTGTTGTTATTAAGTGCCCCTTTAGCCTTTGCTACTTAATAGTCCTGTTGTAACGCAACAACATGGGTGGGAACGTTTGCGCGTGGTGTTATTTCCGGGTCGGGCGCGGTCAAACTCCATCAAGCAGAAGAAGCGATTGTCTATATTGCCTCGAGTCGAGCCATGGACGTGCAGATGGAGGACCAGGGCGGCGCCTCGCACGAGGAGAAGTTCCGCGTGTACAACGAGGCGCTGGTGCACGCGGCCACGTGCCCCGAGTCCAAGTGCGAGGCGCTCAACGGCCGCTGCCACAAGGTCAAGGCCAGCATCGACCACTTCGTGCGCTGCTACGGCCCGCGCCGCAAGGTCTCCCCCATCGAGAGGTGCGCCGCTACAAATTAGATTAAACTACGCCGTGGGTTTAATCTCCCAGAGCCTCTGATTTACGTGACGATGCGCGTGGTTTTAGCTGCGAGATGTGCTCCAAGATCTGGGGCTTGCTCTGCTTCCACGCCAAGACGTGCCAGACGCCGCTGGGCCAGCGCTGCGCCGTCTCGCAGTGCGACTACCTGCGCGACAAGATCGCGCGCAAGCGGGAGAGCGACCGGCGCGAGCTGCAGGAGGCCAAGGCCAAGATACAGGTCAAGTTCGAGGAGTGGCCCGTCGAGCGGCGCATAGCGCAGGTGGAAGCCGACCGGCAGCAGGTGCTGCAGCTCATAGCCGACATCCGCGCGGGCAAGGCGCGCCAACCGCAGGTGGTACAAGCTCAGCAGCAGCCCATGATGTCCATGAGCTGAGACGCCCAATTCAGAAACCCCAAAACTATGCGACGCTGACGTCCTGCGTCTCTGTCTTGCGAGGTCGAATGGGACCCTCCGTGGGTGAGGGGGTCCAAGGGTACAGCACAGCCGAGAAACAAGAGATGGAGAGGTGGGGCGTTCGGTCCGAGGTCCTTGCGAATGGAATGTTATTTGCTTTTATTTTTCATGTCTGCTCTCTTATGTCCCTGCGTGTTGCTTGCTCATGGTGTGGCTGACTGACATTGAGCTCCCTCTGTCGACCTGTACTTCATTGCTCCGTGATGCTGCATTGGCTGCAATACCGGTGTAGGTGAAGAGTGGGTCCGTTTTCGTCTGAAGACACCGGTACGATCGCGTAGCATGCGAGTATGCGGTGTTGTTGTTGTTGGCCAGTTGCGGTGATGCAGGTGCCGTCAAGCAAGAACTCGATCGCTAGTTGGGGGTAACATGTTGCTGTGGGGCGGCAGTTTTCCTTGGAAATGAAGGGTCGACGCCAATATTGGCCGGAAACGAACGGGGCTCTTGGTCGGTTATCGCATCGAGCGGGTGTTGCAGCGAGAGACGCCACTTACGACTGCAATCGCCTGTGGAACATAGCCTGGCTGGGACGAAGGGAGCGTGTCCGAAGTACCTGACTGGTGCAGCCTGCTACAGTGGGGTCCGACGACGAAACTACACGAAACATGGCAGCGATCTATCGCGTTGGCGACCGCGTAGACGGTCTATACGATGAAAACTCCGACGATATGTGGTACCCGGGGCGGATACGATGCGTCCATGCAGGCGAAGCAGAGCCTGACAGCGCAGACGGCCCCACGTTTGAAGTTTTGTACGACGATGGAGAAGTGGAGACGCATGTGCGACCTGAATTTCTTCGCCAGCATGTGCCTGGCACCATTTGTGTTGGAACTCGTGTGCTTTGTCGTTACGATGGCGGAGAAGAGTATTACCCAGGCCAGGTTTCGGATGTGCAGGAGAACGGAAGGTATACCATTGCGTACGATGACGGCGAGGTGGAAGAAGACGTGCCCCTCGCTCATATTCTGGAGCCCAAGGAAGAGGAGAAGGACGAGGCAGAGGCTGCGGGTGCAGCAGACGAAGAGGAACAGGAGAAAACGCCGAACGATGTAGAACCCGAGCAACAGCAGGAGGAGGACGAGAACGACGAAAAGGATGCAGAAATGGAGGAAGCACAGAAGTCTCCCAACAACCCAGCGGAAGATACATTCAGTGGCGCGGATGTAGCACAAGAAAATGAAGAGAGCGTGAACGGTGATGACAAGTCCGACGAGCCAGTGACAGCCGAAACATCGGACCAGTTTGATCATCCCAGACCTGAGCAGCCAAAGCACAACGAAGCCTTCCCCCCAAGCCGCCAAAATGAAGAGCTTCCCGACCCTTCTCCTGCGGGAGTGTCTGCTGAGCGCGCGTACATTATTGAATCGCTCCAGCTACTGGAGAAGCGACTGGGTGACTCGGCATCTACCAAGTCGGTTCTCTCAACGTTGGTCAAGCAGATGCGTGCATATCCCCAAGTCACAGCCAATCTGGTTCACAAACATGGCGGCGAGCGTTTAATTATCGACGCGCTCAAGTTTCATCAGTCTCACGCAGTCATTCAATGCTACGGATTCGTGCTCCTGCGCAGACTCTGCTTTTTGTGTGTGAAAAGCACACACTATTTGCTGCGCAATGGAATCGTGGAGTTGGTGATCCAAGCGATGAATGCGTTTGCGGAGGACGCTATTCTTCAAGCGTCTGCCTGTGGAGCTTTAGCTGTATTTACGCGAGTCCAGTCTGGTTTGAACATTCTTATCGAGTACCAAGTGGCGCAGCTAGTGCTATCCACTCTCATCTATCACAAAACCTACAGCGTACACACGCGGCAAGTACATTATTACGCTTGCGAAGGTAACGTGCTCGCCTTTGATGTATACATATCGAACTCGTTTTGACTCGGTTTGTCGATATGGTTTTGACGTCATGTTGCAGTTCTGCTGGAGCTGTGCGAGCTGGACGATCTTCAAACGCTGAATCTGTTGTGTGGTGAGCAGGAGGAAGACTTTACGGGAGATATGGCTCCGATCTCTCTCCTGCTCTTCTTGTTGCGCCAAGGACTTTCACTCGATGACAAGAAGGCTTGCTGCGCTGTCGGTAGCTTACTCATGTGGTACGGATCATGAGTGAGATAAAGGTGGCTTGGAAACTAATTGTGCGTTCGAGCAACTCATTTATCTGGATAATTGTGTGTATTTCACTTCCAGTTTGGCGGCCAGTGGAAAGCGTGCAGCTGCCTTGATCCTGGGTCTCAATGGAATAGCTGAACTTTCAACTGTTATGGCGAGATACCCTACCGAACCAAGCATCCAAAAGTACTCTGCTGCAGCGTCAAAGCAAATTGCACTTTGTACTGTCCGGCAATCGCCCACGAAGAGAATCAAGGACACCGCTACAGAGATTTTACGGGAGGCTGAGTCGCTTAAAAATACTCCCACAGATAGGCAGCCCGTGAAGAAAAGCTCACTTCGAGGTCGATCTACCAGCATTGGGAAGCGCAAAAGCAACCCGGCCACAGGGTATGGAGCCCCTTCGTATCCCCGTGGGGCTGCCTACACCTCTAGCACACCTTATCGACACACGCAAGGCTTCCCAAAGGCGGCATCTCCATACGGACAAGGAGCTTCTGGGTTTGGAGGTGATACGAGCACGTTTGGCTACCCTGCTCGTGATTTCCCTGGGGCTGCTACGGCTCCACAGCAGCCAAGCAGCCTTGTCATACTTGACGGAAGTCTAGGTATGGACAGCGGATTTGGCTCCACCAGCAAGCGGAAACAACTATCGAAAGAGGACCGGCAATCGGAGCTATTTGACGCGTACGGAATCCAGGGAGTACCCAGCGCTGCCAACGGAAGACCTTATGGAACAAAGAGAGCTCAGTTAAGAGCACACTTGGCGTCCGCTGAATCCGCTTGGGCCCCACCGCAGCAACATGCCCCATCAAGCAGCAAACCTTACTCTAGTCGATCGGATTACGTGGACCATGGGCCGGCCTATTCGCACCGAGATTTCATGTCGAGCCGTCAGAATCGCTGGGACGACAATGACGAGCCTCACCACGCTGCCGTGTACGAACCCGAAGTGAGGCAACCTCGAGGAGCAAAGCGGAAGAAGAAGAACCCAGCGCCCCGAGCTGCCTTCCAGGTGAAAATTGAGAACGAGAACCAGCTTCGAGTGTCCAGAGAGACTCGCTCGCCGTATCCGTCGCCTCAGCGCTTGGGTGTTGCGACTAAAAGAGCAGCGAAGGCGCGCCAAAAGCGAATCACTGCTGGAGGCTACTCGTCTTTGACCAGGAGGTCGAACAACACCTCCTCTGAGTCACTAAACGACTACGCCACGCAGTTGTTCCAAGACAACGTATCTCGTGCAGGAAGCGGCATCCCCTCCAGCTCCAAGCTGACACCGCGGGAGAAAGAGGAGATCCGAGAGCGAGAGCGATTGAGCTTCGCTGAAAAGCTCCACAAGATGATTGACAAAGCAAAATCGACGTTGGCAAACGGTAGCACGACGCCCGTTCCCGCTGTCGACCACACTTCAAGGCAGAAGTCTTCGGCGAGCTCGAAGACAGCACGAAAGACTCGTGAGTCATCTTCGGATGACAAGCGCCCGCTTTCCAAGAAGTCGCGTCCAGCAGTCAGCAGCACACCGAAGTACACTCCGAAGGAGATTTTGTCGCCACGGGAATCAACCGAGGTCAGGCCTGCAAAGCCGACTTCCGGGGCGTCCAAGCGCCAAGCTGCAGCAAGTGAGGGTCACCAAACTCCGTCTGGTCATCAAGCACCCATGGTCGCAAGGGCCAAGCAAGTCGCTTCCCGGCCCGTTGTGCCTCTAAAGGTAACTTCAGAGCAAAAGCCTCGGACTGTCCTCAAGTCAAACAAGAGTGCCGCTACGAAATCTGCTGGTAAGAAGGAAGTTGAGGGGGTGAAGGAGTCTGTTGCTACTGCAGTAGTTGCGGAAGTCGTTCCGCCTAGCACCCCAGCGATTAACGAGCCGCTTCAAGTGGATTCGGATGCTGTCACTGTGGAGGCATCGCCCGAAACAGTCGATGAAATCCCTGTTTCAACAGATACGACACCCACACAGCAAGTGGAACCAGAGGTTTCGAATAGTATCGAAGCTGCTGCGGTTGAGGTGGAGACTGCACCATCGGAGATACCAACTGAAGTGGTAGACCCCGCTGCACAAGGAGACAATTCGCCATCCAACACACCTGAGCAAAATGTTACGGCTGAAGAAACGGCGATAGCTTTAACACCAAGCAAGACGGAGACCATCACTTCCCCTGTTGATGCTCCGCCGCCGCAAGAGGAATCTGTTCCTGACGCTGCCACAGAGAAGAATGTCGAGGCTGCAACGGACGTACCAGAGGCAACAGAGGAAGCACATGAGACTACTGTACCGCCTTTGGAGGAGCCGAGTGCAATGCCGGATCCTGCTGAAGACCAACCAAGTGGAGGAAGTGCGACGGTGGATGCCATGTATAGAGACGCGTACAACGAGTTTGATGATAACGGCGGCGATGATGAAGATATGACAGCTGAAGCCGGAGCAGATGCAGAAGATACTCCTATGCATGACACGGGAGCATCGGATCCTCCAAATGATGTTCCGCTGCAGGAGAGCAAGAGTGGAGAAGCCTTGTACGACGATGGCTATGACGAGTTCGATGAGGACGACACACCAAATGCTGAAGAAGCCGAGGCGGACGATGTCCCTGCAGCTGATACTGAGGCCAATCCTGAGCCAGAAACAACAGACGAAACTTCTGGTGTATCGGTAGTTGGTGAGTCTGAACCAGCAGCAAGCGTGATCGAGACGGAAAATGAGCAAGTGCATACTGAAAATGATAATCCTCCTGATGCCCCAGCTGAGAACGGCTCACGTGCAGAGGAGCAAGCGGAGGCTGAAAGTGCGGTGCAGGGTGGCGATGTGGATGACAATGCCGGTGGTGGTGAAACTGAGTGCGCGGTTGCTGAGCCAGAAGAATCAAATGATCCGCAGCCAGACCCGGCAGACGTCGCTGTTATCTCGGAGGAATCTACAAGTGATCCGGATGTACTCGTAAGCAACACCGAAGAGGAACAGAACGAAAGCACGTCCCCCAATCTGGAAGGTGAATCTGTACCAGATCCGACTGATGACAGCAACTTAGATGGCAGTGGTGGAAATGAGCCCGTCGCCACGGAAGATGCCGGCGGTAATGATACTTCAGATGATTTGGTGGGTGCAGAAGGCGCTACCCTCGAGGAAGAGTCTAGTCCAGAAGCGGATACTACTACTTCGGTGACTGAGCCAACGGTGGTGGAGAATGAGGCGGGAGACGCTGAGGCTGGCATTCAAAGTGCTGCAGCTGAGGAGGAAGAAGCCCCAGCAACCGATCTCGCGGGTGAAGCAGCAGACTTCGTTGACCCTGCATCTGAAGAAGCACAAGCTGATCCGAGCCCACTTCAACAAGATGAGGACAACTCGACTGAAGTCACTGAAGCTGCTACCGAGGGCTTGGAGGCCAATGAGTCGGCACCTTTGACGGAGCAAGATAACGAGCAGGGCAAAACCCTGTTGGCGGATGTGTCCGTGGTTAGCATTCAGTCTGCAGCTTATGATGAAGATAACTTCGATGAGGAGGGCCACATAGAAGCAGATCCAAGCGAAGACGTGGCTAATGTTAATTCCGTCTCCCCTCCGGCCGAAGAAGCTGCTGAGCCTGTAGACCAGGCAGCTGACTTGGTGGATCCGCAGCAGGAACAAGATGAAGAAACTTCTCAAGTTGCCGACGCTCAGGTTGATGCAAATGACGCGACACCTGATGCCAATAATGAGGAGGAGGATTCCAAGGGGCTAACAGCTAACAGTTCCGAGCTAAGCGTGCAGTCAGAGGCGTATGAAGATGACGATTTCGACGACGGTGCACACGAAGAAGTTGCTCAAGAAAATCACTCGGAATCTCAAGTCCAGATACCTGATCAGCAACCAACCGTAGATGAAGACGCTGAGGTTGATGAACCGGTTGCACTACCTGAAACGGATGCACCAGCCGATGGAGCGTCTTCACCACCTGAAGTAGAAAGTGAAGCTCCGAGCGAGCCAGTGGCCTCTGGGGCTGAAGATCTCGACAATACTGCACCAGGTGAGTCATCAAAGGGAAATGCTGACGAAGCTTTGGATACAGAGACAACCGATGAACCTTCAGAACTACAACAAGTTGGGCCCAGTGATTCCGCAGAGATGTTCGAGTCCGGGACTGTTGCTGAGGTCCCAGCAGTTGAAGGTACTGTGCTCCAGGACGAGGCTGCCGAAGACCAGCAGGCCGTGGATGAATCAGACAAGCACCACGACCACCCACCAACGGAGAACTCCGGTGAGAATGCAAACGGAGACGATACAAAATCGGATGCTACCACTGAAGACCCCGTTGGAAGATCTGATCCTCTCCCTGACAGTGATGAAAGCACTACCGCTCCTTCAGAGCCGACTGATACTGATGCCAGTCAGCTTCCTGAAATTACAATCCCAACAGATGACCTTACGCAGGAAGAAGCTGCAGAACAACCTGATGTCAGTGCTCAGCCAGCGACGTATGATGAGGACGACTTCGATAATGGTGGAGAAGAAGAGCAGGTACCTCCGTCATTGACGACCCAGGATTCTGGCCTTATTGTAGTCGTACAAATGGATGAAGGCCTGAAGGACGACGAGCCAGACGTTCAGCCATCGTCAGAACAAACTACCAACGAAGCTGAGGGCGCTTCAGCTGCAGAAAGCAACTTTGATGAATCTGCGGTGGTCTCTTCTGAACCTGAATTGCAGGCAGATGAGCCGCAAGAGCAGCCTGCTATTGAAAGCGAGTCGATTCCTACTATCGAAGATGAAATTGCTGCAAATGATGTAGACGCGTCAGGTGAAGAACCTGGTGATGCCGTGGCTGCTGATGACGATGTGACTCCAAATTCCCCAATTGATGAGGAAGTTGTCACTGCGGCGGAAGTGCCAGCACCTGAGCCTGAAACTACATCATCGGCCGAGCCTGAACTTCAATCTGCTGCTCCAAACGAACAAGTGATCGGTGAGGAGGGTTCTGCCTCTGCTCAGGATAATGCTGATGAGGATGTTGTGCCTGAAAGCGCAGTTGACCTTGCCCCAGCGAATGAAGCACCGGAATCAGAGCCACCGTCAATGATTTCGGACGTTGTTGAAACACCTGCAAATGAGTACGAGCCGAGTGCAGCAGAAGATGTTGTAACTGAGCAAGTTCCCGATTCCACGCAGGCCGGCGGTGAACTTGCCGGAGACTCACCTGAGTCTGACCAAAGTCCGGTCGCTGTAACTGCAGTGGCAGACACTTCAGCGGAGCCTTCAGATGAAGCTACGCGAGAGGAGAACCAGTATGGGGACGCCGACTTTGATGAAGTTGAAGACGATGCTACTGCACTGAAAGAAGCAGCCTTTAATGGTTCACTTGCTCAAGAAGGTCCTGGTGAAACTGAAGAAACTGCGGCGGCGGAAATCCTCGAGACAGAAAGCACCCTTCCTATTGATGTCGCCGAGCCAGAGGAGAGCGCTGAGGTTGTTTATGATGATCCTGAATTCCAAACAGAGGAGGCTGAGGCAGACCCAGCCACAGCATTTGCTAGCGACGAAACACAAATGAATCAAGACCCGGCCGAACCCGCGGAGGCAACAGCAGAAATCTGTGGAGGTAACGACGAGGGAGCAAGCGGCCAGCCTGCAGATGATGATGCTCCAGAAGCAGCCTCTGGTAACCCAAGCGACGACATCATCAACGCACCCGATGCAGACACTCCGAGTCTTGAGTCGAGCCCAGATGCGACGACGTATGAGGAGGACTTCCCGTCCGACACATTACCTGAAACGAATGAAGAAGTGCCAATGGGCGATTCAGAAGAAGCCGCCACTAGTGATGACAATGCTGTGGCCGATTCTGATAGCCCCGCAATAGAATCCGCTGCAAGTGACGTTCCTGCTGAAAGTGCAGAACCTTCCCCTGACGTCGACGAGGTTCCGGACGCATCTCCAAGTAACGAGGGCTACGATGAAGGTTTTGATGAGGATACAACTACTCCAGTTGTTGACCCGAGCGATCGGGTTGACTCCACTCCCGTTGCTGAAGATGCCGCCGTTGAAGCTGACGTCGACGTCAGCACTACGTTGGAAACCCCTCCGGATGCTGACGTAGCTGAAAGTGATCAGCTGATCGAGGGTGAAATTGATCCTAGTGCAGAAACTGTTGCTGAGGACGGGCAGGAAGTAAAGCCCGAAGACTGCGACACAGAAAACTCAGTCGAAGTGGAACCAACGGAGACGTTTGTGGAATCTGAAGTTGTCGATCCCGAAGCCGCAGAACTCGAAGCCAAGCCTGAGACTTCTGAAGTAGCGATAACTGATCCCGAAGCAGCAGCCGAGAGTAATGATGTCGAAGCCGTATCGGTGGAGACCGAACTTACAGAGCCTACAGGCGTTGAAGCAGACATGGTGAATGATGAGTTTACGAAGTCGGAAGAACCGGATCCTGTGGAGTCTCCTTCCCTAAAGCCAGATATTGTCGAGCCCAAAGCTGACGCAGCTGAAGAACCAGAAGCGGTTGAGCCCGAGACTGTCGCACCTGAAGCATCAGAGGCTGATGCACCTCAAGAGCCAGAAGCTGTCGAGCCCGACGCTGCGGCGACTGAAGGCCCAGATGCTGTTGAGTCCGAGATTATACCAGCTGCAGATTCAGGAGCTGTCGAGCCCGAGGCTGTGTCAGGTCAAGAACCTGAAGCTCTTGAGCCCGATGCTGCCGCACCGGAAGCTGTTGAATCCGAGATTGTGTCGGCGGCAGAGCCAGAGGCTATTGAATCCGAAGCTGTGACGGCCGAAGAACCGGAACTTGTCGAGCCTGAGATTGTAGTGACACCGGAGCCAAGCGCTGTCGAATCCGAGCCTGTGTCGGTTGCACCAGAATCTGGTGAGTCCGAGGTTGTACAGTCCGAACTAGCAGAAGCAAATGTTGGTGAGCTGGAAACAACGGAGACGGCGGCACTGGAAGCTGAAACAACGGAAGCAGCAGCACCTGAACCCGATGTACACGAGTCTGAGGCAGTCGATGCAATGAACTCCGTGACGGAAACCACAGAATCTGAGGCCGTCCCTGTAGACGCAGCCCAATCTGAAGATGTGGAGAATGCGTGTACCACAGCCGACTCTGCTCCTGCTTTGGAACCCACTCTGGAAGATGCCACCGCTAACTCGCCTCTTGATGAGCCCTCTACACCAGAAGCTAACCCTGAAGACCTCACACCTGAAATTCCCGACGTGGCTGACCCTGCCACTAGCAATAGTGATGAAGACTTGCCTATGAAGGCTGCCGCCAAGGATGAGGAGGAAGTCGTCGAAGAGAGAAACGACCCGATCTCGGTTAACGAAGATGCACCTGAGGTCATGGAAAATGTCGCCGTCGAAGAAGAAGCGTCCAGTGAAAAGATCATTACCGTCGAATCCGCTGATAAACCTGCAAGTTCTCCCATTGAAGCCCCTGTGAGTGAAGATCCTACCGTCGTGGTTGCAGCTGAGAATCCTGATCATACCGAGCCTGAGGGCGGCCTTGAAGTCGATGCGCCATCAGACACACAGCTTCCAGTCCATGAAAGTGCTGATGACCCCGTTTATCCTGACGATCTTGATGCCGACGACGATCACGGAGCAACGGAAGCGGTCCAAAACACGGGTGAAGTCGTCTCCAGTGATACTTCCGAAATGAAAGAGGAACCGATGCCCGAGGCAGCCAATCCAGACCCAGCAGAAGCAGTCGACCTAGCTCCGGAGGATCAAACTTCCATCGAGCCTGACGACTATTACGCCGATCCACCGGAAGATGAACCGCCAGCCACTGCTCTTGTTGACCCCGCACCTGCTGAATCGATCCAAGACGAAGCGGTAGAGGAACAAGCTCCTTCGACGGAAACGCCTCGAGTGGAGCCTGAGCAGCAGGCGGGCGTTGTTGATGTTCCTGAATCCTCGGAGAAATTTGCAGTTGACGTTGTCGAGTCTCCGCCGGACGAGATCGCAATCGAGAGTCCTGGTGTTGCAGCTAGCGAGGGACCAGCGACCGAAGACCAGTACGATGACGAGGACGCGTTCAACGAGTTCGAAGACCAAGACAACGAATCTGCCGCCCCAGAAGCAGCCCCCATTGTGGAGATCCCAGCGCCTTCCGCTGCTGTCACGGAGGCGCCAGCGACCGAAGACGAGTACGAAGACTATGAGAACGAAGACTACGGCGAGGAAGAGAAGCCGGCCGCAGACCCAGTGCCTCCTCTGACGACTACGCGTAGCGAGCCCCCAACTTCTGCGCGCAAGGAGGAGATCGAAGAGGTGGCGGACGAACCAGAGGAAGCCGAGGAGGAGGGGGAGGCGTACGCCAACGACCAGGACGACTACAACAACGAGTTCGAAGACGACGACGCGCCCGCTTCGCCCCCCAAAGCCAGCTCCCCCAAGAAGGACAAGCCGGTCGAAGCTTCAGCCGACGAGTACGAAGACGACGCCGAAGAGGACTACGCCGAAGACGAGGAAGTCGAAGAGAGCTCGCCCCGCCCCGCCGCCACACACAAGTCCACTGCAGCCCCGCAGCCGGCAGCAACCCACTCGGACGACGAGATGGAGGAGGAGCTCGGCTCCGACTACGCCGACTCGGACGGCTGAAGCAAGCGCTAAAGCTCGTTTATATATTCTATGTTATTTATTCACCACGGACGGCAATGCAACTATTTGCTGGAGAAGTCCCTCTTGCCGCCGGTCTTCTCGACCAGGCGCGTGTTCTCGATGACGATCTCGTGGCTCAGCGCCTTGCACATGTCGTAGACGCAGAGCGCGGCCACGGACGCGCCCGTGAGCGCCTCCATCTCGACGCCCGTCTTGTGCGTCACGCGCACCTGGCACTCGACCTCGATGGCGTCGGGGCCCACGACCTGCAGCCGCACCTGGCAGTCCTCGAGCGGCAGCGGGTGGCAGAACGGGATGAGCGCGCTCGTCTGCTTGGCGCCCAGCACGCCGGCGATGACGGCGGTGGCCGCGATGGGGCCCTTGGGTCCCAGCAACTGGCTCGCGTCGTCGCTCTTGCCGCCGCCCTGCTGGAGGCGCTGCAGCTCCGTCAGCACGGCCGGCGGCAGGCGGATCGTCGAGCGCGCAGTGGCCGAGCGCCGCGTGACCTGCTTGCGCCCCACATCCACCATGCGCGGGGCGCCGCCGTCGCTGCTCACGTGCGTGAACTTCCACTGGTCATCGGGCGAGCTGGAGCTGGAGCTGGAGCTGGGGCTGGAGGACGCGGCGCGGACCGACCACGAGCGCGGCAGGCGGCGGGCAGCACCAACGCGGCGCAGCATCGTCACGGTTATCAGTGCACGAGGTAGCAAAGCAGTGCAGATTTGTAAATTGAGATATATAAATAGGTTACTTTTGATCATTTTCGTGGAAGTTAGTATGTGATACTAGGGGTAATTTTCAGATTCTGTGACGGACTTGGGTCAGACCTGCAAGAACGAATGAGCAAACGCCCGCGTATTCCGCCAGACCAAGAAGCCAGCCACCAGCCAGGAGGCCCAAGCTCAAGCAGGCTCAGTGCCGAAGCCCTCGCCTTCGCCTTCGCCGTCGCCCGCCCCCAGTCCGCCGCTCTCCCGACCGATGGCGATGGCGCAGCTCGCTTCGTCCACGCCCAGCGCCAGCGCCAGCTCCGGCTCCGCGTCCGCCTCCTCCAGCGCCGCCGCCAAGTCGGAGATCCAGTCGCTGCTGGGCCAGTTCGACGCGCAGATCAACGCCATGATGGACTACCCGGCCAAGGACACGATCAACGCGCTGACGATGCTGGCGGAGCGCACGCAGTTCGCCCCCGAGATTGTTAGCTTCCTGGAAACCAAGATCCACCGGGTAAATGCACACACACACCCTCCCTCCTCCAGCCTGTCACGGAGCCATGTCTAGTTAGTTTCCTCCCGTCTCTCTATCTATCCATCCACGCACTATATGCACACCAGTTAGTCAGCTGCCTACTGTCTGTCGGCTCGACACCCCCAGTCCATTTGCCGCCTCTGCACCAATGTGCAATTGAGTAGACGTGATACGTAGAGATGGAGAGACTCGCTGTGTGCGGCGGCTACCTAGTAGGACAGGTTGGCAGTAGCTACGAGTGAGCCGTGAAGCTGATGTTGTCTTGTGTGGTGTTTTGTGTGGTGACAGGTTGCGCCCAACTGCAAGCTGCCGATCTTCTACCTGACAGACTCGATCCTCAAGAACGTGAGAGGCCCGTACTTGGCGCTGTTCGCCGCCAAGATCGTGCCGCTCTACTGCAACTGTGTGCGCCAGGTAACGCCTTACTTTGAGTTGTGTAGCTGCTGTACGAAGAATAAAACGCTACTTGTCGCCGATCCTAAACGCTTTGGATTGTGCTGTGTATGGATACTTGCTTGCAGGTGTCGGGCAAGGACCTGAAGCGCTTCATTCATGTGCTGAATACATGGGAGACCACGCGGCTGTTTGACAAGGACGCCATCGCTCAGATGCGCAGCGCTGCGAACCGCGCCATGCACCAGGCGGATCCGTCGGCTCGGTCGGCGCCTGCGAGCTTCAACCAGGAGAAGTCGGCCCAACAGGCTCGTGCTACAAGTGCCAACTCCGGCGCGAAGCTCGCGCAGCAGCAGCAAGACATGGAGCTGCGGTCGCTGCTCACGAAGCTGCAGAACGACATGGGCATTCACCCGACGGAGCACATGAGTCTTGAAGAAGTGCGTACGAATAACCCAGATTATTACAACCAGCTGCTCGAGTTTCTTGCCGCCTCGAAGGTTGAGCAGGCAGGCGCAGCACGAGGACCTGGTGCTTCTAGTGCCCCTCCTCAGAGAGCTCCCAGTAGACAGCAGCCTCCTCCGCAGCAGCAGCAGGCCCCAGTGGCTCGAGACCCCCGCCGCCCTTCACCTCCCCATGACCCACGTGCTGGTCGTGCGCGACCTCCACCGCAGCAGCAGCAGGTTGCACCCCCTCCATCACAGGCTCCTCGAGTGGAGCCACCTCGTGCAAGCTCGACATCTCGCAAGAGTGATGACGGCTCGGCAGCCAAGTCGTCTAACGTTGCTCATTTGATGCAGCTACTGAAGCGGAAGCAGCGTGCTCCCTCTCCGCCGCAACAACCAGTCCAAGAAATCACCAACGACCCTCCTCGAGCTCCGGACGCAGCAGCAGTCATGTCGATCCTGCAGAAGCTTAAGGGAATGTCGAATGGAGGCGCAGCGTCCGGGCCGTCACCCCCGCGAGCGCAGCCGCAGCAAGCCCAACAACCCCAGCAGCAACAGCAGCAAGGTGACCAGCAACAGCAAGCGCCTCGCACCGACAATGCGTCACGCATGTGGTTCAGCGACAAGGTTGTGGCCCACAAGGACCGTGTAGAATCCAACGTCCAAAAGCTGTATGCAGCATTACCTCTAGTGTGTCGTGAGAGTGGTTTGCGCTTCCGTGAGCAGGCCCAACTGGATGCTCACCTGGATTTCCTCTTCCAGTACAACCGCGCGCGGAAGGAGCGCGGTAAGGGGGGCGTGTCACGGTCGTGGTACCCGGATGAAGACCAGTGGGTGGCCGACTTCTCTGGAGACACGGCACCTCGCGAGAGCACAAGCAGCAGCTTCTTCGACAGGACACAGAAGGAGAACGAGAAGAATGCAGGCGAGCAGGCTTCGTGGGAGAATGCCCGAGTTCCAGTGGACGAGACAATCACTCGATGCCGGATTTGTGGCGAGAATTTCTCTAAAAGCTGGGACGAAGAAGAAGAAGACTGGATGTACACTAACGCAGTTGCCGGCACGATCCACAACACCGGCCCGAATGGAAACGAGCAGCAGGATACCATCTTCCACAAGTACTGCTACGATACCGTGATGGCGAACTCGAAGCAAGTCACGCCCGCGCATTTGATTCCTGCCGAACGAGACGTGGCCATGAAGGGGGCGAGCTCGGATGATACTATGAACGGCAGCAGCAGCGGCGGCATGAAGCGATCACTTGAAGAGGTACGAAACTGTGATTGACATGCTAGCATTTGCATTGTACTGACTGTAGTGCCTTGTGTTTGTTTGTGATGCTGTTTAGGATGACAGTGATAGTGACGGAGATGACGACGTGAAGCGCGTGAAGACTGACTGAGTCGTGCCCGTGCCAAAGAGTGAGAAGCGTGTCACGAGGATGTAATGATAAATGAGTGGGGTGCTGGTATTTTGTTGGTGTGGTGCTCCGGCAGCGATCAACTGCTTCAGGTCTCGTCTCTATATTTGTTGCTTCCCTATCCAGACAGTGCGGCCTTCGGATACATCTTTTCGCGTGAAGCGAAGCACAGCAATCAACCGCCCAGGACGAATTTCTTCAATAAATACGACATTTTTGCATTATTAACTAGTGTTGTTTTGCTATTCTACATGACATGTTGTGTGGGTTGCTTCAACAGAGCGAGTCCAGTAACACCACGACTGCAGCTATGGTGACCCGCTCGTCAGGGTTCAAGCGGCACATGCGTGACACAAGATCCCATTGCTCGTCGTTGAAGACGTCCGGGCGAGGGGGTAGTTTGCCTTGCGTCACCTCGGAGATGACCACATCTTCGTCCATAGTCTCGCGCCATGGGAACGTGCCGGTCACAGCTTCGATGATGCACATGCCGAAGGAGTAGACGTCGGACGCGAAGGACGGCCCGCGATCGTATCCCCCGAGGCGTTCTGGCGCCTTCCACCTGATAGCGCAAACGGTTTTGGTGCTTCCGGTCCATTTCAACTTTTTCGCGAAAGCGCTCAGACCGAAGTCTGTCAACTTGGCCTGATAGTCGGAGCCGACGAGGATGTTGTTCCCCTTGAGGTCGCCGTGGATGATGCCGCTCTCGTGAAGATGCTGAAGTCCTCGAGCAGCTTCGCACAGACATTTCCACACGTTGGAGCGCGACTGGTGCCTGCTTTCCCACTTCTTGAGGTACTCGTTGAGCGTGCCTTCGCTCGCGTACTCGCACACGAAGAACGGTCTTCGCTCGGTTTGGCGTTCCGATTCATCGAGACTGCGCAAAGGAGAGGAAGAATTGCCAGCGTGACACGCTCCGTAGAGTTTGACCACGTTCGGATGGTTCAGTGTGGACCAGATATTCGCTTCGCGCAAGAAGATCTTCCTGTCGCTTTGGAACAAACACTTGACAGCGACGGTAGCGTTGAGCCATTTGCCGTGGTGAACAGCCCCGAAAGACCCCGCGCTGATCTGGGTGCCGACCTCGACTTCGTACCGCGGGATGAACCACTTGGGCACCACAATGCGCTCTTGATCATCGGAAAGCCCCGCGATACTCGCGGCGGTGCGTTCAATGGCTCGCAACTGGTGGCGGTCGTAGCTGCTGCGGTGCTTGGTCGCCTCAAACACAAGAAGTGTTGCTGCCTCGACCCTCTCCTCCTCCTCGCCCAAATCGTCCACGAGACTATCGAGAGCCGTTTGAAAGGATTCTTGTTGGTTGAGTCGGAGGAAGTTGCAGTGCTGCTTCCAGTCGTGGATCGAAGTCGTCTCACTCTTGGTAAAGCCGCAGCGTGATATCAAGGCGTCGATTTCAGCGTGAAAAGAGGCGCTGGTGTGTTCAACACTCCGGGATGATGCGACGCAGAAGGAAGACACGCTGCTGTCGGCGCGATGGACCAAAGAAGCCTGGAAGCGCATGAGGATCTCCACGAATGAACGAACCACGTCCTTGGCACAAATGGAGCCCAAGAGCTGTTGGTGCACACTTAGGATTCGCTCAAACACGTAGCCGTCCATCAAAGTAGCGTTGCCGTTGTCTCTATTGAGTGTATCCGTAATCTCTTCGAGCAACGAACCAACGGACTGGTTGAGTGTCGGATCGACGTAGCTTTGGGTGTACTTGACGATACTGGAAACCTCGTTTGGAAGTTGATGAGCCTTGCGATTCCAGAAGTGTCGGTGCGGAGGCTTGCTCCGTTCTTGGAGCTGCTTCATCACGTAAGACACGTCGTCGCGAGCGCTGAGGTCGTCAGCACATACCTGTTTGATCAATCCCCAGTCGTCGTTCTTCAAGAAAGCTGGACATGTCGACAAGGAGAGAGGATCGATCGGCTCTAGCACTGCAGGCTTCATTGTCGGCGAGTCCACGGACGTCCGAAGCAGTTCTCCACCGTGAAGCATGATCTTGTGCTCCTTTTCCGTGGAAAACAATCGCTCGAGTGTCAGGTTTGCAGGCTTGATGTGCCGTTCATGGAGAAACTGGAGAACATGGGCGGTGCCGACTAGAACGTCTCGACTCGGCAAGGCCGCTCCCGACTTCTTAACGCACTGCGCGTTTTCACGCACCAGCACGAGGGATTTACCGACGTGGCATGCTCCAAAGAGCTTCATCACATGAGGGTGATGTAGCTCCCACCACGCGGAGGCCTGACGAATGCAAAGCTCCTCACTCGGGTCCGACAAGCGCTCCACGTCGACTTGAGTTCCCTGCCACCGGCTCTGCTTGGTTTCGTAGGCTGGAACGAACCACTCCGGGACAGTCGTCACTGCGATACCTGAAAGTCTCGTACAAGTCTCGTACACGTCCGCGATCACTTGGCACTCCAACTCCGTGTACGTGTCGTCGCTGTGGTTCCGGAAATCGTAGACTAACAGAGTCAGTATCTCCAGTTGCTGCGGTTCGTCGCCCAACGTCTCCATTAAAAGCTTTTTGTTCGCCGCCAACTTCCTGAATCGCGCCATGCGCTCCTGACGCTCTTGCTGGAACACGGTTTGCCACTTCTCCATGCCGCGCGGCTCCGAGATGCCGTACGCCGCGAGTGCGACGTCCAGAAGTCGATTCAACCGCATGATCTGCTGAACGATGTATCCGGTCTGCGCTAGCTGAAGGAGCGCATTGGGCTCGTCCTCATACGCCACGATAGCTTGGATCTGGTCGTTCACGGCGTTGACGATGCCGAGCAACACGTGGCGCGGCCCGAAGCTCATTCGGGGCCCAGCAAATGCTTTAGGCAGCCAAGCGTTCGCCGAATTCCGCGCCTGGAAGTCGTCGAGCGCCATGCACCGGGCCACGAGGTGGTCACCGATGCGGTCGGGTGTCAACAGCCTCAAGGTCTCCGATCGGCGTCGTCGTAGCCGATGCCGGTGCTTTTGACTGACCGTCCACGGATCCCAACGTCGTGGAGGTGACTGGGTGTGGGGCATGGGATTTAACTGCCAACTTACTAGAAGCGTAGCTAGTTTGAGAGCAAAGTGAAAATGCCGTAGGCAAGCAGGACAACCGTCAAGTGCAAGGCGCCTTGCACCTCAACGTGCCGACGGTCATGGATAGGCTTCGATGAATGAATGCATGACTATGTCGCTGACCATGCTGCCCAAGCTGCTTTGTTGGGCCAGTTGCCTACAGCTGTGGATGGTGGTGGCTGGTTGAATACCAGCGCACGCAAGCGAATCTTTGCCATAACTGCATTACATGGAGTAGGATCACGGCGACTACATGTACCAGCATGATACAGGTTGTTGCGCAAGCACGAACCTCACTTCACCATGAAGATAGATGGCAAGCGTGCAATCGACCGATGTCGGAAGTTCCATTAGTATATACCTGCGGTATTCGTGTTGGTTTTGCCACTGCTTTCCAGAATTGGTGACTGGTTTAGCTGGCTTGGCGCATTCATGATGCTGCTCGAAGTTGGTCTAGACACTCCCGAGCTTTTTTTTTTGCTAAGCTTGCTAAGCGACGTGAATCTGGAGTTTAGTTCCTAGTCTCAACTTCAGCAATCTATAGCTCATCAAGCATGCAAGGTCAAGTATATATTGCAGGTCTTTTAAACCTGTATTGATTTATGTAATGATTAAATGGCAAAGGATATTTATTAATGAAACGATGTTTCCTGTGCGTGTCTTTTGCCGCTGCAAAGAGGCGGCATTGCGCGTCGATGATTGCTGGAGCTGTCTTCAACAACAGACTGTTGTCAGTTGTCGACAGTGCAGCAATGCATCGATCTCTAAATACTGCCCTTTGCCATCAGATTCAAGTAAAGGCAGTATTTTTTAAATGGCTGCGGGGTAATAGCTGACCAAGTTGACCACCGCGGCGTCAAGCAAGTCCAACTGACATGTGAAGCAATCGCATACTAAGACGCATCTGTGGGTGAGCTATTTTGGTGCAGCTTTCTCCAAGCAGCCTTAGTGCTCGCGTAGGACCACTACACTTTCATGCCAGCTAGAGCTCTGGTCGAGCCAGAGGATGCGGTACGTTGGTATGCTTATTAGTGGGCATATTGCTGTTGTTGCTCATGCTTGCTGGTCTCTACGAGACAGGAGTACCCGCAGGTACCAACTCCGAAAGAGCTGGAGCTCTCGCGACAGCTTGTGGCGCTCCAGCAAGAGAAAGACTTGAGAGAAAATCGATCTTTAGCTCAGATCCGAGACCTGGAGTCGCAAGTTCATAAGTACGAGCTGTGCTGGTGTGAAGTTGTTGTTATTGACACCCCGTCGTTGTTTTAGCTAATGATCACCGATTGCTTTGGAAAAAAATAGGCTACAGGTCCGAGTCCATGAGCTCTCACAAATGCTGCAGAGCACGAAGCGTGACCAGATTTTAGCCCAGCAAGCGGCCGTGGAGGAAGAACGTAAACGTTGGAAATTAGTCGTGCAAGAGCTTCAGGCAGAGCTTGATCAAGAGAGGAATGACAAGGAAGCGCAGAAGAATTGGCAAAACAGATTTATTGTGTCACCCGAGACACCTGACGATAGTTTCCTCGTCTCGTCAACACCATCGAAAGCCCCCGTGATTGACCCAAAAGACGACGTGTTCTCGCGTTTTGCACAAAGCCTCGCGTTGCTCCCTGCATCGCAGGCGCCTCAAGTGGCTGAGGCTGGAGCTCTTCCCTTTCTTGTGCACTTGTTGCAGCAGAAGATGGGCGATGTTGTCACCGGCTCAGTTCTAATAGCACTCGTTCACCTGTCAATTTATCAAACCAAGACAAGATCCCGTCAGTTATCGACCGCTCCTACCAATGGAATGGATATGCGCGAGCAAATTGTGAAGGCTGGTGCGGCAACACCTCTGGTCGACGTCCTCGAAAAGTCTCAGAATGCTCGAGTGCTCGTCGAGGCTTCGCGGTTGTGCGCTGCTCTAGCTGGTTACGTGCCTAACAAGCGAGTTCTGGCCTCAAAAAACGTGGTTCGCTTTCTTGTCCGACATTTGATGCCTCGTATTCCCCCAAGAAATCGAGAAAAGCGTGACGATGATGATGACGAAGATATGACTACCAAGTTTGAGAAGTTGCCATTTCCGTGGGATCCCGCTGTCCAGCAGAATATGCTAAGCGCTCTTGTTAATCTGTGTCATGGTAAGAATTATGCTTCGATCTCTACCAATGCTTTTGTGGCTGATTTGCTACATGTTGTCTTAGATTCTGAAATTTTACGCTCTCAAATCGCGACGAGCCCGCACTTCCTGCCGATCGTGATTCGATACGTTCGGGAAAGCTCGAATGCTGGAGTGCAAACCGAGGCTGCGAAGCTTCTGGGCAACATGGCGTACAATCACGTGGTTAACCAGAGCGCGTTAATGGCTGCTGAGGCACCAACGGCGCTAACTGCATGCCTTACAGCTACCAACCTGCAGCGTAGTCCACAGCTCGCTCGAGCTGGAGCTGCTGGGCTCGCAAACCTTGCGTACACGTCTGTAAATCAACTTACCATCGGCTACAGCAACGCGTCCACACTGCTCTTACAGCTGCTGGTAGATGCTGTAAGCCAGCCACCAGTCATAGAGGCTGCATCTACGGCACTTGCTTGCCTCTGTCACCAGAACCCGCCGAATAAAGCTCGAGTCACGGCACAAAACGGCATCCAGGTCCTGCTGTACGCACTCGGTGCAATACCCGATAGCGAAGACGATGAAAACGAAAGCGGCCGGGGGGCAGCATTGGTGGCTTTGTGCGAGTGCTTTGCCGTCATCGCAAACTCCAGACCAAACCGTCAGCAGGTGATGGAACTCGACGGTCATTTTCTACTCTGCCAGCTCTGCCAGCACTGCTCCGCAGCCTCCACACCCAAACTGCTTGAATCTTCGGCGCGTGCAGTATGTGCGTTAGTTCCACCTGCACGAGAGCGAGACGCATTGGTTGCTGATAACCGTGAAAGTAAGATGGAGACTAAATCTATCGCTCTCAAAGCTCTTGAGCGTGCGCGTCACCTGCTATGGCAAGACTCTCAGCACCAACACCACGGCGAAGAAGAGGACGCAGCGTTGAAGGGACGACGACGATGGCTCACACAAACAATCGACTTACTCAAAAACTACCAAGTGCTGCCCACATCCCACCAACCTGCAGCAGCAGCGTCTGAAAAGGCTGAAAGCGAGTTGGAGCACGGTGTTACTGAGTTCCGGGAAAGAAGTAGCTTCTCAATGGAGTCTCTCACGGCTATTGCTCCCGATGAGCTCTGTCCCCATTTCTACAACGAATAAAAACCAGGAGTGTTGGGCAGTCAGTGGCAGTTTGTATATAACGAAATACATAGCCGGCACAAAAAGGCAGCCAAAATCAAACAACGTTTAACATGGACCACACCAACTAATTACAATCTTTGTATTCCGTCTGCTTTTTTTGTACTTTATACCTCAATATAATGGATTTAAGTGTGTTTTATACAATTTTGATGTTTTATGACAAAGATAAAATATTCGAATAGCTGAAGGTTCAATTTTGATGGATGGGTTTTTTTAGTAAGGGAAATGGCCAATCTCGGGCCGATTTTGCAACTTTTTCGACTGTATCTACGCTAAAGGAGTACACAGCTAGGGTATCGATGAAAAGCTAATGATCTTGCCGATTTGATAGGCTATTCCGTACCTTGTAGCCCACTGAAATAAACGCCGTATGGGTGACTGAACAACAGCACCTGAAATGACAGCCCTTGCCAATTAAGGGCCGATTCGTTTGACTTGGTTTCACTATAGAACTGACATCTGACATTCGTATGGTATACTATAAGCGACCAATCAGATTCCATCTGATGAGGTGTATCGAGCATTTACTGGTCAAAAGAATCGGCCCTTAATTGGCAATCGGCCCGAGATTGGCCATTTCCCTTATACCAGCGTCTGTAGTATATTTGTAAATTTGCTGTTTTCAAAAGTTCTAATGTTTGTTCCTCTTCTTCAGTAAAATTTAGTGGGAACTTAAATAGAGCTTACTCTGACTGAAATAACCTTTAACAGTACCTCCAAATAACAACTTTCAAGTAAGGGGTGGCAGGCCCAACATGAAAACCCAGACAAATGGCCCAAACGCTACGAAATTTCTCTGACACTATGCCATGTACACGAGTAGCAACATTGTGAAGTGACAACCTCCAACACCGAGTCCTTGGTTCGCTAGGCGTCACCGCAGCAACTTCCATACAGACTTCCTATCTATTATGCACCACACCAACAGTACATACTTCATGGGCATTAGGTGGAACAGTGTGTACCACATAAGTTTATTATACGAAGCTATAGCTCAAGGTTGGAGCCCCAAACGACTAGTCTGCATGGATTACCATAGTGCAAGACGTTCAACAGAGAATATGGACCCTCCGAAAGCCATGGAGCCCCTATAACATCGCAATAAAGCTCCAATGTCTGCACGGTGTACAATGCAACCAGGATTTGACGAAGATGGTTATGGTGATTTGTTAGGGTTCAACCCGCTGAGCCCAGACGCCGAAGCGCACTTTTGGAGGAGCGCCCATGGACATGCTATTGATGTTAGGTGCCCGACCCCACGCTTATCGTCGCCAATAAATGTGAAACTAACCAGTTGTGTCGTTAAAAAAAATCGGAATGCGTTCCGAAATAACAACTTTCAAAATACGCCTATTTTTTAGGCGTATTTTGAAAGTTGTTATTTGGTGGTACTGTTAATAGTAGCCTTTCGTAGGCACTATCCAGAAGTTTGAAGAGAATACCCGAACCCTATATAATGATTTTCGGCTGCCTTGAGACGTTTTTTCGGTCCGAGGATGTCGAAATCTCTGTATTAGGAACTTGTGTGGGCCGTCATCAGAAGCATATTCTTCGTGCTGCAACAACAATTGAGGGTTATTTGGTGTTATTTGACCAATCAGAGCACATCAGTACCAAGATTACACTTTTTCAAAAAAAATATGATCGGCAAAATTTTCTTTGCTGGAGGCGAATTACGAAGTGAATTATACCAAAAAGTACGATTTCATACCAAAAAAATACTATTGATAGTGAAAGTACGAGTTCATATCAAGTACGATCTCGTACTTACTCGTATGAACGCATACTTTTTGGTATGACTTCCTTGTGCTTACAGGTATGAATTCGCAGTTTACAGTGAAGTTAGTTGGTTTTGGTATAAACCTACATCTAGCCACTCTTCTTTGGCCTATTGCCAAAGCTATAACGACCACAATACAGCCACACTCTATACATATAGTTAAATTTACCAAGGCCGAACAAGTGAAATGAAAACAACCCTGGAGACGATGGATATTCTTCCATTCAATATCTATGCTACCTGTGCAGCCGATAGCTGTACAACCGGCGAACCAAAGAGCGGTATAAGTAAATTGCAGCCATGCTATCTCCTTAAAAAATGATAATGGGCTAAATATCGCAGGCGAGTTTAGCATTACCTTGATCTCTCCTATGATTGGCTGAAATAAAATGCTATTTGGCGTTATTTCAAGGGAAGAAGTAAGTATATTTTTCCCGTTTTGTTTACCAAAAATATTTTTTGGACTGCCAAATGTATTTTTGGGTCGGTGACGGCGCTGGATATGGAGGTGAAGATGGAGGAAGGAGCGTGGGCTTACTGTGAGCTGAGATAGACACGCTCAGGGTTTTACAAAACATGAATTTGAAAGAGGTCGGACGTATATTTATAAGAGGATATGTATTGTGCTCACCACACATTTTGCCTACATCAGCTCTAAATCGACCGGTATGAAGAAATTAGCGCTCCATTTACCTCAAGTTACGATATGTATACCTCCGGTTACTCCTTATTATACTAAGCATGGAGACGACACTATCGCTCTTATATTTTCCAGATGGGGGATTCAGCTGCCCTCGTACATGTGAAAACCTTGTTAAAGGCGCTGATTGGCCGTTTAGCTTAGCCCTGGTCGATATAGATGTGAATCGACCAGAATTCCCAGTTTTCCATAGGCATTCTGGAGTATATTGGCCAGGATTTGGTGACGCTTAGTCCCTTGAGAGCGCGGAGATCCGAGCGGACAAAACGCTTGGTGAGCACATAAATTATTGTTCAATGCAACGCATAACCCATATCATAAGCGAGTCTGATACAACACTACCCGTCTCTCTGGAACAAATAATTTGCCGATTCCAGTCTGCATAACCCCTGCTTCCGCCTAATGATCGTCATTCGAGTGTGTTCGTGAGAACCTACAGCAGATGTGTACCAACCGTCTGACGACCCTTGTACTTCCTATGACTAGCGAGTGCAGAATACGCAAGCTATAGTTCGCTTTGGATTTCTACTTCATCAGGATATTGCAGTGACATTCTGGCCAAGGGAATCATATCACCCAAGGTTGAAGAATTCCAGAAATGCAAGCTGAGTAGTCGGGGAAGTACCGCTAAGTGGGAGTGTGTGGGAGTGTGTGCGAGTGGCCGCAGTACTCATAGTTTCTTATTTTTAAGTACAATGTTCAAAAGCTATACCTATGATTTATACCGGTTTGCAAATTTAAACTCCGACGCAGTACAGCTAAACGGTATTTTATGGATAGTTGCCGTTTGTTTTCGGTGTAGACTAACTTCCCCGGGTTATATTAACGCACTGATTTGGCTTGTCTAGTTATCATTGCCATTCTAAGTCTGTCTCGAATTATACGAATGACTGCATCGCCAAGTGTCGAACCATGCACCAGTCTACAATGATGCCTCGCTCATAATGAACGAGCTTCGGGCCAAGCGTGCAATTGCGATGAATGTCTTTCTTAGGCCAAGTCCAGCAGGAACAAGACCAATTTCACAACGAACAAAGGCCAATACACTAGAAACCAATTCAACTGCATAAAGTACATGTCAAGTGAACAATCCTACAATAAAGCTTTTATTAACTCTTATTCTAATTAACAGGCAATCCATTCCCTCTATTGCGTACCAAAGCAACTACGTTCAGCTCGGCGGCGCTCGCCAATCCCTCCTCGATTCCGCCAATAGCTGCGCCGCCTCCTTTCTTGTTGGGTTCGCTCGGCTCGTGCGACCGCGGTGGGCTCGCACGCTGGCCTTTTCTCACTTTTACAACATCCTCTGTGCTCGCCATGCCGTTTCGCTACAACCGCTACACGTTCGCTACCAAGCTTCGCATCCTTGATGCTGCTCGTACTGGAGCGGACTGGGAAGCAGTGGCTGAGTCCAATGGCGTCAACATCAACACTGCTCGTTTCTGGCTACGTCGCTACCCTACCAGATCTGCTGCTTTGCACGCTCCGTTGGATGGCGGAGAACGGGCGCAGCTGATGGCCTTGCCTTTTTCATGTCCAAGCTCTCTGTCGACCCCGATCTCACGCTTCGCCTGCTCGCTGGACGAGCTCGAGCGATCCTGCTCAATCTTGGTGTGCCCACAAACCGTGAAAACAAAAACCATCTCGATGCAAGTCTGGTCATGATGAAGAAGTTTCACAAAGAGCCGCACCGCAGCACATGAACACCGAGCAGAACAAGATAAAGCGCAGGGACTTCCTCGTCAGATTGCAGCAGCTGCAGGCTGTTGGAAAGTCCATTGGCTACATGGACGAGACCAATTTTAATCTCTGGTCATCTCGCACGCGTGGTCGCAGTGCATCAGAGGCAGGCACGCTGTCAAGAAGATGCTGGCAGGTGGCGGCCAAAACTTGCAGATGGTTGCCTACATCGGTAAGGTAGGGGTCATCCACTACGAGATGAAGCTGGGTAGCAACAAGTACCAGCACTCCAACGAGTTCGTTCGCAACACACTGCGGAAGTTCGCGGACGTGAGCAAGGTAGTGGTGGTCCTGTACAATACACCGTGCAACGCGCGTGGTGAGCTGGTCTTCCAAGGGCCAGAATTCGCGGCAGCAACACTCCTACGCTTGGACCCTACTCATATTTGCTCAACCCTATTGAGAATGTGTTCTCAGCTTTCAAGTCGGCTGTAAAGGACTTCATGACCGAGCGCCGAGCTGAGATCATCGCTGTTCCGCCTGGTACGACGATGAAAGCGCATCTCCAACACTTCCCCATCGAGGCTGCTGAGACGCTCTTCCCCCGTGTTACGACAGCGCAGCTGTGTGCATCGTGCTACTACCACACACTCAGATTCCTCGTCAAGGTGGCCGCTCTCGAGGGCTGCTAAGCGGTAACGAGAAGCAAGTACGACAATTGCGTATTTGTCGGGGTATGAAATTTGGAACGTCAACGATACTTGCTTGAATGCATTTGAGTTTGCACAATATTTTTTGCTTTGGGTTTTAGTGCATTTGCTTTTGTTCATTATGAATTTGGTCTTGTTCCTGATGAACTTGGTCTGGAAAAGGCGCAGTCACAAAATAAGAAGCATGGAGGGGGGGATTTAGTAATACTTGAAGAGTAATTATTGTGCTGATAGCGTACAGTACCACGCATAAAAATTAATACCCCGGAAAATTCACGATTTTTATTGATTCCACCTGTGTCTTCGGCCCCTCCGCTTATGTCCGATATTAATTTCGCTTCAAAGGACGGAAATGCCTTAAGTTGATGACATGTTTATGTTCAAAGCTCGGTCAACTTGCTGTCCACCAGGAGCCGATCGTCGTCGCAGTAAGGCGCGCGAGGTGTCATCAGTCAGCCAGCGCCTAGCATCACCTCCAGCAAGACAACAATGCGCTGATGGGGCTATTTCTACCAACCCTGCTTTGTAGTGCGCTCCTATTGGCAACCATTTTCGGTTCAACTTACAGACCCATCAACGCCAAAGCGTTAGCAGGTTGAGTTGTCTCCGTTAAAAAGGGCTTAGGGCCATAACACGCTGTTCGTGCTACGAACCGTGTTGTCCGATGCATACAGCGAGATGGAGCTGATGAGCGTCACCCCAGTGTGAATCTATGAAAATAACAAATAAAAATTCTTTGTGTCAAGCTCCAAGCCAAACGAGCACATGTTGTGGCTACGAAGCAGGCGTATCCCACAAGCCTGTGCGTCCCACACTCAGTAACCCTTCGGGTAACTCTCGTGTAACCCTGTTACAAAATCAGCTGGCGATAAGGTAAGACCGGCCACATTGCGGACATATCGTAAGCGGTTCGACAAGGTGAATGCGCAGTCCTAGTGACAACACTCTCACAGATAAGCAGGCCCGTACCAGTCTCTGCCCAAACTGGAGAGTACCATCAGTGATACATTGAAACAGTTACCCAAGCCAGGTGGGTTCTCACTCCGCACCTTCTCAAAAAAGAGCATATACCAGCCCCTGGCTAGGCGTAGTAAGTTGAAGGTCACCGAGCGGTACAGCGAATCGTACAGTTAGTAGTTTATACACTGCAGTCGGAAGTCCACGCATACTTTGGCAACACTAATTCTCAAGTCAAGTCTAAAATCGATCTTAGGGGAGGCTAATCGATATCATAGGCGTCGTGATCCTCGCACAAAGTAGACGGCGGTAGAAGGCTAGAGTAGTTATTTGTACCTTAATAGACACACATGAGCGTCATCAACGCCTGTTCTTTCGCTTAATGTTGTAAGAGCAAGCAAGATGATGTCCCCGCCCATCTTGTTTTCACTAAAAAAACATTTGTAAAAACTGCTCGAAGATCGCTTT